GCCCAACAACCCGTCGTATCCACCTCTGTACCTCTGGGAGTAACTCAATTAGTTACATGGGAAATCTATAATCCTGTTTTGATCAAAGTGAACATTATGAACACAAACTGTGAGAAGCCGAAGTCAATAAACATTAGTATTTTGATCAAAGTATTTCTGCACAAAAGTAACAAACTCATAATTAGTGTTAAAATATACCACTAACCACTAATATGAAAACATCTCGTTAGTCTATGGGATAGGTCTATTACGTCAGTGGGTAAAACTAGGTTTGTAATCACAGTCACGCCTGATTGATCCAAAGTTGTCTGATAATTGGCGTGTCTGACAAATGGGATGTCTAACTTATGAGAGCAAAAGCATACATGGAATTGGAGACCCCTTCTTCATCTCGGTTAAATGTGTGTTTAGCATTAATAAATCCTAAATAAAAACCCAACTTGCTTTATATATACAGGATGTACAGGAGGACTGCAGCTGTCACAATGGATTGACATGAGAGTGACGATGAGAGCTATCGGGATAGGTTTGTATGTTGAGGTACACTATCTTCTTATAAGTTTTCATTACTATCAATGCATCCCACTAATATATGATAACATTCATGATAACAGCACTCCATGTCCAGCTCGTTAAACAACATAATAAAAATACAATTATTATAATAAACTCACTCCCTAAAACCTCTGGCGAAGAATAGCCGTGACGGGCAGATGGGAATTACAAAGTAATTGATCACAAAATATTAAAACGAAACGTGCGAAACTGGGTAGGTACACCTCGCAAGTGTGGGGTTGCCCACGATAGAATTTATTCAACAATGAATACTATGACGACATACCGAATGTCACGTAGAATAAAACACAGTTTTGATGCTTTTTTTCCTTTGTGAGGAGGTTTGACAAGGCCTTTAGCTCCTGAGTGGTGACGTGTGACGTCCGAGGCAGGAAGTGACAGTGTATTGACTTCTTTCCTTAATTACCCAGTTGGGGCTCCCTAATTGACCTTTATTTGTTCTGAAGCAGCGTGGACTATTTATTTTATTTGGAAGTGGTTATTGGCAAATGTCAATAGGATTGACAAGACATATTTCAATACAGTTAAAGCTCTCACAATACTGTTTATGTTACAAGAATTACAAATTAAAAGTAATATTTCATATTCAACAATTTCTTAATTTTGACTGTTCCGACGTGTATGTTTTGATAATATATGTTCGTGCACGCATACCATTGACGAGCCACATTTCCATTTGCACTGAGTTATTTCGCATGTTGTACGTTAACAAATTAATAAATAAGATACTGTACTGGGTCTTATCTTGCCGTGATTTCTGAATCAATGTATCATTGAAGCAGTATGTCAGATACAGTTTCCAACACAAGGTAGTACCTTTGCCTATACAATATCACGTCATACTGTAGTTAGATAACTTGTTCCATGGCATTACTTCTAATGTTTTAAGTGCCTAGTGACTACATATGATGATGATTATGAGTTTAACGTCGGCTTCTGGCTGTAGCCAATAACACCGACAGGGTAGGTGGGAGCTAAAGTAATAATTAATATGTTCATAATAAGGGATAAACCACCATACCCCATAAATGTAAATGATGGGGTGTTAACCTAAGTGAATTTTGAATGAAAACGGCTACAAACATGATAATAAATAAAAAGCCGTGATTAGGAAGGGAAAATAAAAAATAATGTAGTTTGATGTAATTAGATGAGAAGAGATGGGAAATGACAGTGAAGTTTGTTATGGTTGGTGCTGAGAGGCGGCGGGGAGTCGGTGGTGGCTGGAGGCGCGCGGACCTCGGAGGAGACAGTAGTTGTTGGGAGGTAGAGTTGGTGTGAAATAATGAAGGAAAAGAGAGGCGCGCGGACCTCTGAGAAGACAGGTGGTTAGAGAGAGGTGAAGTTATAGATGGCTTGATAGTGAGCAGAAAGTGGATCGAGATTGCTAGGTTGAGAGGTGGGCGCGGACGTCGGAGAGGACAGTCACGCACATATGGTGAATTTGGAGTGACTACATACCCATCCGTGAAACAATGAAGTAATGAAACAATAGGCGAGAGCTTTCAATACAACTGATAGCTCATGACAGGTAATAAATGACGGATGGTCGGATTGGGATGTGCTGATAGTAATAGCCTGGGAAAGCCACTTTTAAGAAAACAAGAGTTGAAAATGGTTTGGCTCAACCGGCAATGGGTATGGTTGAGTGATCGTGTGAATGTGGGTTTCCCGGCAATGCGCTATTAGCTAATCCATGTTACCGTAAATAATGCAGATTTTAAATATCGCTCTAAATAAGCCGATTTAAGTCAAAATGAATTGAAATTTGTGTCATGATGTTTATAAACATACGCTCATTCATTTACAACCTTCAAAACATGGAAAAACATGTATTTTGAGTAAAAGGATATATTCTCGCCCATGGGCCAAAATGTTTTTCGCCCATGGGCGAGATTTTTTAATATCGCTCTAAGTTAGTCGAATTAAGTCAAAATGAGTTGAAATTTGTGTCATGATGCTTATAAACATACACCCATTCATTTACAACCTCCAAAACATGAATTCTGATCGAAATGCTACATTCTCGCCCATGGGCCAACATATTTTTCGCCCATGGGCGAGATTTTTTAATATCGCCCTAAGTTAGTCGAATTAAGTCAAAATGAGTTGAAATTTGTTTCATGATACCCATAAGTATACACGCATTCATTTACAAAATCCAAAACATGGAAAAACATGTATTTTGAGTAAAAGTCAATATTCTCGCCCATGGGCCAACATATCTTTTGCCCATGGGCGAGATTTCTAAATATTGTTCTAAGTTAGTCGAATTAAGTCAAAATGAGTTGAAATTTGTGACATGATGCTTATAAACATACACTCATTCATTTACAACATCCAAAACATGGGAAAACATGTATTTTGAGTAAAAGGAAATATTCTCGCCCATGGGCCAAAATGTTTTTCGCCCATGGGCGAGATTTTGTAATATCGCCCTAAGTTAGTCGAATTAAGTCAAAATGAGTTGAAATTTGTGTCATGATGCTTATAAACATACACTCATTCATTTACAAAATCCAAAACATGGAAAAACATGTATTTTGAGTAAAGTAAATATTCTCGCCCATGGGCCAACATATTTTCGCCCATGGGCGAGATTTTAAATATCGTTCTAAGTTAGTCGAATTAAGTCAAAATGAGTTGAAATTTGTGACATGATGCTTATAAACATACACTCATTCATTTACAACATCCAAAACATGGAAAACATGTATTTTGAGCGAAAGTAAATATTCTCGCCCATGGGCCAACATATGTTTTTCGCCCATGGGCGAGATTTTTTAATATCGTTCTAAGTTAGTCGAATTAAGTCAAAATGAGTTGAAATTTGTGACATGATGCTTATAAACATACACTCATTCATTTACAACCTTCAAAACATGGAAAAACATGTATTTTGAGTAAAAGGAAATATTCTCGCCCATGGGCCAAATATGTTTTTCGCCCATGGGCGAGATTTTTAATATCGCTCTAAGTTAGTCGAATTAAGTCAAAATGAGTTGAAATTTGTGTCATGATGCTTATAAACATACACTCATTCATTTACAACATCCAAAACATGGGAAAACATGTATTTTGAGTAAAGTAAATATTCTCGCCCATGGGCCAACATATGTTTCGCCCATGGGCGAGATTTGTTAATATCGCTCTAAGTTAGTCGAATTAAGTCAAAATGAGTTGAAATTTGTGTCATGATGCTTATAAACATACACTCATTCATTTACAACCTCCAAAACATGAATTTTGAGCGAAATTAAACATTCTCGCCCATGGGCTAAAATGTTTTTCGCCCATGGGCGAGATTTTTTAATATCGTTCAAAGTTAGTCGATTTAAGTCAAAATGAGTTGAAATTTGTGACATGATGCTTATAAACATACACTCATTCATTTACAACCTTCAAAACATGGAAAAACATGTATTTTGAGTAAAAGGAAATATTCTCGCCCATGGGCCAACATATTTTTCGCCCATGGGCGAGATTTTTTAATATCGCTCTAAGTTAGTCGAATTAAGTCAAAATGAGTTGAAATTTGTGTCATGATGCTTATAAACATACACTCATTCATTTACAACATCCAAAACATGGGAAAACATGTATTTTGAGTAAAAGTAAATATTCTCGCCCATGGGCCAACATATGTTTCGCCCATGGGCGAGATTTTTTAATATCGCTCTAAGTTAGTCGAATTAAGTCAAAATGAGTTGAAATTTGTGTCATGATGCTTATAAACATACACTCATTCATTTATAACCTCCAAAACATGAATTCTGATCGAAATTAAACATTCTCGCCCATGGGCCAACATATTTTTCGCCCATGGGCGAGATTTTTTAATATCGCTCTAATTTAATCGATTTAAGTCAATATGAGTTGAAATTTGTGACATGATGCTTATAAACATACACTCATTCATTTACAACCTCCAAAACATGAATTCTGATCGAAATTAAACATTCTCCCATCGCCCATGGGTTATTGTTCGCCCATGGGCAGGCCCATGGGCGAGCGAGTTTAAATTTTAAGTTTTCGAAAAAATATTTTTTCATTTTTTCATCCTTGGCATATGTTCATAACAACTGCATGTTTAATTTGGTCAAATCCCTTGTCAGAAAGTGCCCACAGTGCGGAGAGTTTCTGGACTTTTGTGAGTCCAGAATTAAATTGTGACGTGTTCAGTGATTTTGAGTCTGATGTAGCAGATACAAATCCCGTCGCAAAGGGAACAAGCACCAAGCACTCAACAACATATTTATCCAACAGCACAATGCTACTGCATCTATCGCAATCGTCTCCGTACTTCTTCAGTCAGTGGATGGACTGTTTACCTGCCAACAGGCAGATCTATCTACTTGTCCATAGTATACTTAGATTAGGCGTCTACCACAGATGCACTGTTACCGCTGATGCTGCTTTCATACCTGTCTGCCCTGCAGCACGGGAGTTGTTGTACGACCGGGACATCTCCATCACCGCCTTCTCCACCATCTGCCGGGAGAACCCCATCTCCACCGCCCTCGCCACGACAGCCATGTCTGAACAGGGTACAATGTGATACGAATGAATTCTGTCTTCCATTTTTCAGGAAGTGAATTTGTCATTCATGTTGTACGTTGTGAGAACATGACCGTTTTCATGATACGTCATATCTAAACATAATGTACTTGGATATGTCATTATTACTCGGAGCGGTGGGGTAGCCTAATGGTTAAAGCGTCCGCTCGACACGCTGAAGAACCGGGTTCGATTCCACACATGGGTGCAATGTGTGAAGCCCATTTCTGGTGTCCCCCGCCGTGATATTGCTGGAATATTGCTAAGAGCGGCGTAAAACCATACTCACTCACTCACTCACTCATTATTACTCATACTCCCTATTATGTATCAGTAATTTCGTAAGTGTGGATTGCGTTTTTATTTTGATAAACGTGTAAAGAGACATTTGTTTTGAGATCCATGAAACCTTTGATGGATACATTAATAGTATTCAATGATACACCTATACGACTATTTATGACGTTCTCGTTAATGTGGCAGGGAGATTCCCATTCATCAACGTCCCTATCGAAAATTGATCTGTATAAGCACGAGTATTTGATTCTTCTATCGTGCATGTAGAATTAGACAAAAAGTGAAGATGCCGCATGTTTGTACTATACTATACCCACATGTCACCAATCGCGATATTTCTAAAACTAAGAATACACTTCACATACTGTTGGTTACAGTGGAGCTTGGAGAAGTCTGAAACAGAAACAGCTATTATGCAAATATATGTCAACGCCATTGCTAGTCTGCCGAAGCAGATTACACCGGGAGTAAAAACATGAAAAATACGCAATAGGTTATTTCTGTAAGCAGTAGAGAGGACGACCTGAATGTACTGGCAATGTTTGAGGTGTTCGGAGATGAGGGAAGCAGTGACTTACTCAATTGTACAATCCTTTGAACATTATTTCACTTTTCTTCTGAACCCAAAGTGGCGCAGTTCGTAGATGAAGCTCACAGGTAAAGTGTTTAAACTTATACTCATGATTTAGGCCTGGACAAACCAAGGTCGTCTTCAGACGGAAATATCCTAACCTTGTGTGCCAACGCCTGTATGACAAAGTTCTCTCCTTTCAATCTACGGATGTAGCTGCAGGACGACCTCCAGCGCACGTGCTCCACAAAAGGGTCATCTCTCTCTTCCCACGTCTTCAGACCAACACCACAGTAGAAACACCGGACACAGTCGGAGTAACCTGTAATAAATGATTGCATAGCTTGTGACTTTAGTACACTCCCTCGAACACCAGTATGGCTGGTTTACCTTCTGTCAAAATCATACAAAAAACAAACCAGGATCAAGTAGATTGCTCCTTACTGAAATTTGCACAGGGAGATGGAGATGAGATCCGATGAGGTATTTACAAGCTAAATTGTAATTGTAGTTTTATTTGTGCCATGATTCGACCATTTGTTATTCTGAGGTTCATGTGGTATTAATATGAGCTCCCGACAAAAACTCGAGAAACAAATACCTTCTTTCTATCAAAATATCTTTTTTTGCGTTGGACATGATGTATGTCGTGAATAAAATGTGTTGAAGAATACAAATTTAACATTAATTATAAATAATATATACAGTCTCTAATAAAACATCCAAATTCCATCCCGTACCTAAACGCAACACAAGAATAAATAATGGTTGGTGCCTGAGGGTAGTGCTATCTCAGATTGACCAGAACTGGTCTTCGATACGACTTTAGTTTTGCTAAGTTTAAAGACATTGTAAAAGTAATGAGTACATTGCATTTGCAGTGGTTCGACGTTGATTATAATCGACTGTTTCGGGTACCATTCATGCATCTGTATGGCTGACATAATTCCGATGTAACTGTAAACCCTACCTGCATAGAAGAAACCTGCTGTCGCCAGTACCCGCGGGTCCTGCACGTGTGACGTGTCCCAGCCTCTGAAGCTGTCTAACCTGGTCTGCATGTCTCTGTAATGAGGATGCACAGCACTGTTCATGTCAAGGGATGGTTCAGACACGACAGTTGCTACTTCTGCTGCTGCTGCTGCTGCTGCTCCTAGAGTTGGTGTCTCTGTAGCTGTAGGTGGTAATGTATCTGTTGTTGTTACATTGCTGCTTCCAGAGTACTCCCCAAGGATACCGTACACCGTTGTTGCATTCGAATTTGAAGTCAGCGGTATATTTCGCGGGTCGCCTCTGTTCAGATGTGGGCAGTCTGGGGAAATAACTCTGTGTAGAACATCCGGTCTGTCCATTATTTGCCAGCCTGTGTGTGACTTCCTACAGCTGTAGCAACGAGCCTCGTCCTCGCGACCTGTAGCATAGAATCCTGACTGGGCAAGCCTCATGGGTGAGGCTTGGACGGGGATCCTAGAAAAAGACTGCAGTCTCCGTACCTCGTAAGCACATCTCTTCCTCCACGGGCACCTGTCCGGCCTCCTGCACCTTCCCCAGATAGGCCGTCAGTGATGTTGTAAAGGGCTGGGCCACCACTTCGGGAACTGAAAGATACTCGGGCTGGATTTCAAACATACCAGAAAGGACTTTGTCTATTTTCTCTGAATGACTGTCAAAGTACTTCACAACTGTTCTCGTAATGAACTGTTCCTTAGATGGCCTGTTTCCGTCAATATTAGAAAGAGATGTTTTCAGTTCGTTTCTTTCACGTATCAATCCCATCTTGCTTTTATGGGCAAATTTCACGGATTTAAACAGTGAAGTAATATGAACACAGTGTCCATCATCCACATTATCATCAACACGTTTCAACATTATATCTTCAAGTCTGATAGAGAAATATAATTGAAGTATACCAAGCACCACGATCAACAGAAGTATCCAAGGTACACATATATTCTTAGTCCTTCCTGATGTAGTGACCTTTACGTTAGCACACCCGTGTCCCAGTTCACTCAGCACCATGTTGCCACGATGAGAATGTCCGGATTCCTGGAAGAAGGAACTGCACCTCTGTAAACCCTCTTGTGCCCCATGTTTCGGGTTATTGGTTGGCAGAGAGGCGACAGCGAGGTAAACACATGATACAATAACTACATGTAGCCCAGCCATTGTAGTAGGTGTTGATGTCTTTGATCGTTTCTGATAGTTTTCAAACCGTGGGCGTCGTCACTATGCTGAAAAAGTGGTATTATCACAGGTGATTAGTTGTATATCAATGAAAATGGAAACATTGTCTACATGTGTATGCGTTGATTTACATGCCTGGGGGCTAAAAACACATTTTTTATCGATATTTTCAACGCGAGGCCACACATTTGTTTTACTTGGTTACGGATTTTCCACATCAATATTCCTGTCGGTAGGTGGTAAAAAAAGTCTAAAAAAATGATATTTCAGATTCACTCACTCACTCCACACAAGTGTAATAGAGTCGAAACACGAATTTATAAGTTTTCATTCACTCATTCCTTCATCTTCAGCAATGTTTTAACTGTTCGAAAACAGGTTGTGCGGTAGTGCTGTGTGTTTGTGGAAAATAAGATTTAAGTCGTTAAAGTGTTCGTACAAATTGACTGACTGTTGATAAAACATACACGTCCAATCCTTCAGCTGCACATCGTGGTTATGAGTGAGTGAGTGAGTTAAGCTTTACGCCGCACTCAGCAATATTCCAGCTATATGGCGGCGGTCTGTAAATAATCGAGTCTGGACCAGACAATCCAGTGATGAAGAAGCGTCCATCGATCTGCGCAATTGGGAACCGATGACATGTGTCAACCAAGTCAGCGAGCCTGACCACCCGATCCCGTAGGTCGCCTCTTACGACAAGCATGGGTTACAGAAGGCCAATATTCTAACTCGGACCTTCACGGGTCGAGGTTATGAAGTATTTCAAAATATATATATCACATAATTAATACAGAATGGGTGATTTACGATTCTAACTGTCGGACTATGAAATATACATACCATTCACGAGGCCCAAGGAGATGGCGAATGATTTTGCAATGACTGACACGTACATCTCGAATGTTCGTTTCGTATCATAATCTAAATATAGCAATACGTGTCGTTTATTGCGTTTATCTATTTATTACCAATAGACATGCATAATACGATTCTATACAAGTGTTTATTGGAGAGCTATAAACATTATATATATTATTGGTTATATATCATTAATTTTTAGGATTATTGTTAGGTATTAGTGATATAACGTTGCACAATCTACCGACACAGCCCTTGTCTAAAAATAGAAATGGGAATCCCCGATTACAACATGTGGACGAGGAGAGAGGGCATTGGGCGCCCAGGTCCGACTCTATCGACATTGTATTGAGAGTCTTATGTGTAGACTTTGATACTGTAATATGTTTTAAACACTTCATACACCCACGCTCAAAACAAAGTTTAGTTCATAATTTACCCAGATTATAACAGATCATGATAAGGACATAATATGGGTGCTATACGTACTCACTGTATGTTCGAAGGTCCGGTCTATTTTGACAAGCGGCTGTAAATACTCTGATATAAGTCAGTCGCGTTGCTTTTCCTGTTTACAAATATATACACACATATACGCAGTCAATATATAATGGTTACTAGAAATACACACTGGCGTAAAATGTATCTGTAACCATTATCTACTATTTGTTTCGTGAGAGAAATCTGAAAAAACTTGTATATTCCGTTTTCCAACAAACATTCAAAACTCTTAAACAGTGCCGGCTAATAGACCACGTTTGTGAACATTGACAACTTCAGCTGTGAGGAGAAATTAGACTTCTCTGTTTGACGAAGCATTTATTCAAATTAATTATTTATAATTGTGATGAAAACAATATTCCATTACGGGATACTTTCCCAACAGAAATCAAAATATCATTAGATTCTCTATGTCAGCGTTGGCGGGATTTCTGTCTCAATTTCATTACATTGATTACGCCGGCCAACCTAAGGATACAACACATGCCTAACCATCATTAATGTTTGTTATAAATGAGGTCGGGTATTTAGTATTAGCAACTCTGTATGTTTACGATTGCTTGCACTGGCTCCTGCCAAACAATCAACCATATGTAAAATGCAGAAGTTAATGTACAGATCAGCGTTCTGTTCATATACACTTCGAGGTAGGTAGATTAGGTGTCAATTATGCAGATCGCAAGGGATGGAGAGACTCGTCGACCTGATGGAGTGAGAATCATCTCTTTATTACGCTCCGGTGCGGTGGGACGTTGCTCAGAGTATCGATCATTGATTTCGCTTGTCGAAACCCGATTATCTACAGGTCTCCGTCAGATGGATTGAAAAGAAACAATAAACATACAAACAATCAAACGAATAACGTAAGGTGAGTAAAATATGAGGTTTTAATGTCAATATTAAATCAATTGCTCTTGTGAAACATAACCCCAAAGTATTTATGTTTATCAGCATGTCCTAAGGAAGACACGTTCAAATAAAACTCAAGCACTTCCGCCGGATATAGGGTTTTTGTTTTCATGTATTAATGTTCAGTTTCCAGGAAATTGCAATATTCCAATCATGTCCGAGACGGGGCTGTTACCTCTGTAGAACTTAGGGGAGTATTCCTCTAAGGAACCGTGTGATTATTATGGCTAAATATATATAAAGTTAAAATTGTCCTTTAAACAAGCAACAGGTTCCGATAATGGCACCCGTATGGACTAGATTTACGTAGCATTCCGGATGTTAATTATTCATAGTTCTTCGAATGAACTTCATATTATCAAGTAAAGAAAATATTTGTATACGACTGTAATTGTACAATGGAGAATGTGTCGCTTGTAAACGATGCAGAGAGACAACTGCTCCGTAAAATATCGAAGAAAAGTAAAACATATCAAGCTTGACATACAGAGTTATGTCCCTTCTGATCTTCAACAAAATACTGTACAAACAACATCAATATAATCTTGAAGTGTCCTTTCTCTGCCCACAATGGGAGCTTGAGATGAATCATGACCATGAGGGTACCCAGAGATGCACACACATACGAAACATTATATTCATGCATCTAGGAATATCAACAAAGATAAAATGCTGTTTATTATTATTTCCGGATCGCATTTTATTTAATCGCATTACGATAGGAATTTATTCACAGAAACTGTTTTTAGTTTCTTCCAACTATGTGTATATTTTATACGTGGTACTGACAAGGTCATCGGTTTATGTATGTTGGGAAGGAGAGTGAGTGAATATTGTTTTAGGCTGCTTTTAGCAATATTCCAGCAATATCACGGCGGGTGACACCAGAAATGGGTTTGGCGCATTGTAACCATTTGGGGAATCGAACCCGGATCTCCAGCGTGACAAGCGAACGCTTTAACCACCAGGCTACCCCACTACCCGTGTGTTTGTATGAGTTGCTAATGTTTATGACTTTGTGAACACTTTCCTGTTGTGCTATTGATATGTTAAGGCAAGAGGTCTGGAGGTCTACTCGTACGGAAGGTTCTAAAGGTGATATAAGTATTGTCAAGGTGTGTCATTGCTGGCACCAGAGTTTTCCTCACAAATTTATTCTGAAAAACAGTTTTAAGATCCCATTTACCATTATCATAGATTTTAGAAAGAGCACTAAAATACCCATTTGATGTAGCAGGTGTGGACTGACTGACTGAGTTTAGTTTTACGCCGCTTTTAGCAATATTCACGGCGGGGGACACCAGAAATGGGCTTAACACATTGTGCCCATGTGGGGAATCGAACCCGGGTCTTCCGCGTGACGAGCCAACGCTTTAACCACTAGGCTACCCCACCGCCCCAGCAGGTGTGGAAAATGAATTGTGTGTTATGCTAAGTCGCTATTATGCTATGCTATTGTATGCTATAGCAACTAATTATGACTAAGAAAGTTTTCTTTCAATCGGAGTTCCCATCGTAGCCCATCCCTATAGATAAAAATAATAATGGTTCAATATCACGTGCACTGTTTGCCCATAATGTAATTATATCATGACTAAAATATGACTATCAATAAGACTATCATAAAATAACGTTAACACTAATGCATTGTTATGTTGCAGTATAAATTTGTTGCACTGCCTTTGGTCTTTCTTACAATAAACAGAACTGACCATATAGCATGGATAATCACCTCTACCCGTCAGTGCCCCATGTGTGTACGTCTGGAACAAAGAACCATTGCTTATTGTTCACTTTCACCCTGTATTGAGAGACTATACTACTCATTATAATGTGCTAAACTTTCACAGTTGACTCACTTAGTACTTGCAAAATCGCTGGTAAATGGTAATGGGTTCTTGGTTAGGTTGGAGGAGTCGAACCTGCTTCCTATGTGGCCTGTCTCTGATACAGATGGTGGTGAGAGAGCCTTGATACACACACGTGGATCTATACCGGAACTACAGCTATACCGGTAGAATGCTGGGAAGGTGACCTAGGTGGCAGGGGAAGGGCGTACAGTGTTACGCTTCACATCTAGATTACCGTGTGCGAGAGCTTGGTGTCATTCACTCTGTGTTGAGGCGAGGAATATTATTGGGTCATGTGCACAGCTATCAAACTTACATTCAGTTTACATGTCCCACACATGTATATTCTTTCGGAATAGTAAGTTTTACGTTTTTCTGAACCAGTTATGGTCAACTAATCAAACTGATTATGAATACGTTGGAATCAGCAACACGATTTCTGACATCATTCATTACGTTTTCCAATTATCCCCTTGTTATCCTTGACGCTGGTCGTGTTAAAGGTTTCAAAACGTTAAATAGAAGACATGTGGAGGAAAGTTAATGTCCGATGCATTTCCTTATTTTGACTTGTACCATATATTCCCATGGACTTTGCATATGTTTATGGCGAGTGGGATAGGATACGTCCACCGTTAGCAGATGCTCACCTTACATGAGGAGTTGCTCCTCCGAGACATTTCTATGGAGCAATTGATTCCTCTTTTTCACTAATACATTTGTTGGTCCAGTATCCATGTTCGGCGTTGTAGTGCATGCAGTGGAGAACTCTGTTGGTCAATGTGCACGTGATCTCCGAAACATATAAAACAGATATCTATTTTAAAAATATTTGAAAAACACGAGGTGGAAATGACATAATAACACAATGTCTGATCCCTAATGTAAACATTCTTACAATAATTCAGACACAGTTACATGGAAACATGGACAGAAGAATAAAGAAATGAAGTATTTTCCTGAAAACAATCATTAAAATTGAACTGTATATTGGGAATAGCGTTCATTATTAGCTCGAGAAAAAAAATCACCACATAAAAGTTGTTGGAATGCGAACTTTTACTTCCACATAAAATGCTCCGATGCTGTAAAATTTATTCATCTACCTCTGTTATAAAATAAGCGATCCTTTTACGATTTCGTGTTTCTGTTTCTATAGTATTACAAAACCTTACTGAAATTGCTGTGATGATGTGAATGACGAAACATACCACTTTATGGATGATGTGAATGACGAAACATACCACTTTATGGATGATGTGAATGACGAAATATACCACTTTATGGATGATGTGAATGACGAAACATACCACTTTATGGGTGATGTGAATAGCTAGTACAGCTTAGTGGCTATAATGAGTTCGAGTTTAGTTTTACGCCGCACTCAGCAATATACCAGCTATATGGCGGTGGTCTGACTGGACAATCCAGTGATCAACAGTATGAACATCGATCTACGAAATTAGGACACGATGACATGTGTCAACCATGTCAGTGAGCCTGACCACCCGATCCCGTTAGTCGCCTATTACGAGTAAGTGAGTTTAGTTTCACGCCGCACTCAGCAATATACCAGCTATATGGCGGTGGTCTGACTGGACAATCCAGTGATCAACAGTATGAACATCGATCTACGAAATTAGGAACCGATGACATGTGTCAACCAATCAGCGAGCCTGACCACCCGATCCCGTTAGTCGCCTCCTACGACAAGCATGGGTTACAGAAGGCCAATACTAGTATTCTAACCCGGACCTTCACGGGTCCGTCTCTTACGACAATTGCAAGCATGGGTTACTGAAGATCAATTCTAACCCGGATCTTCACGTGTCTTTTGGTTATAAAAGATCCGAGACTGCTTGAATACTGCTTTAACCACTAGTCCGCCGAATGTCTGACAGTTGCTCGAAAATATCTTCTTTGGTTCCTTGTGGAGTAGGTGATTTTTTAAGGAAAACCACTAACCGTCATATTATTTTAATTAACAATTGTGTCCTTTTCAATGTTTTACGAAAAGTTTAAACACCATAAAACAGTTCCCATGCACTGTATCCAGACATCCCGAATTGCATCCTCATTTGGGAACTATTTTGACACACACTAAACAGGAGTAGCCCCCTTTAAATGTTCTGCCGAAACTCTATCTACTGTTTGCCACCAGTCGCAGATGAAATACCAGTGAATTTTGTTTTGAAAATATTGATACCCTTCTTGTCATATGAACATGTAACAGTGGTCTGAGTTTCATTTAAACACAGATATCAAAAGCATTATAAAAGATGTGCACTAAGTTGTATCTTGCTCCTGTGGTTGTTGTGGTTGCAGATGCTTTTGCGGGTACTGCCGTCCATGATCAACGTTGGTGCCCGACGTCATCTGTTTTCGGAGTAGACAACATTTTACATGGCTACATCTTCCATTCCATAACCACTGATAAGGGGGTAAATGCTCAACTTATGTGATGGAACACTGGGTGAATCGAATCGTGATGATAGATGGAGAGATGGATAGACAGATAGAATGATTTTGTCCTTAGTCGTATTTTGGACAAATATTTGTATATCTTCCTACTCACTCACGTCTCACTCATTGGAAAATGTTGTTATAGCCATAGAAACATCCTCCTTGTATAATGTCGTTTATATTTCGTTTTGTGAAACAAGGCCCACATGACTCTAGTGAGAATGCTGTTTATGGCTGACTGTTGTACCCCTACCTACCTACCTTCCTACCTACCAACCGATCAGCCCACCTACCCACCCACCTACCTACCTATCCACTACCGACCTACCCATCTTATCTGCCTACCTAAACCCACCCACCCACCTACCGACCTACCCACCCACCCTACATACCTACCCAACCACCTACCTACCTACCCACCCACCCACCACCTACCTAACCACCTACCCAACCACCTACCTACCTACCCAACCACCTACCCAACCACCTCCCTCCCTACACGCAAACATGCACTAAAACAATGGCATCCCAACGTTTGAATTAATACTCATGACGTAGCGGCTAAAAATAACTTATCCAGATTTAACTCAGTTACGTGTAGACTATATTTTCTAGTGATCAGGAGATGGTTTACAGGAAGGCGTAGCTACTCTGCTACCGTACCAAACAACTAGCTGCTGGTCTCCTTTGCGCTGCCACATATTCCTTAAAGTACGAGACGACAGGAGAAAAACACTCACGACGTGAGTTACATGCATTTGTTATCATTAATATTATCATGATATGTAAACAATCAGATAGCCTGAACAGAGTCTTATGAAGTTAACATTGATGTCATAAGTAAGAATAATGCTTCGTAAAGGAACTAGTCTGGTTCAGATTTCAGGGAGGAGTGAAACATTCTAGAAATTTCGATTTATTTTGATCGCCACGTATGCACTATAAATAGCGGAGACTATCTCAATAGGTCGATGGGCGTTATACTTCTCCTCCATGAGACAGGAATATACAGGGTGAATATGGTAGCATGACGACAGTGGTCAGGGAAGTGTTATTCATAACCATGTTTGTGTCATGTGTGTGTCATGTGTGTGTGTCATATGTGTGTCTACATGTCTACAACTCATGCACTTATACGGATAACGTAATGTTGGAGTTAGCAACTCGTGTTACAAGATGATGCATGCCCTATACTTTCATCACTGACTGGATTCTCACATGCGCAAATTAACGGCATCTTATGTGCATGTGCACAGTGTTAACTATACAGTTTATTATGCATTGTTTTAGAAGCTACTGAAACATAAAAACATGCACAAGGACATACATTTAAAATAGTGTCCTATTTCTACAGCTTCTACATCTGTTAAACGTGAAATTGGGATTTATAAAACATGCCCATTAAATGCACATTTAAATAAGCACAGAATGCGTCACTCGTCTATTTTCGATATTGTGCGACATCATTGTGATTTGCGCGGCCACGGTTGGGCGTGTTTATGGCTGATTATTTTAAAGCATTTTTCTTTATTTGGCAGAAACAATCAATGTTACCGGTGACATGTACACATAGATGAAGTTTAGTTGACACTCTTGCAGGAAGGATTTACGAAGGTTACACGGAAAGAACTAAAACAATGAACAAAGAGATAACCGAAAAAGCAATGTTGTGGATATAACATATAAACACTGACTGACTTGATTTCCTTAAAGCTATAGGTAGTATCTAGGTTTGTGTGGACCTGCACGTATACGTAGAAACACAGAATGTAGCGTCTTTGCAGAGTGTTCAGGTGAGTTTATTGGGGAATCTAAAACACGTTTGTATGTGTCACCGAATATTCAGGTTACCAAGGTTACAGACTTTTATCACTTTGGTGAAACGGTACCAACAAACCTGGACCAAACGAAGAGCCTTCCAATGCCCCATACATGAAACTGTGACACACACTTGCAAACAAAAATAATATAATTATAGCATTTAGTTTTTGTCACAATGTTTTATTAGAACATAATACCAAACGCCCTGTGTGCTTTAGACATGTATATCGTTTAAAATATATTCATTGTTTCAGTTTTGTATGGACAGGTAATGGGTTTGCCGCTAATTTTTCTAATGTATCTAGTTATTTCCATTACCAATTAACCATGAGGGGATTTTGGATTTGCCCTCCAATTTCTTTTAGTTAGATGCGACGGAATTTGTTGGGAATTGCCAGATCGGTGAGTTCGTTGAAAAGACGAACAAAATGAAATTTTATTTGTGGCTTACCCTATTTATCACATTAAAAACTGCATGACCCTCCCCGTATATATTGGTCCTGTCTGTTGGGTACATAGTGAAATGAGAAGATGAAAGCCATACAGTCAGTATCACCCTGATTATATGACACTCCCAGTTATCGGTATATTTTTAAGAACACAGTTTTCCTTTGAAGTAGTTGGATCAAACTGAGTAGTTCGATAAAGTTTCCTAAATTTATCGTAGAATTAAATTTCAGTTTCTACAATAATCTCCCCGCTGGACTGTCATAACGCCCTGCTTTGACTCGGCATCTTAACGGTTATCATAGGTCGTGCAGGCTGTAAATGACAGAATAGCTACACATGAATGCGAGGGACAACTTAACTTTAGAAAGTGTCGCTTGTGACGGTTTATCACTGCAGCGGCGCTGACTGGCCTTGTTTTCATGCAGGCCTTTAAGTATGCAATGTTCTGGACATGCACTATCATAATGATAATGTTAGTATGTGAGTGCATTTGGTTGTCGTCGCTGTAAACGAGTGGCTCTCCCTCCTTTTCACTGTCTCTATGTTTCTCTGTGTGTATCTCTCTGTCTCTATTGGATGGTCCGCCTCTCTGTTTTTTCTTTGTGTCGGATCCTTCTCCCTGTCTGTCTTTCTCCCCTTGTGTCTCTCTGTCTGTGTCCCTGTGTATGTCTCTCTGTCACTCTCTCCATCTGTCGCTGTCACTCTCTCTGTCTGGCTCTGTCACTCTATCTCTTTGTCTTTATCGTTTTTCCTCCTTGTCTGTGTTTCTACCTTTCTGTCTCTCTCCCCATCCCCAACCTCTCTGTAGGGACTTGGGGAAGAGGTGTTCTGGTATTTACTGCGCGATATTTTCTTGCAGCACTTTACAAATCATAGTCACATCCTACCGACAACATGCTTCTCTCCGGAACATCTATATGCCTAGATAACAATGTATTAATTCCAAACCTTCGGTGACATCTCTTTTTAAGAAAGGTGGTGAATCTGGTATTGTACCATTTGTTTCTTTATTGTTGTCTATGTACAAAAGTGAGTGAGTGAGTGAGTTAAGATTTTAAGTCACATCGGTTTTAAGTAAAACAACTAGGTTATCACAGATTTCAATGTAAAACTAGTAATTAACACTAAAATATTTTAACTATAGATGACAATACAATATAAAAACAGGCTATATATTGCCAACAACTGAAGTTAGATCGCCATGCTAGGGACCTATGTACAACAGAATTATTTGATAATTATATGAGTAACACACTGTTATAGGACTACCCCTACGTAGAACAGAGATAATCTGAATTGGTCGCTCTGCAAAGAAATGTAGAATATATACACTTGAATCACAGATTTCATGGTGATGATAAATATGATGATGATTACGATGATAAGAAGAAGAAAATAGACTAGACAGTGTTTTCTTTGTACTGCTGACCGTAGTCACTCACGCACTCATTCTATCATTTACTCACTTACTCACCCACTCAGCCAGACTCAATGACTTGGTTGTTAGAGGTGACTTAATGATCCGGGTGGTCAGACTCATTGACTTGGTTCTTAGAGTTGACTTAATGATCCGGGTGGTCGCTCTCAATGACTTGGTTATTAGAGGTGACTCAATGATCCGGGTGGTCAGACTCAATGGTTTGGTTGTTAGATGTGACTTAATGATCCGGGTGGTCAGACTCAATGACTTGGTTGTTAGATGTGACTCAATGATCCGCGTGGTCAGACTCAATGGCTTGGTTGTTAGATGTGACTTAATGATCCGGGTGGTCAGACTCAATAATATGGTTATTAGAGGTGACTTAGTGATCCGGGTGGTCAGACTCAATGACTTGGTTGTTAGATGTGACTCAATGATCCGCGTGGTCAGACTCAATGACTTGGTTATTAGAGGTGCCTTAATGATCCGGGTGGTCAGACTCAATAATATGGTTATTAGAGGTGCCTTAATGATCCGGGTGGTCAGACTCAATGACTTGGTTGTTAGATGTGACTCAATGATCCGGGTGGTCAGACTCAATGACTTGGTTATTAGAGGTGCCTTAATGATTCGGGTGGTCAGACTCAATGACTTGGTTGTTGGAGGTGACTCAATGATCCGCGTGGTCAGACTCAATGACTTGGTTGTTGGAGGTGACTTAATGATCCGAGTGGTCAGACTCAATGACTTGGTTGTTGGAGGTGACTCAATGATCCGCGTGGTGGTCAGACTCAATGACCGCGTGGTTGTTGGAGGTGACTTAATGATCCGAGTGGTCAGACTCAATGACTTGGTTGTTGGAGGTGACTCAATGATCCGCGTGGTCAGACTCAATGACTTGGTTGTTGGAGGTGACTTAATGATCCGAGTGGTCAGACTCAACGACTTGGTTGTTGGAGGTGACTCAATGATCCGCGTGGTCAGACTCAATGACTTGGTTGTTGGAGGTGACTTAATGATCCGCGTGGTCAGACTCAATGACTTGGTTGTTGGAGGTGACTTAATGATCCGCGTGGTCAGACTCAATGACTTGGTTGTTGGAGGTGACTCAATGATCCGCGTGGTCAGACTCAATGACTTGGTTGTTAGATGTGACTCAATGATCCGCGTGGTCAGACTCAATGACTTGGTTATTAGAGGTGCCTTAATGATCCGGGTCGTCAGACTCAATGACTTGGTTGTTGGAGGTGACTTAATGATCCGGGTGGTCAGACGCAATGACTTGACTATCACTGACTGACTGACTGAGTTTAGTTTTACGCCGCTTTTAGCAATATTCCAGCAATATCACGGCGGGGGACACCAGAAATGGGCTTAACACATTGTGCCCATGTGGGGAATCGAACCCGGGTCTTCGGCGTGACGAGCCAACGCTTTAACCACTAGGCTTCCCCACCGCTCCCGTCTATCAATGACAGATAGTATGATTTTGTACTTAGTCGTATTTTGGACAAATATTTGTATATCTTCCTACTCACTCACGTCTCACTCATTGGAAAATGAAGTTGTTATAGCCATAGAAATATCCTCCTTGTATAATGTCGTTTATATTTCGTTTTGTGAAACAAAGCCCACATGACTCTAGTCAGAATACTGTTACTGGTTGACTGTTGTACCCCTACCTACCTACCTTCCTACCTACCAACCGATCAGCCCACCTACCCACCCACCTACCTACCTACTCACTACCGACCTACCCATCTTACCTGCCTACCTAAACCAACCCACCCACCCACCCACCTACCGACCTACCCAACCACCCTACCTACCAGCCCAACCACCTACCTACCCAACCACCTACCTACCTACCCAACCACCTCCTTCCCTACACGCAAACATGCACCATAACAATGGCATCCCAACGTTTGAATTAATACTCATGACGTAGCGGCTAAAAATAACCTATCCAGATTTAACCCAGTTACGTGTAGACTATATTTTCTAGTGGTCATGAGATGGTTGACCGGAAGGTGTAGCTACTCTGCTACCGTACCAAACAACTAGCTACTGGTCTCCTGTGCGCTGCGACATATTCCTTAAAGTACGAGACGACAGGAGAAAAAGACTCACGACGTGAGTTACATGCATTTGTTATCAATAATATTATCATGAGAGTTACATGCATTTGTTATCATTAATATTATCATGATATATAAACAATCAGATAGACTGAACAGAGGCTTATGAAGTTAACATTGATGTCGTAATTAAGAATAATGTTTGGTAAGGGAACTGGTCTGGTTCAGATTTCAGGGAGAAGTGAAACCTTCTAGAAATTGCGATATATTTTGATTACCACGTATGCTCTTTAAATAGCAGAGACTATCTCAATAGGTCGATGGGCGTTATACTTCCCCTCCATGAGACAGGAATATACAGGGTGAATATGGCAGCATAACGACACGTCATGTGTGTGTCAAGTGTGTGTCATGTGTGTATCTACATGTCTACAACTCATGCACTTATAGGGATAATGTAATGTCGGAGTTAGCAACTCGTATTACAAGACTATGCATGCCCTGTACTTTCATCAGTGACTGGATTCTCACGTCACAGGTACAAAGGTAGAACGGTATCTTATGGGCATGTGCACAGTAGTAACTATAATATGTATTATGCATTGTTTTAGAAGCTATTAAATCACGAAAGGTATTGACCTACATGACACATGCCATATAACAAGGAATTACATTTAAGTTAATGTCATATTTCTACAGCCTCTGCGTCGGTTAAACTTGAAATCAGGATTATAAAACATGCACATTAAATGCACATTTAATTAAGCTGCTGTGGCACAGAATAGGTCCCTCGTCTATTTTCGATATTGTGCGACGCCATTGTGATTTGCTCGGCCACATAGGATGTAGCGTATTTACAGAGTGTATACGTGAGATTAATTACAACACAATAGGTGAGGTGGTGAAGTGAAATTGGGTTTTACGTCGTGCTTGAGAATATTTCGCTCATATGACGACGTGCATGCGTGTGTATGTGTATGTGCGGCTGCTTGTACTAGCCCAGACTTAAGCTGGTTTTATAGTGCTAGCCCACTGAGATACCATGCCGCAGTGAAGCATGAATACCCCACTCAGACATGATACTGACTCCGAGCCGACCAGTCCTTGTTGTACCCATTAATGCCGAGCGCCAGGCAGGGACCAACAAGTACCATATTTTAACGTCTTTTGGTATGACGCGGTCGGGGATCGAACGCGCGACCTTCCGCTCTCCCGGGCGGACGCTCTAACCACTACACCACGGAGGCGGTCACCACACAATAGGGGAATCTAAAACATGTTTGTATGTGTCATGGAATATTCAGGTAACGAAGGTTACATCACTTTGGTGAAACAGTGCCAACAAACCTACACCAAACCAAGAGCCTTCCAATGCCTCATACATGAAACTGTGACACACACTTGCAAACAAGCATACTGTGATTATATTATTTAGTATTTCATGTAAACATAATATAAAACGCCCTGTGTGATTTAGAGATCTATAGCTTTTAAAATATATTGATCGTTTAAAATTTCTATGGACAGGAAAAGTGTTTGCCGCTAGTATTTCTAATGTATCAAGTTATTTCCAAACCATTTAACCATGTGGGGATTCTGGATTTACTCTCCAGTTTCTTATAGTAATAGGTTGGGTGATCAGATCGGTGAGTTTGTTGAAAAGAAAATCAAAATCAAGTATTATTTCTGGCTTACCCTATTTATCACAGTACAAACTGCATGACCCTCCCAGTATATCTCGGTCCTGTCTGCTGGGTACATAGTGGAATGAGACGATGATATGGAAAGCCCTACAGTCAGTATCACCCTGATTATATGAAGGTTTCAGTTATGGATACTCAGCAAACTGTCTAATTTATCGTAGAATTAATTTTAAGTTTCCAAAATAATCTCCCTGCTGGTCCTTATGTCGGTCTCATTCCTCCCCCGGCCCCCTTCCCCGACACATATGCAGTTTACCGTTACGTATGCTGTCTTATGTCAGAAATGCAATCTAGTGTCACATATGCAATCTAGACACATAGTTGTTAGAGGTGACTTAATGATCTGGGTGGTCAGACTCAAGATTTGGTTGTTAGAGGAGGCTTAATGAACCGGTAGGTCAAACTAAATGATTTGGTTCTTTGAGGTGACTTCATGAACCACGTGGTCAGACTCGATGACTTGGTTATTAGAGGTGACTTAATGAACCGGGTGGTCAGACTCAATGATTTGGTTATTAGAGGTGACTTAATGAACCACGCGGTCAGACTCGATGATTTGGTTGTTAGAGGTGACTTAATGAACCGGGAGGTCCGACTCAATGATTTGGTTGTTGGAGGTGACTTAATGAACCGGTAGGTCAAACTAAATGATTTGGTTGTTAGAGGTGACTTCATGAACCACGTGGTCAAATTCGATGATTTGGTTATTAGAGGTGACTTAATGAACCGGGTGGTTAGACTCAATGATTTGGTTGTTAGAGGTGGCTTAATGAACCGGGAGGTCAGACTCAAGGATTTGGTTGTTAGAGGTGACCTAATGAACCGGGTGGTCAGGTTCAATGACTTGGTTATGAAAGGTGACTGAATGAACCGGGTGGTCAGGTTCAATGACTTGGTTATTAGAGGTGACTTAATGAACCGGGTGGTCAGACTCAATGATTTGGTTATTAGAGGTGACTTAATGAACCACGCGGTCAGACTCGATGATTTGGTTGTTAGAGGTGACTTAATGAACCGGGAGGTCCGACTCAATGATTTGGTTGTTGGAGGTGACTTAATGAACCGGTAGGTCAAACTAAATGATTTGGTTGTTAGAGGTGACTTCATGAACCACGTGGTCAAATTCGATGATTTGGTTATTAGAGGTGACTTAATGAACCGGGTGGTTAGACTCAATGATTTGGTTGTTAGAGGTGGCTTAATGAACCGGGAGGTCAGACTCAAGGATTTGGTTGTTAGAGGTGACCTAATGAACCGGGTGGTCAGGTTCAATGACTTGGTTATGAAAGGTGACTGAATGAACCGGGTGGTCAGGTTCAATGACTTGGTTATTAGAGGTGGCTTAATGAACCGGGAGGTCAGACTCAAGGATTTGGTTGTTAGAGGTCACTTAATGAACCGGATGGTCAGGTTCAATGACTTGGTTGTTAGAGGTGACTTAATGATCTGTGTGGTCAGACTCAATGATTTGGTTATTAGAGGTGACTTAATGAACCGGGTGGTCAGACTCAAGGATTTGGTTGTTAGAGATGACTTAATGAACCACGTGGTCAGACTCGATGATTTGGTTATTAGAGGTGACTTAATGAACCGGGTGGTTAGACTCAATGATTTGGTTGTTAGAGGTGGCTTAATGAACCGGGAGGTCAGACTCAAGGATTTGGTTGTTAGAGGTCACTTAATGAACCGGATGGTCAGGTTCAATGACTTGGTTATTGGAGGTGGCTTAATGAACCGGGAGGTCAGACTCAATGACTTGGTTGTTAGAGGTCACTTAATGAACCGGATGGTCAGGTTCAATGACTTGGTTATTGGAGGTGGCTTAATGAACCGGGAGGTCAGACTCAATGACTTGGTTGTTAGAGGTCACTTAATGAACCGGGTGGTCAGGTTCAATGACTTGGTTGTTAGAGGTGACTTAATGATCTGTGTGGTCAGACTCAATGATTTGGTTGTTAGAGGTAACTTAATGAACCGGGTGGTCAGACTCAATGACTTTGTTTTTAGAGGTAACTTAATGAACCGGGAGGTCAGACTCAATGACGTCATGGTAAAAGTTGCCCACACCATCAACCACTGGTTTATCTAGTCTTAATCTGTAGAGGTCGCCTTTAAACAAACAAAGAAACTACACTCTCTTATTATTTAAGGTTAACCAAGGACTGTAAAGTCGCCATGTTTATGTGAACATTTCTTCTTAAACGCTGGCATAATTCATATTTTTAGTATATTCATTGTAGGCTTATGCAGTGACTGTCGTCAAAGCCATCCAAGTTCGTTCACACCTGTTCAAGACTCTCCATCACAGGTGCACTGTTAAGTATGGTACGGCGGGAATATGTATTGGGCCAATACACCAACACGGAAACTCTAAGGAGGACCTTCAAATCTGTTTTAGAGAAGAACCGGGAGGGTTTAGAATGTCTTCAAGGTTTGCAAGAGGAGACCCTTGTGAAAATAACTTCATATCTTTATCATCTGATGAAGAGTATAGCTGTAAAGTTATACGCAAGTTTATTTCCTGCTCTTGATGATTCACAGATGGCCGATCTCTTTGAAGAAGACAACACTGAACTTGAAGCATTATCAATATCAAATAAAATTTATACAGACAGCATATTGACGGGAATTTTGAGCAAAATTGACTCGGCATTTGAAATGATTTCAATTAAAGGAAAATACTTTGTGGACAGTGGTCTGGTCAGTTTTGAAAAAGATGACCATACACTTGAAGTCCGTGGAGAACATTCAAAGGAACATACAAAAGACACCTTGGAGAGGCTACAGGAACTGATAGAGCAAAGGAGTGATAGGACATTGTTCAGTCATTATGTAACGTACTTTGAGTTACCAGCGCAAATATATAGTATATTTACTGTACATAATATTCAGTATTCATGTCCAACACAAATATTTGATCAAAATACAGATCCCTTTTTTGTGGATTTGAAACATTTTCAAGAAAAATTAACAGCGTTTTGTGGGTCCCCATTGTCTCATACCAAGTTGCCGGACATTGACCTCAGTGATATCGCTCGACATGAACAATTTGAACAAATTATGAAAACACTGAATGACCTGGAAAACGCATTACAGTACAGGCCACCGTCAGATGGCAGCACTGGTCGTCCAGATGAGAGCAATATGCAAAATATCTGGAAACTTTTTGAAAGGTTTTTGTTACAAAGATTTGCGATTCAGAAGCCAGGAGGTGTCAACATCTCCCTTCATCACACTCCGCAATTATTTTGAAAAACTAGCGAGGGGGGAAGCATTAAGTATTGAGGACGAAATGAGGTATGAAGGTTTGAGATTTGCATCCTTTGAAGAATAAACGTGGAAACTTCATCTCTCCGTCTGGCGGCAGCAGGTTCTACGCTACAGGAGATGAAGATGAGACTAGATGCTTCAGCTGTGGTGTGACATACAGGAACTGGGAAATGAGGGACAACCCATTTGTTATTCATAGTCGCATTTCCCCTAATTGCATCCATGCAATTGGAACAGATGAAAGGAATGTCCCCATTCAGCTTCCATCAGAAGGTGCAACAGTTACTCCACCAAGAGAAGGCCATGGTAGCACTCCTGTGGCGAGTGAGTCAGAAAGCGCTACCCAAATCCAAGGAGCAGTCGGTGTTGCAATGAGTAACGCAGGAGAAAGTTATAATCAGATTGTCGATGAAATGCCTCCTAGGCAGTCAGCTCGCTACAGTGATAGTGCGTTGCCATCATCACCAACATCAAGGTTGAGGTTTGAAGATGCAGTACACCCTCACTACAGTAACTCTGGACACCGTCTGGAGTCTTTCCACTTGTGGCCCGAGGGACACACCCACAGTCCTGAAGAGCTTGTCCGTGCAGGATTTTTCTATGCAGGTATGTGAGGAGTTGCATGACGTCTTTGACCATTATTCCCGAGCACCGACCTGACAATTGACCCATATTAGCATGTATGAGTGCCGCCCACTGGCGCTGTGCCATTGTGAGCGAAGGGACCCCATGTTGTCCGCGATCAAGTGTAGTGCGATGGGTGAAGCGCGTGGCCTGTCTCAGCAAACTCCTACGCGCGGAATCAATTTCATCGTCATGCACTTCACGTGCACTAGCCTACATCTGCTCTACCTTTCAGAAACCAAATGGGTTTGCTCATTGCCGTGCACCAACAACTTCTCTAAAACGCGTTCTCTGCGTTGGTCCATCTTGTCCTTGTTTGCCAGTATATGGGGATCGAACCCCAGCCTTTGGCCTCACGATTGATCGGTTTTACAATCTGAATACCCATCTGCTGGTATGTCCTATGAAGACTGACGATTAATATGTTAATGTAATGGCCATTGATTGAATGATAGATGTACCTGTTGATATATATTTACTTTCACCATCCACCTGCCAATTGTGGGCAACAAAGAAATATGTTTGGTTGTAAATGCCCTTATAAATATGCATAAATATTATGACAGGTTATTCCGACTGTGTGCGCTGTTTTGTGTGCGGTCTTGGTCTGAGAACATGGGAGGAGGGTGATGACCCCTGGATGGAGCACATCCGCTGGAGGTCATCTTGTGCCTACGTGGAAGCCGCAAGAGGCAAGAACTTCATCATCCAGACGCTGGCAGCCATTGGGCGGGCCACACATACACCAGAGCAGAATGTAAGGAATGATTGAGTGAGTGGGTTTAGAGTTACGCCGCACTCAGAAATATTCCAGAAAAATGACGGCGGTCTGTTCATAATCGAGTCTGGACCAGACAATCCAGTGATCAACAGCATGAGCACTGAATGTACGGATTCTACTGTGACATATATAGGGATATTGAAATGTGCACTCTCTTGTCTTATATACAGCTTTAGTATGATTTCATCATTCTAAGTATTACTTCTTTGCACTTTCTTCTCAAGACTGGTGGAATTCAGCAACGTTCATCCAATGACAGACACAACCATGATACTTCAAAGGAAGGTATGTACACAAACCACCATCATTAGGGAGTGGTTTCGTTATACCACAATCGGTCGTGTTAGGGCCTGAGCGTAGGAGCGTTATTGGTTGCTTTGAGCTTAAAATGTGACACATTTTCAAGGCCTTCGCATACATTATTCTTGCTTTTAACGTTTGGTTGCTGTTCAAAATTCTAAAATATGAGTTTTGAAAGCAGAAACCGCTAAGTGTGGCGTACTTTTCAGATTGCCATTGCCTTAATTAACCTTAGCTTAGGTTTTTCTATATTCTACCGTCAAAACAGCATCATGATTGTTTTGGTATCTTAAAACGTCTGTTAAACGAACACACTCGTATTTTGTAGTATGAAACTGTAACACTTGTCTACCATCTTTATACTACTTTGAACAGTGGAAGCTGAACTAACATTACCTGTGACAGGGGTCACTGGTTTGTAGTGATTTCAGTGATGCTTTGATTTAAGCTGAAACATATCACGCTGTTTCTCACATAACTTCCACATTCACAATAAAAGAACTAAAGCAGGTATATGTTGCATTCTTACAAATATACTCTTCAAAAAAAGAAACTTGACATGCTGTTTTGGAGTTTACTTACTAAATGCATATAACTCATTCAAACCTGACATCATTGCTCAATTACAGTAAAACCATCCTTTTACAAATTTCCAAAACATGATTATCGAGAAAGTATTTGGTAAAACCACAGAGGGCTATTAAAGCCTCTTGGTCAGAGTGAAATGTCAGTATCTGGTGTGACCACCATGATCATCGATAACAGCTTGGCAGCGGTGACCCACAGAAGAAAGGAGATGCCGAATGCTGTCTTGAGGAATGTTTTGATACTTTTTCTGAAGTGCTGTGTGCAGTTCTTGTAGTGTCTGAGGTGGCGGATTACGCTGACGCAAGCGTCGATCAAGAGTATCCCATAGATGCTTAAAGGAGAATACGAGAGAATGGCAATAATTTGCTGGGTGAAAGATAAAGTCATCAGAAACATATACCAAAATTTTCAATTAAAAATATGTATATATATGTTTTAATCGCGAAAACAGTTTCTGTTATCTGAGCTTCGGCCATTATGCATATTCCGCTGGAACTCACGTGTCCTTTCCGCTCGTGACGTCAAATGTGTCTAAAGTCCGCCATATTGCCAAAGACCGAGCGCTACACTAGTACAACACTTACTTTCAAGACCAGTTGGCATCGGGATGCACTCACCAGAGTCACATCTAAGAATTATATTTAAATATATTGAAAACATCTAAAATGATTTGGCACATTAACAATATAACTGAACCGATAAAACCGATTATTCGACAGTTGTTTATTGGACGAACTTACCAGTCTGTGTTCCCGAGTCTTCCGATGTTGACATCAAGAGGTCAAGATGTTAAAACTGTAACCTATTATAGCTACCTTGGTGTTCTGTTCTCATCATCATTGAAGTGGCCAAAAGCATGTCAAACTATCTCCCTCAAAGATAGTAAAGTAATTTTCTCCATGTATAGATTATTTCGTAAGAATAAGCATATTTCCTTTATAGTTGCTTGTAAATGTTTTGATAGTACAATCATGCCTGTATAACGATATGGTTCAGTAGTAGTAGTAGTGTCGGAGATTCAGCGCAGTCTGGGGATTTGGATTGTTGTGGATGATGCGGCCGTGGTGTTTGAACGACGATGTCTCAACCAGATGTAGCAATCCTGGGCGGCGGTGGTAACTCCAGGTCGACCTGACCTGGGTCTGTCATTAACACACTCAGTATTGTTGTATCGGGTCCATAGGTTTGAGATGGTCTGTGTGGAGACGCTGAAGTGCCTTGCCACCTCATGCTGCGATGCCCGTCCTTGCAAACGGCCGATGGCGTTGTGTCGTTGAGCTTCTGTCAGTCTTTTCATTCTCTTGTCGTCTAAAGTGGCTTAAAGCAATGCATGTGGAGAACCATTGATGTGGGTCTTTAAAGCCTACAGTCATAGGCTTCAGCGCAGGGTGACACACAATTCCATGATGCACGTGCATTTCATGTAGGGTGCGTTTTAGCGATTCACTACAGACGTGAGTGTAACGTTACGTTTTTGTTCAACGTTTCTTTTTTCAAACGTTTTGTCGTCGGCTAACCATGTTGGGATTCAGTATGGATTGGTTTGTGTCAAATATTTTCTTAAAATTCAAATTTCTTAAATGTCAAGTTTCTTTTTTGAAGAGTAAATGTCACCATGCAACCTATATCTATTAACTGGCGAGGGCGGTGGGGTAACCTAGTGGTTAGAGAGTTCAATCGTTATGCCGAAGGCCCTGGCTCGATTCCACATATGGGTACAATGTGTGAAGTCCATTTCTGGTGTCCCCCGCCGTGATATTGCTGGTGTATTGCTAAAAGAGGCGTATACCTCACTCACTCACTGTTGAGGTAACGGTCTCTATAACAATGTATACAATGTTTTAATTATTGGGCACCGACGCCAATTGGTTCTGTCGTCATCAACTAGTTGAACATTCTTTTGCAGACATCTTGAGAACTAGTGCGTGTGAGAGAGCCCTAGAGATGGGTTTCAGCAGAGGACAAGTGATGTTGGCAGCTCAGTCTACCATTGCCAGTGCAGGTAAGTTGACAAGACGTGAAACACCGTGCGAATCTCTATCTTAGATGCCATTATCTTATATATACTGTTATGTAATTTTACATCGGGGTTAAAATGAACATAATAATAACAATACTCATGCACAGATTGATGTATGTCAGTACAATGAAAAGTTAGATATTCACGCTTACAACTGAATGAAAAGATTGACGGTCTTTCAAAATGTCCACGGTTCACAAGTCTCAGAAGGAGGAGGGGGTTAGCACCGTGCGTGGCCATTGCGAGCCAGAATCAATGCTTTACCCATAGAAGCACTTAGAAGCAGTAAGACGTCGAATAGCGTTACAGGTTGGAGATGGTTTGTCTGGAAACACCAAAGTTGTTGGCAACATCTTGTTGTGTCGCTCCTGCTTCCAGGCGGCCAGTAGCATTTTGACCTTGTGCTTCCGACATCCTCACCATGTTTAACACCATACACTGTCACAATTCGATCTGTCACATGGATTCGATTCATGGTATTTTATAGCCACCCAGCATGGATAAGTGAAGAAAGCACAACTGCACGTGCAGTTCTTAAGACATGCATTTTGGTGATATGCTTGAAACGTCGTTCGAACATTGACGTTTAAATGGTACTGGTTCACTTTCACACAGATCTTCTCAATTACCCTTTGCTTTATGCTCCTCCATCCAGTCTACCGAGGTATCTTTGTAGCCTTAAACACTGTTGCTTTACTTACCTATGTAAAAGAACATTTTTGAACAGTATAATATTTATCACCTGGCTTTGTCGGAATATTTACATCTTAGGTTGAAATGTTTGTACTAGTTATTATAACCAAAGTTTATGCTATATGTTCCAGGGAGACAGGCATTAACACTACCCGGTCTTATTGAGAGGATACTAGTTGTTGGAAGCCCAGATGAAGCAGAAGGTGCTCAAGGTGGATACTCCGGTGGGAACTCCCAGGAACAAAATGGACAGGCGGGGAAGGTGATGTCAAGTAGAATGGGAAATACGGATAGCAGATCGTCAGGTGAAAAGAACAATACAACAAGGCAGGCACACCTGCTCAGATCTCCACCAGTTAGCACAGATAGTGGATACAAATCTTTGCCTGTAGAGAACCATGTTAGACTGCCTCCAGCACAGCAAACATCGGGAAATATTCATACTGGACATCCCAGCACAAACATCAATTACAATCTGGAAATTGCAGCTCAACCATCACCAGGAGCAGAGGGCCCTGAAGAGAGAGGAAGACCGAAGGAATCAAACGCACCTGTGAATAGATTCTCAAGTTTTCCTACCAACCGACATGAAATCAAGGAAATTGATAAAATACAGAAAACTGACAATAAGAAAGGTAATGATGTGGTAATGACGGTACCTTATGGTGATACACCAATGCGATGACAATGATTATCTGACATAAAACGCATTGATCATAACATTGGTAATATTTGGTCAATACATATTTTCTATTAAGGTTTAATGCCTGCATTGTATTGCTTACAGGCAAGGGCAAGGGAGACCGGAAGGCTACCGCAGAAGAGACACGGCAACTAAAAGAGTCAAGTGCGTGTAAGATATGTTTTGAGGAGCCCGCCAACATCGTCTTCCTCCCCTGTGGACACCTGGTGGCCTGTGCCGTGTGCTCACCAGCTCTAGAACTTTGCCCAATCTGCAGGAAACACATCCGGGGAACTATCCGTGTTCATATGATTTCTCGAGAGAAACATATAGACCACTTATAAATACATGGAATACTGTAAAGAAGAACAGGTTTTGCTGAACTTGATTCAAAACATCGATTTCATCCTTTAGCATTCTCCAGAAAATATGTGAACAATGTGTAAATAGATATCTTGGCAGAAGACATGTGCATATTATATTGTAGCGAGACAACAACGTTATCTGAAACCCTTGCCACAGCCCGATTAGAATTGTGTTTCTTCATATAGCAAAGAGTAGCAAAGAAGTAAATGATACCAGATAAGAGAAGACATGCATAACGAAAGCTGGACATCATCAGCAAAACGATTAAATGTAAAATAAATACACATAAGAGGCACTTTGTATCATAATGGAAAACAGTAATTTATGACATCACTTTTCAAACTCAGAAACTTCCTGAAACTTTCGAAGTTTCTGAGAAAACCTTTCCAGAACATCATTCAGACTCTCTAGCTGTAACACTGTACGCTCACGATAACAAGAAAAAACATGTAGCATGGGAGATGACCCTGAAATTTATTCATTTAAGGCGCCACTTTGAATAGGCATGCAGCCTTCCATTTATGTAACTTCGATAGGTTTTGAGAAAACAGGTCCCCAGCAAGCCAACATGTGAAGAACTCTAAATGGTGTATAGGGACCCATTTTACTACCTCAGGACGGAATGACATTTACCTGCTTTAAAAGTTACAAAAATCACAAATTACGATTGTTTCAGTTTAGAATACGACAGAGAATTAAAGCAAAACAAATTCATATCTAAAATGACTAAATGAAATCTGATGATTCCTGTGGTTTGGGGCTCTCATATTATTGTGCGTGCGTTTTATCCGTGTCATGAAAAATAAATAGCTTTTAAAAATATTTTCTATATCAAATCTATATACACTGAAATACAATGAACAGTATTAGAGAGGCTGTGACACTTCTTGGGGAACCATTAATACAGATTATATTCTTAATATAAAGTTCATTTGCACAAACGTTTATGTTTCGGATGGAATGACGCCATATAAACTTGAAAGTCCGTATCAAACTATTTGCATCAGAATATTCTATAGAAAAATGCAATCCCCTCACATAGTGACAGAGGGGTAAACTTAAACAACGGAACATGCACCGACATGTGTATCTCCTCACCAAGATTCATACACATGCCATACTAGCAACTTAATATAAAACAATGTGAATGAATATATAAATAGTGCAGTGCACAGCTATCAGTTGACATAATCGGTTACATTGACAATTAAAACAAATTGTTATTTTATTTCTTCATATTAAAATAAACATTGCTATGTCTTGCACTGTTATGTGACTACATTTAATATAAATTATTCTTTATGTATATATCCTGTACATATTATGAAGCATTGTAGCAATGTATCTCAAGCACTATGATATTACGGGGGTGATAGCCTAGTGGTTAAAGCGTTCGCTCGACACGCTGAAGACCCGGGTTCAATTCCCCACATGGCTGCAATGTGTGAAGCCCATTTCTGGTGTTCCCCGCCGTGATATTGCTGGAATATTGCTAAAAGCGGCGTAAAACAAAACTTACTCACTCACTCACTATGGTAATATCGTTGACAATACCGTGGTGCATCTTAAACATATTCTCGGGTAATGTATTCAACAGGATTTTCCGATCACCAGATTGTCCTTAAATATTCTATGGTACACTATGTAATTCCCTCAATGGTTGACTAATAAACCCGTCGTTAATTTCTTGTTGCGTGGGTTGGTCATATACAGTGGTACCTCTGCCAAGCAAGTCAAAAAAATAAACACAGAGGAAGAAGCGTTGGTCAACTCCCTCCACTAGTCTCGCGGAAGATACTGTTCCGTGTTTGTGACGTAGTGACATAAGCTCCGCCCACTCAGGTTTAAGGGCACAACACACGTCGATCCTATTTTCGCTTTGAAACAAACGCCATTTTGAACTTGAACGAGGCATACCGTTTGTGGTAAGATTTAAACCTGTTGTTTAAAGATACATTAACGATAAGAATCATGAATCGCCAAGTCCTAGGTAATCGTGGCACGACACACAATGTAAAGCAGTCCAGAAGTCACGTTTGATCATTCTTCAATACTGTACCATACTTTCATCATCTGGATACAGGCCTGTGCTTGACATATTGGACATTTATTCCTATTCTCCGTGTAAAATCATAATGACTTCTTATGATTCAAACGATCTTTTTGATATCATCACTACGGCATCCGTATGTGTCTGACTGCTGTTCCATTTATTCAAGAATTGAATGTTAGATTTACACGAATTAACATTATTATAAACGAGTTACCTCCCTTCGCCTGCACTGTTCACATGCGTCTGTACACTCGGGCACAGCGATGACTTAACATAACATCACTGCCACAGGCTAAATTGCACATCACTTGACCGGACTTTTCTCTTGTTTGTAATCAAACGCGCATATTCATAATAAGAAGAGACTGGACTCACGAAAGCTTTTCGGCGCTCTCTTCATAATGTTTTACATTGTTACATATATATTCTTCCACAACTGCGAGTGTAAGGTCTATGACAGTACATATTTAGATATCAAACTGGCTGCATCGCTTGCTCTCCATCAGCTTCGATGACAGCACGTGGAGCCGTACAACCTATGTAAACAAAGGATCGCTACGCAAATCGAAATAGTGTTACATGTTTTAGGATATTTTCTCTGTGGAACTAAACCATTCTATTAAAGATGAATAGTTAGATGTTCAGACTCGTCAAAAATAAAACAGTTAAAGTAATCTGTACAATATATTGAATGGACATTGCAAGATGTGACGAATCGTCACATTTTTCTGGCCTGTGGCAGATATACTATGCTGGCTTGCCGCATGGAACTCTGGGTAGGAGAGTGATACTTCTGTGTACATACATACCAGACGAGTTGCAATTTAAGTCCCTTGAAGCCAGTGCTGCAACTCTGCGCTTATTACCCACTCTATGTAAACTTGCCAGTTTTTTACCGTGAAAACGGGGTGAGTTCATGTCACCTATTTCGTTAGGTAGTTCAGAATTTAGTATAACCCAGACAGTTAATCCCTTAAAACAACATGCACAGTCAGCCCCCAAACATCAATAGATTTTCACTGTAATAACAAATGTCTACTTCAAGTTAAGACACCTACCCACCTTAGGAATTGGGTTGTGACACTACTAAGCAATAAATTATAATCATGCTATGGTATATCAAACAGCGTGAGGCTCTTGGAACTCTTGTCATGTCACCACACATGTTAAGTAAGCCAGCTATTTCTGTCGTTATCTCCCAGCTTTCACACGTTACATTAGCACAATGTTTTATCGTTCGTTCACTTATCACCTTGCTCTGTTGTATGTAGTAAAATAAAATATGGCGTTGTGCTTATATTACTTAATGAACTCGGTGCATTAAAGTGTTACAATTATTTATTTAGAAAGTGAAATTTGACGGCGTTTGTTGAAGGCTTACGTTAAAGATAGGGAAACATGTACATGTACATGAGATGAAATATATAGCTGAAGAGCGTGAAGAGAATTTAATGTGTTATAATCATAATAAACATCTTTGCTATCGTCCATCCACTGTAAGCAACCCGTCTTCTTCTTCCTTCAAACGGATAGAGCAGTGGCGGTGAAGCCTTTCACGTTGTCATCGTCTTCCTATAAACGGATAGAGCAGTGGCGGTGAAGCCTTTCACGTTGTCATCGTCTTCCTTTAAACGGATAGACCAGTGGCGGTGAAACCTTTCACGTTGTCACCGTCTTCCTATAAACGGATAGACCAGTGGCGGTGAAACCTTTCACGTTGTCACCGTCTTCCTATAAACGGATAGACCAGTGGCGGTGAAACCTTTCACGTTGTCATCGTCTACCTTTAAACGGATAGAGCAGTGGCGGTGAAGCCTTTCACGTTGTCATCGTCTTCCTTTAAACGGATAGACCAGTTACGGTGAAACCTTTCACGTTGTCATCGTCTTCCTTTAAGCGGATAGACCAGTGACGGTGAAACCTTTCGTTGTCATCGTCTTCCTTTAAGCGGATAGACCAGTGGCGGTGAAACCTTTCACGTTGTCATCGTCTTCCTTTAAGCGGATAGACCAGTGGCGTGAAGCCTTTCACGTTGTCATCGTCTTCCTTTAAAGCGGATAGACAAGTGGCGGTGAAACCTTTCGCGTTGTCATCGTCTTCCTTTAAACGGATAGAGCAGTGGCGGTGAAGCCTTTCACGTTGTCATCGTCTTCCTTTAAACGGATAGACCAGTGGCGGTGAAACCTTTCACGTTGTCATCGTCTTCCTTTAAACGGATAGACCAGTGGCGGTGAAACCTTTCACGTTGTCATCGTCTTCCTTTAAACGGATAAAGCAGTGGCGGTGAAACCTTTCACGTTGTTATCGTCTTCCTTTAAACGGATAGACCAGTGGCGGTGAAACCTTTCACGTTGTCATCGTCTTCCTTTAAACGGATAGACCAGTGGCGGTGAAACCTTTCACGTTGTCACCGTCTTCCTTAAACGGATAGACCAGTGGCGGTGAAACCTTTCACGTTGTCACCGTCTTCCTTCAAACGGATAGACCAGTGACGGTGAAACCTTTCACGTTGTCATCGTCTTCCTATAAACGGATAGACCAGTGGCGGTGAAACCTTTCACGTTGTCACCGTCTTCCTATAACGGATAGACCAGTGGCGGTGAAACCTTTCACGTTGTCATCGTCTTCCTATAAACGGATAGACCAGTGGCGGTGAAACCTTTCACGTTGTCACCGTCTTCCTTTAAACGGATAGACCAGTGGCGGTGAAACCTTTCACGTTGTCACCGTCTTCCTATAAACGGATAGACCAGTGGCGGTGAAACCTTTCATCGATTATACCAGTGTTCATGTCTCTATTCTTTGTTGACATAGCTACGATCATACGATGAACGTAATGCCTCTCTCCCGCGTTACTGAACCGTCATTTTAACCCCTTTCTCTGACCTGCATTCCCTCATTTTGAATTGTTGGTCTCATCGATGTCTCTAAAGCAGGGGAGAAAGTATCAGCTATTGTGGTTACAAATGATGGTACAGTTTCACTTGGACTCATATCCTTATATTCAAACTCATTGCCATACGATTTTATCATTTTTTAACAAAATTCAACTTTATGACAAAAACACTTTAGACAAAATATTCTTCCACTTTGTGATGTATGACATATACTCATGGAAACGAATAAGGGGAACACAAGAAAGTGCAAGTGTTTCTGCACTCTTTTCCAGGCTTCTTCGCATGCTTTGTATTGTAGTGTGGGTGAAATTCTGGAAATAAACAAAGGAACACTTGTACTTACATGTTGTCCTTTTACATTTCCACGAGTATATATTTTATATGCTCATTCCTTTACGAGTGTTCTCTGATGGGCGTCTTAGTAACTGCTACTCGCTGCGAATAGCTAGAGAAGTGCTGATGTGGCGTAAAACAATAGTTGACTTGACAATCCAGTGATTAACATCATGAGCATCAATTTACACATCTGGGATAATCAGCTATAAATTAAACAAACCCAGCTTAGAGTGAGTGAGTTTGGCTTTACGCCGCTTTTAGCAATATTCCAGCAATATCGCTGCGGGGGACACAAGGAATGGGCTTCACACATTGTACCCATGTTGGGAATCGAACCCGGGTTTTTTGGCTTGACGAGCGAGCGCTTTAACCACTAGTAATAGGCTAGGCCACTGAGAAAAACAAGAATAATTCTTGCCCGAATGATCGTGGACTATATATCTTGTCGATCCTGTCTATGTATTTGAGTGAGTACATACACGGCATGATGGCAATTACATGTATATTGCATTTATGTCTCTGTTACATCTCTGTTCATGCGCATTGAGCATGTTGGAGTATGGAACAGCATATGAAGGTATTTTAGTTATTGGGGCTGCCATTGTATTTGACTCTCACACTTTCACATGACAACCAATGCATTTAAAGTGATACGTATCGTGTTACGTATATTACTTTTTCTTGATTCATAGCCCCGTGACCTTGCCGTGACGTTGTTCGGTTTTCATTTTCGCTTAGTTATGTGCTATTTCATTTCATGGGTCTGAAGGAAACTGAGTTGAATGTTGTTTGATATAACACGTTCTTCCTTTTTACAGCAGTTGGTGAAAACAGTGCGACCAGATGAATGTAAATCATCCCGCGTCATGGGAAAAGATATCATCGCCTCGGAAATACGGAATGAAAGAAAATCAAGGGTGAACTCACTATCTGAGCAAAGTGAAGATAAAATACAAACGCCTTGTTGGTATATTATATCACAGGTTGATGCTCCCCTTTCTATTCATTTACTCTGTCAAAAAAAGTGCCCCTTTATTTTCAAGACAAACATGATAAACGAAAGGAAAGCAAGTTTTGTGGATGACACGAGTGAAGACATTGAACACGATGCAGCATCAACAAGTGGGGGACAAGAGAGTAGTACATACTCACAGAAACATGACAACAAAGGGACATATAATGCCTTGGCTGAAGAACGGAATGGACTTAGTGATTCCACGCGGAGGCGTTTCGAAGAGTACTTACGAAGCGCTTTGAAATCGAATTACCAACTAGCTTTCATACCTATGTGCTTGTCATCTTATTTGATACAGGCGGATTATCACATAAGTTTAACTGAAATAAATTCAGTACATTTCGAAAAGAAGCAAACTGGCCATAAGCCGCTAGGAAAACACACTGCGAAAAAATACCTTCTCCGTCAATACGGAAACATTGATGGAAGGAGACATGAACTTCGCCATATTTTGCAAAAGTTTTTTGATTTGGATGTTTGTCAGTCTAGTCAACCAATGCCGTCTGAAATGGTTTTGGCTTATGAGAGTATACTCGACAAAGTGTGGAAAGTCCTTGAGTTTGCTCTACCATTCATTACACACAGAGATTATTTTGCAGAAAGAGCTTCAGGAGACAGAGTGACAGAAGAAGAAGAGATGAGGCATGAAGGGTTGCGATTGAGGTCTTTTCACGGAGTGAACATGAATGTTTCATATCTACGTCTGGCAGCGGCAGGCTTTTATGCCACGAAAACTGGTGATGAAACCAAATGTTTCAGTTGTGGTTTAACACACAGAAACTGGGAACGAGGTGATAACCCTTTTGTAGTTCACACTCATCGTTCACCAACATGTAAACATTTAAATAGCACAGATGTCAAGAATGTTCCTATTCAACTTCTAAAGTCATCTCAACCTTCAACTGACAGAACACATCAAAGCACACAAGAATCAGAACCGTTAGGAAATGCGGGTCAGGATGACGTTCAAGGTGCAACAGGCACTACCAGAAATTGTACAGATGCATATCAGGTACCACGGCCATTTCCTACTCAACACTCTGCACTTTCAGCAAGAGACAATGATGAAGCGGCACCTGTGTTAAGCTTCGACGGGTCAGTCCATCCTCATTACAGCTCGACTGCTAGCCGTCTTGAATCCTTCAAGCTGTGGCCTGAAGGGCATAGCCAAAGACCCGAAGAACTCGTCAGAGCAGGATTTTTCTATGCCGGTAATATTACTCTATTTTCGTCGATGTCATATGAACGTGATTTTTCACACTGGTACTGAAATTAACAACCCTAAGTTTTCACATTTCTTTGAGCTACGTGTAAGGTTCCACAAAATGGTTAAATTATATGAAGTCTCAATGGACAAATTTAAAGGGAACAGTAAGGATGAAGAGTAGATGTATACACATTCTTATTGGGCCCATTTTGCATTTAATGAGTATAAACTATGTCATCGATCTACACTTTCTGGCGCTGGTATGTTGACAGTTATTTCATGCCATTGTGCAGTATATGTTTCCAGTTCAATTACAACAGCCTGTATACACATCAATAAAAACAAATGATAGCATCAACTGATGACTAAAATTGCCCAGAAAATAATATCACTGTTTACTTGATACCAAGTTTGTTGATAATGCTAGATACCTTTCAGCACCAGAAGCCTATGAAAAATCTATGCAGTTCAAAGATACCTTTGCATTTAATTTGCAAATGGCAACGGTTTCTGGTGGATGTATAATAATATTTGATTGACTATATAGACGTTGTTGTGTCTTGCAGGTTACGCTGACTGTGTGCGTTGTTTTGTCTGTGGTGTTGGTCTCAGGACATGGGAGGAAGGAGATGACCCTTGGACTGAACATATCCGCTGGAGATCGTCTTGTGCTTATGTAGAAGCTGTGAGGGGAAAACGCTTCATAGTGCAGACATTAGCAGCACTTGGACGTTCCTTCAAGCGACATCAAAAGTAAGTAACTTCTAGTTATTAGCTATATGCAAACTTTATACCTGTTGTAGTAATCCAAGCAACATTGTTAGTATGTAATAGCCTGAACATGATTCACGTCGCTAATTGTTGGTCAAAATGTTAGTAGCATTTGTTTTATATGTTTGAGTTTGCTGATATTTTCTAGACTGACCGAAACCAACAGGTACCTTCAAGTAACAACATAAACCGGAACGAAGAAGGAGAAGGTATGGCCGTAATCACATGATCATGTTCGTTGAACTGATGCAAATATTTACAAAGTACCTTGGTGTTCAATGAAGATCTCAACAAATAACTTCAACGCTTACCACATCGACATGCTAAATATAGTGGTTCCTTATGAAAGACCTCCAAAGAGTTTGACATGGTGGCTTCTCAAGGGCATTTTAACTCACGGTTCCTTGCCCAAAATACTTATGTTAAAATATCCATGTGCATAGGTATGTATGTATGAATTCAAGAAGGATCTCGTCTATGATTTTAGATGTCAAAAGAATGCCAAAGATAAAAGGAAGATGTACTTAATATGTCTGAACGCTTCGTAATAAAACTGTAAAACACTAGGGTAGCTGTTCTTCCTGTGAAGGATCTGTCTGCACTGGTCTATCTGCTACCTTCATGATTTACTCTGGTCTTAATGACATGATAGGCCTAGAATAAATATGGCAAACTTGGCTTAATGCTGCCCCGATTGATCATTGCAAAACTTGGTTCTCGACTAAGACTGAGTTAAGATATGTACTTATTGAAGTCTTTTATGAACAGGCACTATAAGGAAGGCAGTGTGTGAACAGGCAGTGGAGATGGGCTTCAGCTGGGACAAAGTTGAAGCTGCTGCTAGGGCAACTGTGAACCCTGCAGGTGAGTCTCCTTGTTCTTGAATACTAACACATTTTAAAGGAGATATTGTGTTCCAGTTATTGAATATAACACAATGCTTTCCAGGAAAATCATCACTGACTCTAGATATGCTCCTTGAGACGATCCTTGTGACAGATGGAGAAGTGTCAGAACAAACAGAAGCTGACCTACCCATGGAGAGAGAAGTTCCAGAAAGAGCTCATTCTAACATTGACAGTTGTTTATTTGACACAACGCAAGAGGTATCAAGAATCACAGAGACAATGTTGGACAATGAAGAAGAAAGACGGAAATCCCTAGATCCCCAAAGAAGACAGGCACTACAGAGAATTCCAGAGGACGAAAACACTTCTTCAGATAATACAAGTGCAGGAGCAGGCTTAACAGGTTCCTCACTGGTCACGAAAAAGGAAGAAGAAGATAAAGATTCCTTGACATCAAACCCACCGAAAAAAGAATTTATTGTAACTGGACGAAGAACAAGCTCTTTGACAAACGTTTTCTACAACGACAATGACTCACCACAGCCAGGTGTCCCCTCTTCTGGAAATACAACATCCTCTTTGGGTGACAATAACGATGGGAGAAACGTTGGAGACAGACTTATGGGTGCAGCTGTTCTTAGTATGCCTACTGAAAGACAAAGGCCTGAGAAAATTGATAAGATAAAGAACAAGTCTCAAGACAAAGGTAATGGTATGATATAATTAGACTTAGTCTGATTCAAATTGTACAGACTGAAGTAATATGTATCAGTGACTGATATTGATTATATATCTGTTTAATCTAGATATAGAACCGATACACGTACAATATAGATGCAGAATATAACCTTGACACGAAAAGACATTGTCAAAGTAAAGAAACATAGAAGTTTAAAATGTAAAATAGAAAGTCCTCCTCATTAACCAGAATCTGTATATTTGACCATACATTTTATGTAATCACCAGGGATGGCTTTCCACAACACGTTCAGTTGCCTCCTGGATATTCCGAGAAATGACCACATGGTGTTCCAGTATGTCATCTATTGTGTTTTGATATATGTTGTTCTCAGGCAAGAGCAAGGAAGACTTGAAGGCTACAGTAGAAGAGACACAGCAATTAAAAGAGTCAAGTGCATGTAAGATATGCCTGGAGGACCCCGCCAACATCGTGTTCCTCCCTTGCGGACACCTGGTAGCCTGTGCCGAGTGCTCACCAGCTCTAGAACGTTGCCCAATCTGCAGACAACACATCCGGGGAACTGTTCGTGTTCATATGGCTTCTCGGGAGAAATATATTGCCAACTTCTGAATATCTGTTTGTGAACTGTAACCAAAAGCAACATAAATCTGCTCCGGGTAAGCATCGTCTTCATCATCTGTGTCCCCTTGGTGATCTGTGTCTTGTGCTCAACAGTTCCAGAATGCTGCCAAATCTGCACATCCGGGTAACTGTCTGCATTCACATGACAGAGGTTAGTCATGAAAATTCAGTAGACAAAATACACATCGTCACTAATACTGCGTGACCCATTATCGGCCTGATTTCATGATGCGCATACCCGGTATTTGTCATGAAACAGTGTCGTCGTTACCATGAATGATAATGATATGATTTGCTCATAAAACAAACTATATAGTGTACATAATATATATCCATATCAATGTATAATTTCCTAACCTAGAGGTAATAGGAATACTTTGTAAAAACACGATTTCCGGTTGATCTGTAGATTGCAGTCACAATGAAGACATTACTGTTGCAGTAGTAGTGCACAACAACACACTCATGTCGACTTTCATGAAGTGATGCGGTGATGTTAACGAATCCCAGGACAAAATGCTCTCGGACAACACCACCCCCACCCCCACCCAAAAAAAGAAGAAGACAAAAACAAACAAAAAAACATACACAAAAACAACAACAACAACAAAACAAACAACCAAAACAACAAAATGAAGACAACAAAAAACAAAACAAAAACAAAAGAAACATAAAACACCCCGGACATTATCCCCCTCCCTCCTTGTAAACGGAGATTTTGTCCGGGGAGATTTTGTCCGGTTAACGATGTTAACATGAACACAGCATGTGCCTCACTCACGATGTCTAACTGAGGCTAATACTGGACATTCATGAGTGCACTGATTTATTTAACCGAGTAGTAAAACTGATAAATTGCTATAATTACTTCCAGCTTGTGTGAACGTTTCTGTAGACGACTCGTATTGCTACGAAGTTGCTTCCTTTTACCCTTAATACTTGTTGCAGTTTCTGTGTAGTGGTTTCCGACTTTGCTCACGTTTATCGTCTTAAGTCAGTATTGCTAAATTATCTTGTAAGAATTTTGGTTTGTTTGTTATATCCTAACTTCAATAAATCATTTAACAATCGGTTGGATTACGGTGTGTTTATTCCCTTTTTGCGTATTCACGAGTTCGAATGATTGCAGCTTATGACACCATGTGTATGAACCCGTTTACTTTGATTACATTTGCGGTATGTTAGGAAATTGTTTGGTTTGGGTGAAAAAGGAATTCGTATGGCTGACCTCAGCAGAAACCTGAAAATCAGACTCCAATTCAAACTGTTCGTTAGCTTTTGGATTTATGACAGCCATCACGAGAGAATGTATGTGTTCGTATATGAAGGTGCTGTATGGTAATTGTACAAGCGTTTAAGCTTGTTTTGATAACTAAACATCTAAACAGGTTGGTTAGAACATGAGCAGTGGTTTGTGCTTCACTTAAACACAGATTTCGAAGCGTGAAAACATTCTAAAAGGGATGCACTAAGGATACTTTCTCCTGTGGTTGTTGTGTTTGCAGATGGTTTTGAGAGTATAATCGTCCATGATTCTATAACCACTGGGGGCGGTGGGGTAGTCTAATGTTTAAAGCGTTGGCTCGTCACGCCGAAGACCCGGGTTCGAATCCCCACATGAGCACAGTGTGTGAAGCCCATTTCTGGTGTCCCCCGCCGTGATGTTGCTGGAATATTGCTAAAAGCGGCGTAAAACCAAACTTAGTCAGTCAGTCTATAACCACTGTTAAGGCATCATCTAACAAATCCTCTGATTATGTGAATTCCCATGCCAATTACGCTGCACTCAGCAATATTGAAGGAATATGGCGGCGGTCTGTAAATAATCGCGTCTGGACCATACAATCCAGTGATCATCGATCAACACAATTGGGATACAATGACATGCATCAGCCAAGTCAGCGAGCCTGACCACCCGATCCCGTGAGTCGCCTCTTACGACAAGCATGGGTTACTAGAGATCAATTCCAACACGTACCTTCACGGGTCAGTTATTACTGTGTACATGTATGTGAACAAGGGGACTTAGGACTATAGGAGGAGCAACGCAAACACGCACGTGCTACACCTGTACACGGGCTGACATCATAAGAGGGGGTCATCTCATGATACTTTTACCCGCTCACGTCACAACCCTCGTCGTCGGAATTACCTGTATCACTGCTAAAAGTCTCAACAACAGTCCATCCTAGCCCATCTCACCAACTTTTGTAACGCAACGCTGCCATGTGTACACTGATACCTGACCAAGGGATACATTTATTAGTGTTTCATCGTCCCCCATCGTGGTGTACAATCGTCCAACGTCACCAACGTTACTGGGTTCAGGTTGCAGTGGTAAGGGGAAAGTCGTGAGACGACGTGAACTTGCCCATTGATATACTTATCAAAAATGTACACAGGCTCAGGTTTGTTAGATTGATGGTTTCATAAAGTTATAGTTTTGTTGCCCTTGAAGGAAAGGTCGTATTCATCTGTTGCACCGTCCGCATACCTGACAATGATTTCGGAGACGAACGATGTCAGATGTACAGCCCAATACCAGCAACTATCTTTCTATATCTGTATCCAAATGTATGCAAAAGTTGTCACAGCTTATACTGTGTGACAATAAAATCATATAGAGACTTTGAACGGCATTTAGAAGTGATATACACAAAGGCGAGAGTTTATGGATGTCAACTTCTTTATATTGAGGAACACGACGTTTCGGAATAAATTGTTATTCCTTCATCAGGTAAATGGAGAACTAGGAAACAGACAGCTATATAAGTACCTGTGAAACTGGTAAGGTGGATGGAGAAATGGAAGCCAGGGATTATTAATCCAGGCATGATGTGCATGTTCAGTTTTAGTTATATCGTCAAGAGTCTAACTGACATCTTTTCTGAAGGTTGTTTAATAATTGCATGTTTGACTGAATTCGTCTTGAATTGTCTATACACCCGACATAGATTTGATATGACTTGGTTTTGATATGTTCCCAACCTGGTTGGCCTGATTGTTACAGTCCAGAAGACAGACATTGTATTTTTTCAGATTGTTATTAAACATACCAAGAGCTTTAGAGGATCGTTTCAAGTATTTATCAATGTGATAAATGGTTACCCTCTTACTGCCTGACATTGAAAGAAATTATACACCTTACAAATTAACTGCTTCACATAATCTGAGTAGTGCATCTTGTCAGTAAACAACGAGGTATACTGTGTGGCACGGGCAGTATGTGTTCCTAGAAAAAGAAACGCACAGATGGACACATTGGAACTATCTGACAGTGTTTTGATGATATTCACATGCAATGAATACCATATATGATATGTTCATGTCTGCACGTAAAGTACGGCCAAAAATAAAGTGGGGGAAACACACCAACATGGAATGATCGTGCAACATGAACTGTTGGGCTATGAAAACGATGCTTTTTCATTTGACTGTCTGTCATCCCAACTGTACAGACAGGGAAAAGTGAAAACATGCCACCGCTGGCAGAAGCTCAAGGCAACAACGCCAATGGCCGACAGTAGATATGCAACCAGACGACAGATCATCATCGTCGGTCGCGACGTCAGTGGTGTCAAGGACAACGGAGACGTACAGACGAAAGAAGTCGTGTTTTACAGACGTCGTCGTCCTTCCCATCATTCAACGAGCAAACGTCATATTTAAACACGACAAAACATGACCTCTCACAGCACGACAGGCAACAGCCTTTTTCAGAAAACCTCAACATCCAAATACTGTCATCGCCCTCAAGGTCTCCAGACCTAATCCCCATAGTACATTTATAGCATGTCAGTGTTCAACGTCTGCGATTAAGTCAGCAACAGCTACAAAAAAGTCAAACAGTTAACAATAGCACTGAAAGTATGCATATACCGTTGGCAAGATTCTGTATCAAAACGTCGCAGTCACGAAATATAGGAAGTTGTTATGCATATAAAATGCCATTACAGCAAAACTTCAAATATATCTCATTTGATAATTGAAGGTAGGTGTCATTGAGGTCTTTCGTGATGTCGACCTCCAAGAGAGACTCCAGGAAAGAAGTCATATGTGACGCAATAACTTTGAAGTCATGTAGGCAGGGAGAAGGTCAAACAAAGTGGGTACGGAGAAAAGCCAATGCAAGGAAAATGGAACAAAATTTGGTTCAATGGTAATTTCTGGGACAAGGCAATTTCTTACTAAAAATAACAATTACACTGAAAAAAAGTGGAAAAGATATTTAATTGCTTTTGTAGAGATTAGCCGAGTCAAAAGTGTGAGATTTCAGGGAATGAACAGCTTTGAAATTAGTCCAGTGACAAGGATCAAGGAGATAAACAAGATCCTTGAGATGAAAGCCGTAATATCAGGAACAGTCACGTAACATGGGAATTCTTACTGGTCACGGATTTGGAATGTTAACATCACCATTTAATTAGCAAATTCCTCCAGATTAGGTTATTGGCATGGGAATTTAAGGAAACAGAATCAGATGTTGTGAAAAGATATCTTCAGGATAAGGTGGGATACGATTGACACGAACGGTCATCAGTACAGTACTTTCATCAAAGAGTATTGTACAGATGTCTTTGGTCGCTGAATCTTTATGCACAGATCTGAATTTAAAGTAAATGAGAGTGCCTCACTGATCTCATTCATTTCTAATTCAGAAGGGTTAATCAGAGGACGAGAATTGACTGTTTGGTGGTTATGAGACCATCGATAGCTCTAGCCGAAGTTTACGTTAAACTTCTTGGCCAAATAACCTTGGTTTGACATCGTAAATCAGAAATTCTGATTTGCATAAAAGTAACCGATCAGGCAGAAGTGGAGCACAATCGGTATCCAGAAAGTACAGTGTGTACAGAGATATCTTCAATGAGAAAGTCCTGTGCTGCACTTCTACTTTTCTATGTAAATTTCAGACAGCATTTGCTTCAGACGATGCACAAATACCATGTCCCATTTCAAGATTCCTCTAAACTCAGACTCGCGCTATATTTGTGAGTAGTGTGTGCCGTGAAAGTTATTTTGTATTCTCATTGACTGACATGAAGTCATTCTAAGGTTATGACCGAGCACTATAACTATTTACATACGTTAAAACTAGGGAAATAAACATTGTCCTGAGTAGTATTTTATAATTCACTATTTTTCCGGGCATAAATTATCTGCGCCGCTTAACTAAATTATTTCTGCTCGACCAGGCTGCGATCTTGTATGGAGACTTGATAAAAGCGATTGCAGCACTACGACAGTCGTAAGTCTATGTCAAAGTATGGGAGTTACGATCATGTTAGCGCTACGACAGTCGTAAGTCTATGTCAAAGTATGGGAGTTACGATCATCTTAGCGCTACGACAGTCGTAAGTCTATGTTAAAGTATGGGAGTTACGATCATCTTAGCGCTACGACAGTCGTAAGTCTATGTTAAAGTATGGGAGCTACGATCATCTTAGCGCTACGACTGTCGTAAGTCTATGTCAAAGTATGGGAGTTACGATCATCTTAGCGCTACGACAGTCGTAAGTCTATGTTAAAGTATGGGAGTTACGATCATCTTAGCGCTACGACAGTCGTAAGTCTATGTTAAAGTATGGGAGCTACGATCATCTTAGCGCTACGACTGTCGTAAGTCTATGTTAAAGTATGGGAGTTACGATCATCTTAGCGCTACGATCGCTTTTCGGAACGGGGCCCTGGATCCTATTTTTTTCAGTGCGATAATTCAGAGGAAGCAACAAAGAGGAAGTCACCGGCAATAGGTACTTATGACGTCATGTCACGTGATACCCGCCTCTCCACATTAACTGTCGGGGCTTCCATAATAGGCTGAAATACGAGTACGTTTTCTATGTGTTTATTGCGAGTTTTAATCACGGAATGTGACTAATAGAATGCCGTTAGAGACCGTACATAATTTATGGCTGGGAGGGTGGGGAGTGATGATGATTTTTACGCAATCCTAAAAATATGTTCAAAGTAAGTGACCCCACCCCCACCCCACCCCCTGCATGTCATGTACAATTCATTGACCCCCCATTTATGGCATAATATGAAGATGCATTTCTCCACTGCAAACCTTATGAATTGCTGAATTGCACGAGGATCATGCATCAAATTGCTGAAAAGCATGTGCAATTATCGAGCATGTGAACAACATCCTCGATAATCTCCAGGGTATACGTTACGATCACTCTCCACTATACCTTGGATGCATTTTATTACCTCCCTTGGTGTCTACGCTGGGAAGTTGAGCGAACCAATCACACCTCACTTTCGCTTCTTAAATTATCTAACCGTTTAAACTTAGCAACACAATTGATGCAGAGGTACTCTGAAAGAGGTAGAAGGAGTTCTTTCATATATGTTTTTTAAAGTTTCAGATCTGTCAATTTGTCAGTATGATTTCCCCAAATATCTGAGTGGCACTGCTAACAAACCTTCGCGACTGCGACCGCTATCTTTGTTGACACTGGCAAGCTCGGCTGTAACGGCGGCTCAGCTGATTGGCTACTGTGAAAATGCGGAGCCAGCAAAGGGAGGTAATATAATTATCGGGCCAAGCCGTGGATGCATCCAGGGTATAGTGGAGAGTGATCGTAACGTATACCCTGGAGATTATCGAGGATGGTGAACAACTGCGTTTTGGTATACAGTTTTGATGAGAATTCGCCATTTTTTACCGAGTTTCATAATTTATTGAACGCATGACAATAATCGTTTCAACGTTACGAATTTGTTTTACAATACACCAGTTCAAGTATAAACAGTACCTTTAGACAGTATGAATTATTTTGCAAAATCTAGTCTAGAAAAGTTGACTGAAGTAAGTGGCTACATGTACACTAGTGAGTCTAAACTTTTGATGGTGAGTATATAAGTTCAGATGGGTCTCGCTCATTAGCCATTCTATTCATACCCAATAAAAGTTTTGATGCTCTACCATTGTAGTTCTGAGCTCTCAATTCCATTTACATATGTCACCATGTAGCGCAATAATAGCCTTCGGTTGTTGTCTCTGTAATACACAAACACGTGCACAGGGACAAAATATCAGACAGTCAGCAATATCATCTTCCGTAATGACGTAACGCACAGGTCTATGTGGTCTGAGATATTCAATGAATATTTTGTGATTTTGTATTCCAATGCAGGAATCCGTCTCGGTAAAACTACCCCATGTTTCCTTGTTTTATACGCTAAACGTTTTCTGTTTCTACTATACAACGTGGATTGTAGAATTACGGATGTTAACAGACAGTACCAGTGTGTCACACAATACACTTAAAAGTTCTTTGCAACTACAGAGCAAAATGTGTGGCAAGTAGTGACCTGAAGATCAACTCTAGCTTTTAAAGGTCAATCGTAGTTGTATCAAATCTATTATCGAAAGTTAGACAGCTGCTGCTATGCTATAAAGTCATTGTTTATCATATAAACGGAAATCTACACAATGCTTTCTTTCAAACTGAATATTGTTCAAACTTATTGGAGTTCTGAACGGTTACCCGAACTGATACCGTACTATCTACCATAATGGTGACAGTCTTACTTGTTACTAATATATTTGTGCTCTACTGATATAATCTGCGACGACATACTATTCTGTGTTAAATGCGAACCCGCGAAGACAACAATATGTATAAATTATTAAAAGCAATGACAAGTGTCCTTATTGGAAAGATGTCTGTTTTCCCAGCAGTACCTGGGTACCTGGTAGGATGAGATCGTAATGTGGCTGGTATTCATCAAGTGTGTAACGACTGTCAATGGACGCAGTACCTGAAACGGACTATAGACAACTCGTGCAGTCATAATAGCATGTCAATAATAATGCATACAATTTGGGCTGTAGTCACAATGGGAGCCGAGAATAAAAGTGAATGATTGACCGGGGTAATGCGGTAGCACTTTGAGCACACTTTTGGGCGTTGGATATAAATATACTACTCACACTTTGCTAAGAATTAAAAAAATCACAACTTTACTTAAACGTAGGTATATAATTTGATATACAATTTGAACCTTATGCACTTCATACATGAGTAACCATGAACATGGTTTTCATGGCATCAATCAACCATTTTGCAAATCATGGAAAGAGTCATTGAAAAATAAACAACACCTGTCAATAGCAGATATGCGATCCACAAGATGCTGTGACATACTGAAACCTAAGATCCATGCTCACAATAAGCTTAGGTATTTAAACCAAATTTGACACCACATAATAGTTTTCTATTGAATCCATGATTTGATCCTAGCAAAGTGTGAATAGTATATGCACATGGTTTTCTTTATCACCATTATTATCACAACCCTCGTCGTTTTGATTAGCATCGTTATATTATTATTTCAGTGTACTATTGAGGATGTTGTTTTTTTTATTTCCGGACAGTCTATTCCAGGAATGACATCCTTGTTATCTACTTTTAATGGGGAAAGTTAGAAACATGTATTTATCAATATCAGAAATGTCACTTTATCTTTAGTATTTCAGAAATTACATGTATGAAATAAGATTATTTTGTGAAACTGTTAGGTAGTGATAGGAATATTTGGTTATCACTGGGTGCATAAAACCACATTTTAACTGCTTCATGTTACTTTTCCAGGGTTGCCAGCAATCTAATGTAAGTACCAGTGCAGTTAATTAAATCATTCACGGTAATGACGTGAATTTCATCAATAAAATTACAAGGCCCCGATCTAACATACATCTCAAATCCAATATTTAACATTGTCACCATCACGAATAAATATTATCATGTCAATCGTGCTTGTGATGATATAACCGTGCTTGTGATGATATAATTTCGATAGCAATGTTTGGAGAGTAAATCATAGGCGGGTAGGGGTGGGGTGCGCACCCCCACCCCCGTTTGTGCTGAAAGTTTGTTAAATGACCATTGAAACTCGGTGAAATTGAAGTGTGCACCCTCCTTTTCTCAATAGGGTGCACCCCCCCCTTTCTCAAAAAGATGTATCCGCCCCTGTAATTGTATCGAGAAGCAAAAGCCCGTGCAATGTGCCTATCTATATACTATAGTCTGATACCCTATATGGGCCGTGGTTTGTCATTGTATATTTATCGAGTAAATGGGGTTTTTCCAGCTTTGTCTATTTACGGAAGGGAAATCCCCAAGTGAAAAATGGCGGCCTACATCATCCACGTACCAAAGATCGTGAGTAGTATTGAAGTTTATTCAGTTATACACTTCTGTAACTATCACTTAACATGCTAACATGCGATAACAATGAATGTATCGTTTATGGTATACATTTTGAGAGGATTGACATGATAATAATATTAAGACACTGATCGCCAGATTATTGTTATTTATAATGCACACCGATGGCGTCCTGTCCAAAATCCGGATCGAAATTAAAGGCTCTATCAAACGCGGTCGACGATCCATGTTACTTTTAGAGAATAAGATCATGAATGATATTGGTAAACATTAACCTCAATTGTCTGCTGTGGCCAAACGTTAACGTACTCTGTTCTGTATTTTCAATTTGCGATTACACTTTTCTCGGGGACTATTTTCTCATTGTGGAAAAAGTATGTGTGCATGACATGACTTGTCACACGCGGATGGATACTTGTGTTGGCTGCTACTGCTGATGATTTGGAGACTTAACGTGTTCTTTCCGACAAAATGCGTTGTTGGCTAAGGTGTCATCTCTTATATACCATTAAAAAAAGTAGGGGATATTCCATTATGCGAGCACACCACTTGTCAATGCCAATGCATATGAGAAAAAGTAAGATATATCCATACAGATGACACATTTCCAAAGGAATGGAATAGATTGTCACATTTTCCCTTAATTTCTCTTCATCATCTGTTTCTTCCTTGGCTTCATCATTTGCATTTTATCAATCTTGTAAATCCAATAGCCCCTACTTTTGTTTAATGGTATATGATTGCAGTTAAAGTAACTTGTAAGATACGAACAGATAAAATGTTTTTGAGTGAAAATAAAGTAACAATATGGGAATTATTATTTGTATTCCTTCATGACTCTAAAGTTTTATGTAAATGTGAATTCTATTCGGGATATATAACCCATTTATCCATGCAGCCAGGCAAGTCTCCATAAGGGTGGTATCCTGCTGATGGTCCGTTACATTCAGTATTTATATTCAATAGAGGAGTGGCTAGGATTAAAGAGTTTCCGTGTTGTGTCAAACCGACTTTCAACATGTTTGCGTCATATGTTATATTTATGTTATGTACCAGTAAATCATTAGGCACGACAAATTGACTTTACAATTCTCATTATTTGTCCTTGTCTAAGTGTGAGGTGTTACTATAGTGAAGTTGGGGTAATCCTTACCTAATTGCCGTGGCAATTCCTGAAGTGTTTGATGTAGTTTTTCACCTGAACCCGTATAACTGTATATATGCCGTGTTGTTTTTTCTTCAGCAGCTAAACCCAAGAGGACACCAAGAGGATACCCCAATCTGAAAAATGAAGACGGGGGATCCTGGCAAGGACAAAGATTTGCACAAACAAAAGGACATTTATAAGTTATTTTATAAGTTATCTGGTGAGCAGTTTGATAAGCGTTATGATAAGCAGTATTCGACTGCATGTAATCATGTCCCCAGAACTAAAAACAATCCTATGGAGAGTGTGGAAAACGGTGGGGACAATAAGCTAGACGCCGCTCAGAGTGACAAAGATCAACCAAAGGGTAAAGAAGGCCAGTCAAAGACTGGAGAAGACGAGACCGGCAAAAATTATCCTAGTGAGAAAGAAACTAACATCGTGCTGATTGAGCCAATGATGCACACTTTTCATTTACATATAAATTTCAGCACAGCTGCTGCATTTGGCAAATCACCTGCCATCGAGAGCATATTACAAAAAATTATCGCAAGGCAAATTATAGAAATTGTGACTGCAGACAGTGTCAAATATTATGCCCACAAACTAGGCTTGATTTTAGAAATACCCGGCGGCAGACTTCAAGAGCCAGATTTCAGTCTACTGCTGAAGCACCTGAGCCTTCTCCACACTGACACTGAAACTCGCGAAGGGCATAGATCAAAGATCTTGGAAGCCTTTGATTTACGACGATTCCGTGTTGTACATGAAGAAGAACTTTCCCGTTGGCTTTATCACCGTTACAGCTACCAGGAACTACGAAACCCAGGGACACAAAGTGAGGAAGGGGATATGACGTACGAGGCTTTGAGATTGAGGTCTTTTCAGGGAGTAGATATTGTGGCTTCGTCTCTGTGCCTTGTGGCAGCAGGGTTCTATGCTACAGGAGATGGAGATGAGACCAGGTGCTTCAGCTGCGGAATAACACACAGGAATTGGACGAGCAGCGACAACCCGTTTCAAATTCATGCATCTATTTCTCCCACATGCAACCATGTCACTGGCACTGACGACAATAATGTTTCAATCCAGTGTACCATACCAGAACATTCAGCAGATGAAGAGTCCCCTCACAGAAGTGATATCCTCGAACAAAGTACTTTGTGTATAACACCATCACCTCAAAAACATTTATCAAAATATGAACATTTTTTTTCTTCACAAAACATGGATATCAATGAGCTGATCACTGAAGACGGTCATCACAAACAACTCGACATCGCTGGTAAGAATTATACATTACCCAAACATTGCCACGGAGTAGCCCTAGAGCGTCATCATCAACATAACACAATATGAAGATTAACAACGTAAGTTTATTAAAAAAGATATTACACCACACACATCATACACACAAACCACACACCACACACACACACACACTGAAAGCCTCCATCTTCACACGCACTGTACACACCTTGCATAATCCCAAACAGTATTCATTCACTCATATTCACACGACTCTCGAAACACCTTCCAAACAATCATTTCATAACACCTCATCTCACATAGACAAGCAATTGCTTTACATACCCACACTTCTACTGCGCGCACGCACGCACCCACCCACGCACGCATACACACACAGTAGTTACTTAACATTATAATAAACTAACTATACCTACATTTTATCACACTGTTTTACTGTTTACCAATATACCCTGCTACTGTTATCACACTCTTTTACTGTTTACCAATATACCCTACTACTGTTATCACACTGTCTTACTGTTTACCAGTATACCCTACTACTGTTATCACACTGTTTTACTGTTTACCAATATACCCTGCTACTGTTATCACACTGTTTTACTGTTTACCAATATGCCCTACTACTGTTATCACACTGTTTTACTGTTTACCAATATGCCCTACTACTGTTATCACACTGTTATACTGTTTACCAAGATACCCTACTACTGTTATCACACACTACTAATTACATGTACGTGTTACTCACTGTGACAACAGATCATACATGAAATACATAATTTCTATAACCATAATCCCAATATGCATATCACAGTAATAAACGTATTTACGTCCAAGCGACCAAATATGACTGGGAATAACATAGAATAGGTCCGACGTGGACGCTCTCCAAAATCGCAACAGCCTGAACAACCTATGTAGAACACACGTACGTGCTGCATGCTTTTTCCCACGCGCAAGCTTATGCTCATACACACGCCTGTTCGCTCGCCTGGACTAAGGGTTTAAATAAACTTGGTTGTGACAAATATGAACAGATGTTTCATACAAACAAATATTACTTTATTTTCCAATCCTAAGTTCACAACATACTATTTTACTTAAATCATTTAAGTAACAGAGGACCCGTGACGAACCCTTGCTTGTCGTAAGACTGACTGACTGACTGAGTTTGGGTTTACGCCGCTTTTAGCAAATTCCAGCAACATCACGGCGGGGCACACCAGAAATGGGCTTCACACATTGTACTCATGTGGGGCTTGTCGTAAGAAGCCACTAACGTGATGGTGATCATCCTCGATGACTGAGTTGCTGTATCCCCATTACCTATATCGATGCTCATGATGGCATTCACTGGATGTTCTAGAGTTCATTATTCACAGATCGCCCTCATATAGCTGGAAACAAATACTAATAGAGGAAAAGTCATATTTGCGGTTTATGATCTACAGTGAAGATATTGTTCTTTGGTTAATTTTAGATACCTGTATTTGACAGTTCTTGGGGAGTGAACCAGTGGAGATTTGGTATATGTACCCAGTATCCCAGTATAGAAGTACCAACCAAGTAAACTGAAGATCTGGGGCTCCTTTCACGAAGCAACCTTTACTAAGATTAACTTTAACTCCCATTCTTTAACATTGCACTAAGGTTACCTTAGCGACTTACGATCACCTTAGTGCTTTGTGAAAGGAGGCCCTGGTTGTTAGTCGTAGCGGATAGTCTGTCTGGTCTACAGAAACAGGCAACCGCGAATTATTTCGACTATTTCCGTGACCACCTCAAATAACAGCACATTCATCATTACTCATTTTTATTTGCACGAGAGCTAACATTAACATTATCTAATGTGAGTCATCCAAACCGTCGGAATTGAATAAATTCTGTTAATTATTTTCTAGCCAGTATTCATTTGCACATGCAATAACTGTATATACTACTCACACTTTGATAAGGATCACAAAACCCACAACTTTACTTAAACGTAGATTTATAATTTGAAATTGTATTCATTTAAAACTGGATAAATAATGATATGGTAACCCCTCTTTGGGCAAACGGCCACTTTCATCTAACCTTATGCACTTGATACGCGAGTAACCATAAACATGGTTTTCATGGCAGATCACGTTAACGGCGTTGACCCCTTAATGAGCCCCTTGGAGAAGAAAGGTTACAATGAAGAGGAAAGTGAGGAGGCGAAACGTTTGTCGATTGATTCACAAGGTTCCCTGATAAATAATGATAATCAGGACGTTTCGTCAAAACAATTGAAAAACAGTTTGAATGAACCAGATACAACAGATATGACAATGCCTCTGAGAGCTCGACTGCTCACGATTTACTTACTAACACGCAGGAAACATGAACTGACCGAACTTTCAGTACTATCTGCCTGGATATTACTATACTTAGGACACAACTCCATGGATAACTGGTAAGTCTTAAAAATTCTCTGACGAATGGTTTTAACGGACCATCTGTGAGTACACAATGCCGATTTTGTGAGGCTTATGTGATTAACATGTGAATGGTGATAGATAGCAACATTTGCAAAGAACGATTGATTTGAGTGAATACAGGTACTGAGAGTGAATGTAAGTACAGAGAGAGGGAAAACAGGTACAGAGAGAGTGAACACAGGTACAGAGAGAGTGAACACAGGTACAGAGAGAGTGCACGAAGGTACAGAGTGAACACAGGTACAGAGAAAGTTCACGTAGGTACAGAGTGAACACAGGTACAGAGAGAGAGTGAACACTGGTACAGAGTGAGGGAACACAGGTACAGAGAGAGTGAACACCGACACAGAGAGAGAGAGAGAGAGAGAGAGAGAGAGAGAGAGAGAGAGAGAGAGAGAGAGAGAGTGAACGCAGGTACAGTGGGAGTGAAGACAGCTACAGCGTGTGAATACACAATAAAGCACATCACGGGTACAGGTTAAGTTAAATCATTGATACTGATGAAAACAGGTATGTGGAATCCTATATATGTTTCCCTAAATCAGTTGTGTGGCCTGAATTCAATGGTGATCGATAGCAACATTTGCAAAGAACTTTTGATTCGGACATGGCATATGTCATGGATTGTAGCATGAAACTACACATGTTAAACTGTATTTCTAATCATGCTATATACGTTCTCTCTTATCGTTCTATTTAACGTTAATAGTTGAATAGTTTTCCCAGTAGGTCAATGCTTTTATTGTACGAAGGCCATATACATTTGAGTTAGATATATTTCTGAAGCAGAACAAAAATACAATGTTGTTAACAATATGATGGTTTGCGTAATATTAAAGCATGGTGTATAAACAGAGCAATTTGGAATTGAATTGTAGGGTTATTGCAGGATAACAACTTCTTAAAACTATATATAGACATGAAGTTATATGGAGGTTAATACTTAGATCTAAGTTGAGCATAGATGGGGCAGACGTACATGAACTGGTACTCGTTTTCAACGCCATTATTACATATTTTGCAAAGTCGGGCTGATTTCTCGATGCCGTCTTCCTTTGTTCACTTTCATTCACTGAGACCAAGTCTGAATCCTATAAGGGTATTTCGAAGAGATTTAGGTTTAATGTTGTGGAGGTAGGTTTCAGTTTCAAAATTCGATTTTATAATGCAATATGTGTCGTATCTTGAGCTCTCCTCAAGACATGAATGCCAATCCTGTTTGAACATGTCAGTGGCGCGAGTACGAAATAATTTCAGAAAGGAATGGCAGTTGCCCACTGTTTGTGAAGTCCATACGAGGCCGAATCCATAGGTGAATAGTAAGTTCTTTATTAATGAAGCCCACGTTTTTTTGCCGATTTCGTTTAGGTGGTAAAACATGTTATACGTTTTCTGCCATAAAGCGATGGGCTGGCAAATGAATCAGTTTAATCCAGTAGCGTAAGCATCTTGTGTAAGATTCCAAGTTGTGAACAGTACATAAAAAACAAAGTAGAAATTCACTTCAATGTCTTTTCGTCAATTTGCATGTTGTTTTGGTCGTGTGTTTTCGGAAGCTGTAGCTGAATAGCGAAGAAAGAATCTCAAAGTGAAAAGTTTTACAGAAAACTATCGTGACACCAAGTGTTATGAAAGTGTGTTTTTGTTAAGATGTCACATTGATTATTATGGGTGACAACAGGTAAAGCGCAGGGTGTCATGTGTACTGTATAACAGATGTAACAGCAGACATTGTTCACATGTCTGCTAACATCGCCAGCTCAAATCATCTCAACTGTCGTCAACAAATCTTAATCAGTACATCGACAAGAATCAAGACTGTATGGCGTAACTATAGACATTTAGTTAATATTCTAAATTTGTGACCTAATATTTTAGATTTGTGACTCCATAATATTGTATTACAAATATGTACTGTCATTCGTTGTAACCTTGCTCATTGTTTATTCTATACATTGATGAATATTTTAGACTTATCTGTGTTCTATTTTGCTGTCTCAAAGGGGACTCACAAACCTTTTGTCACGGCAATTCCTACACAGTAACACAGGTTCTTGTGTAATAGTCAATGCACAACGATTTGATAACGTATATATACATAGTATGACCAGAAATCATTGAGAATTTTAGGAATATGTTTAATTAGATTTCTAGTATAAACAACCTTGACCAGCTATCAAGTGCTTGGTTTCATTCAAGAGAGACAACTCCGTTAATCCTTTTTCATTAGTTTGTGAAGAGTTATCCCCCTTTGTTTACTTGCTAACACACGACATTTTCAGTGCTCCTCAGTATGGATGATTTAGAGAAGAGGAAGTTGATTTTAGAATATTATAACAAGGACATCAGATCAGCTAAAGTGATTTCAAGTAGAACAGGAATCCCTTTGTCCACTGTTTATCGTGTTTTGAAAAATATTGCAAATGGATATGGCATTGAGCACCAGGGAGGCGCAGGTAGGCCCTGAAAATTGACTGTCGTTGACAGGAGGCGGCTTGGTATTCTTGTTTCTAAAACAAACGAAGGAGTTTAGAAAACTTAAGGCTGGATATGATTGATAGAGGAACTGTGGGTGTCTGTAAGGAGACAATTAGAACTGAGCTGCATGCAATGGGTTGGCCGAAAAGTCGAGGAATTCCATCACCGATCATGAAACTTGAACAAAAGGAGCGAAGGTTGAACTGGTGCTTACAGCATAGAAATTTTAACTGGGACAGATGAAAGTTCTGTGAGGCTGTTTCCTAATACACTGCAATTCTGGACCGAACAAACTGAAAAACCTTTGTATCAGCGCCCAAAGTACAGTCCGAAATTTAACGTGTGGGGTGGCATATCTGTGTTAGGGGCAACGCCCCTCTTTGTATTTGAAGGGAATATGAATAGTGAGCGGTACACAGATATTCTTGAGGGACATTTACTCCCATTTGCTCACATGTTCTATGGAAATTTTTGAATTTTCCAGCAGGACAACGACCCAAAACATCGTTCTAATCATTCACAGGCCTTGTTTCGGACCCAAAATATGACATTATTAGATTGGCCAAGCTATAGCCCTGACCTAAATCCAATGGAAAATGTTTGGGGACTTATGAAGGAAAGTGTCAATAAGAAAAATCTGACAAATATTGCTGAAATGAAAGAAGAGGTGGTCCGATATTGGGACAGCATGGACCACGACTTTCTAACTTCTTTGATCAGTAGTATGCCCCACCGCATTGAAGCCTGCATTGCTGCCCATGGTGACTTGACAATATTCACATTTAATACGTGAGTAATGAGTGAATTATTTTTTTAAATTACAATCTTAAATTCTCAATAAATTCTGGTTGTACTGTGTATGTAACGTTGCTGTAACGTTATGAAATAACAGAGGGAGTAAGCACTGGTACTGAGGGATTGAACACTGGTACCGAGGGAGTAAACACTGGTACTGAGTGAGAAAACACTGTTACAGAGGGAGTAAACACTTGTACTGAGGGAGTAAACACTGGTACAGTGGGATGAAATACTGGCACAGAGGGAGTAAACACTGGTACAGAGTCAACACTGTTACAAAACACTGGTACAGTGGGATGAAATACTGGCACAGAGGGAGTAAACACTGGTACAGAGGGAGTAAACACTGTTACAGAGGGAGTAAACACTGGTACAGAGGGAGTAAACACTGGTACCGAGGGAGTAAACACTGTTACAGAGGGAGTAACACACTGGAGTACTGGAGAGGAGTAAACACTGGTACAGAGGGGAGTAAACACTGTTACAGAGGGAGTAAACACTGGTACTGAGGAGGGAGTAAACACTGTTACAGAGGGAGTAAACACTGGTACCGAGGGAGTAAACACTGGTACAGAGGGAGTAAACACTGGTACAGAGGGAGTAAACACTGGTACAGAGGGAGTAAACACTGGTACAGAGGGAGTAAACACTGGTACTGAGGGAGTAAACACTGTTACAGAGGGAGTAAACACTGTACTGGGGAGTAAACACTGGTACAGAGGGGAACTGGTACTGGGGATTAAACACACTGGTAAACCCGGAGCAGAGTAATTAAACACTGAGTATTGAGGGGAGTAAACACTGTGGTACTGAGAGGGAGTAAAAACACCGAGGGGTGTAAACACTTACTAGTACTAGGGGTGACTGTTAAGAACACTGGTACTGAGGGACTGTTACAGAAGTAAACACTGGTGAGAGATGAAAAACTATATTACAGAGGGACTGGTAGTGAGGGAGTAAACACACTGAGTGGAGTAAACACTGGTACAGTGAATGCAGGTACAGAGTAATTAAACACTGGTATTGAGGGAGTAAACACACAGACAAACACCGGTACCGAGGGAGTGGAAACACTGTTACAGAAAACGAGGGAGTGGTAAACAGGTAAACAGGAGGAAACACGAAACAGAATGAGTGGAGATGGAGGTAAACACGGAGAGGAGGAAACGACACTGGAACTGAGGGGTAAACAACAGAGGGAGTAGACCGGCACATGGTCCCGAGGAAACGACCAAGGAGTAAAACCGCTACGGAGGAGGAAACGACACTGTTAAACGGAGTAAAACGACAGAGGGAGTAAACACTGGCACAGTGGGAGAAACGACCTGTCACAGAGGGGGTAAAACGACCGAGGGAAACACGACCAGTAAACACTGGAACACACTGGATGGGGAGTAAACACCAAAGAGGAAACGACCAGTAAAACGAGGAACACGGAGGGATGGACCACACACCCGGCACTGAACAGAGGGACGAACACACGAGGGAACGGTACGGACCACACTGGTACGGATGAAACACTTGGAGGTAAACGACAGAGGGAGCACACCGGAATAAACGACCGTACAGTGGGATGGGAACTGCAGCACCGAGGAGGAACTGACCAGGGGAAACACGACGAGGGGAAACACGTACTGAGGGGAGGAAACACCGGACAGGAATAGGAAAGCACTGGTACCGAGAAAGGACCGGACCGGCACCGAAGGAATGAACACCGGACAGAGGGAGAAACACTGGACCGAGACCCGAAACTGGAGGAAACGACCACAGAGGAACGACCAGGAACAGAAGGAAACACTGGGAAGGGGAGCACAGGATGGGGAAATAAACCTGGAAGGGAAAGACCTGGACAGTAAACACGTTGGAGGAAAAAACTGTTACACCGGAGAAACAACAGGGGAAACACACAGAGGGAGTAAAACTGGAGTGGGACACAGAGGAACGACCAGTAAACACACACATGGAGGGAGTAAACAACAGAGGGAGTAAAACACCCGGAACTTACCAGCACCAGGGGATAAACACTGGAGGATGAAACACCGGCACAGCAGGAGCAAACTGACCTGGGAGGGAGTAAAACGACCGAGAACGGAGTAAACACTGGCACAGTGGGAACCTACTGGGCACCGGAGTAAAACGACAGAGGGAGGAACTGGTACTGGGGGGAGTAAACCGGGAACTGTGGAGGAACACGGTACAGAAGTAAGCACGGAGGGGTGAAACTGGACTGAGGGGAGGAACGCAGGGGAAACTGAGAGACCGAGGGGTGACATTACAGGAAAACGACCGGAGTGGAGGAACAGAGAGTGAACAGTGGTACAAGGGGAGGAACAGAGGGAGTTAACACACAGAATAGTGAATACCGGAAAGGAGACTGTGGTACCACTGGTAATGAGGGAGACTGGGTACCGAGGAGCACTGCGTTGGAGGAATGTTACACAGGGGCGAAAACACACAGAGGGGGTAAACCACAGTACTGGGAGTAAAACTGGAGTGGGATGAAACGACCGTAAACACTGTAAGAGGGAGTAAAGACTGACTGAGGGGAGTAAACAACTGAGGGGGGAGGCACACAGAGGGAGTAAACAGGAGGAAAAGACCACTGGGAGGAGTGGACAGAGGAACATGGTACTGGGAGTAAAACGACAAGAGGGGGACTGGTAGTGAGGGGTGACACAGGAGGAATAAACACACAAACACTGGAACAGAGGAATGCATGCAGTAGTGGGGAGAACTGGCACTGAGATAAACAGGAGTGAAAACACTGGGAACAGGGGAGAAAGTGAATGGCTTACACTGAGGGTAAAGGAACGAGTAAACACTGACTGAGGTGGAATGCAGGACAGAATTTCACAGAGGTACTGGAGGAAAACACTGGAGGAGGGAGTAAACACTGGTGGACAAGAGCACTGGTGAGAACTGGACTGAGTAAACACTGGAGGGAGATGAACAAGGAGGAGGAACTGGAGGAGGAACACTGGTACAGAGGTAAACACTGGTGTGGGGGAGTGGAAACACTGGAACTAGAGGAGGAACTGGACACAGGTACAGAGGTAAGGAGGAATGAAACTGGTAGAAGAGGAATGAACACTGGTGCTGAGGGAATGAGGAATGGGAGTGGAACTAATTAAGAGTGGCACAGAAGGAACGACTGAAGAGGGAGTGGACCTGGAGGGTGAAAGGGAGGAAGGGAGAAAATAGTGGAATGGAGGAAACTGGAATGGAACAGATGGATGGACACTGGACAGTGGAGGAATAGTGGAATGGAGGAAATGGAGGAATGACACAGAGGATAAAGCATGCTGAGGGAGGAAACAGGAAGAAGGAGAACACTGGTACAGAGTAAACAGAGTGGAAGGAAGGAACTGTTACAGATGGAGGTACAGAGTGGAACACTGGGAGGAAAGGTGGACCTGGAGACAAGAGGGAGTGAATAGGGTACAGGAGGAACTGAGGGAGTGGAATGACGAATGGTGGAATGGAAGAGGAGAGGAACACAGGAGGGGAACACAGGTGGAAGGGAAAGGAATGAGTGGACAAGGAATGGAATGGAACAGAGGAACATAGGTGGAACACTGGAGGGAGTGAATACTTGTAATGGAGGAACACAGGTGCAAAGGTGAACAGATGGAGGAATGCAAGGTACAGTGGGAGGATACAAAGAGGGAGTGAACACTGGTACGGAGGAAATGAATACAGGTGGAAAGAGAGGATGACACATGGCATGGAGGAGGAACACGGGAAGAGAGGGGGAATAGAAGCACAGAGTGGACAGGGGTTCAGAGAGAGTGAATGTCTGGGTACGGAGGAGTGAACACAGGTACAGGAAGGGAGTGCACACAGAGTACAGAGGAGTGAACACTGTGCAGAGGGAGTGAACACTGTACATAGGGAGTGAATACAGGTAAATAGGACTGTCGTTGATAATGGAAGGCGGCTTGGAATGGTTTCCTAAAACACAGGTTCAGAGAGGATAACTTGCATGCATAGAGAGTGAACACAGGGTACAAGAGAGAGGAATGGAATGGACAGAGTGGACAGGGGTTCAGAGAGAGTGAATACAGGTAGGGAGGAAGTGGATACAGGTACAGAGGGAGTGAACACTGGCGCAGAGGGAGTGAATACAGGTAGGGAGGAAGTGAATACAGGTGCGGAGGGAGGAACACAGGTACAGAGGGAGGAACACTGGTGCAGAGGGAGGAACACAGGTACAGAGGGAGTGAACACTGGTGCAGAGGGAGCGAACACAGGTACATGGGGAGTGAATACAGGTAAATTCACTGTCGTTGACAGGAGGCGGCTTGGTATTCTTGTTTCTAAAAACAAACGAAAGAGTTTAGAAAACTTAAAGCTGGATATGATTGATAGAGGAACTGTGGCTGTCTGTAAGGAGTCAATTAGAACTGATGAGCTGCATGCAATGGGTTGGCCGAAAAGTCGAGGAATTCTATCACCGATCATGAAACCTGAACAAAAGGAGCGAAGGTTGAACTGGTGCTTACAGCATAGACATTTTAACTGGGACAATGTGATTTTCTCAGATGAAAGTTCTGTGTGGCTGTTTCCTAATACACTGAAATTCTGTACCAAACAAACTGAAAAACCTTTGTATCAGCGCCCAATGTACAGTCCCAAATTTAACTTGAATACAGGTACAGAGAGGGTGAATACAGGTACAGAGAGAGTGAACACATGTACAGGCAGGGTGAACACATGTACAGACAGGGTGAACACAGGTACAGACAGGGTGAACACAGGTACAAACAGGGTGAACACAGGTAGAGACGGGGTGAACACAGGTACAGACAGGGTGAACACAGGTAAAGACGGGGTGAAAACAGGTACAGACAGGGTGTGAACACATGTACAGACAGGGTGAACACATGTACAGGCAGGGTGAACACATGTGCAGACAGGGTGAACACAGGTAGAGACGGGGTGAACACAGGTACAGACAGGGTCAACACAGGTAGAGACGGGGTGAACACAGGTACAGACAGGGTGAACACAGGTACAGACAGGGTGAACACAGGTACAGACAGGGTGAACACAGGTACAGACAGGGTGAACACAGGTAGAGACGGGGTGAACACATGTACAGACAGGGTGAACACATGTACAGACAGGGTGAACACATGTACAGGCAGGGTGAGCACATGTGCAGACAGGGTGAACACAGGTAGAGACGGGGTGAACACAGGTACAGACAGGGTGAACACAGGTAGAGACGGGGTGAACACATGTACAGACAGGGTGAACACATGTACAGACAGGGTGAACACATGTACAGGCAGGTTGAACACATGTGCAGACAGGGTGAACACAGGTAGAGACGGGGTGAACACAGGTACAGACAGGGTGAACACAGGTAGAGACGGGGTGAACACAGGTACAGACAGGGTGAACACAGGTACAGACAGGGTGAACACAGGTACAGACAGGGTGAACACAGGTACAGACAGGGTGAACACAGGTACAGACAGGTGAACACAGGTAGAGACGGGGTGAACACAGGTACAGACAGGGTGAACACAGGTAGAGACGGGGTGAACACAGGTACAGACAGGGTGAACACAGGTAGAGACGGGGTGAACACAGGTAGAGACAGGGTGAACACAGGTAGAGACGGGGTGAAGAAAGGTTCAGAGAGAGTGAATACAGGCGCAAAGAGTGGACAGGGGTACAGAGTGAGTGAAAACTCGATAAAACAGAACACAGGTGCAGGGTAAGTGTTAAAGGCAAGAATTTTAAGGATGTCAACTTCTTTTTTGTGATGGGTCACGACGAAGCATATTCTTACTCCTTCATCAGGTGGATGAAACAATTAGGAACAGACAGCTATATATGTACATGTTAAAGCAACAACAGTTATGAGATAAGGGTAAGTGTTATTTTATATACGGATAAACTGGTACGAGGTAAGATGTTACATAATTTATTAAACATTGGATACTGAATGTTTCCTCAAATATACAAATATCGGTTGTGCATTTACGGAAACCAGGGTGTGAAAATCACAAAGGAAATATATCATGTGTAGGAGATCATTTTAATTTATACTTTAGAAATGGGTTGTTGGTTGGAATATAATAGTGTTATATAGTGTTATGGGTTGTTGGTTGGAATAAAATAGTGTTATATAGTGTTATGGGTTGTTGGTTGGAATAAAATAAGTAGTGTTATATAGTGTTATGGGTTGTTGGTTGGAATAAAATAAGTAGTGTTTTATAGTGTTATGGGTTGTTGGTTGGAATAAAATAGTGTTATATAGTGTTATGGGTTGTTGGTTGGAATAAAATAAGTAGTGTTATATAGTGTTATGGGTTGTTGGTTGGAATAAAATAGTGTTATATAGTGTTATGGGTTGTTGGTTGGAATAAAATAAGTAGTGTTATATAGTGTTATGGGTTGTTGGTTGGAATAAAATAAGTAGTGTTATATAGTGTTATGGGTTGTTGGTTGGAATAAAATAGTAGTTATATAGTGTTATGGGTTGTTGGTTGGAATAAAAATAGTGTTATGGGTTGTTGGTTGCGGAATAAAATAGTTATATAGTGTTATGGGTTGTTGGTTGGAATAAAATAGTGTTATATAGTGTTATGGGTTGTTGGTTGGAATAAAATAGTGTTATATAGTGTTATGGGTTGTTGGTTGGAATAAGATAGTGTTATATAGTGTTATGGGTTGTTGGTTGGAATAAAATAGTGTTATATAGTGTTATGGGTTGTTTATATCTATTTATCGGCAGGTTGGGCGGCTTTCATATACGTGGTTTTGCTAATGTAAACAAATAGGTTGGGTGGCTTATAATTGCGTTCCCGCCCATTTTTCTGAAAGAGTTGACAAATGCCACTGAACCGAAGAAGGCTGTACACTGTTCCGATGTTTTTTTTAAAGCTTTCCATCATTTAATAAAAGTACACAACGCAAAGTCTATAACAAAACTATGAACAGGGATACACCGAGATGCACTCTACATTGAACTCCTGATACACCAGCCAGAAACAACAACCTCAGGGAACAGTTTACCACGTCTCCTGCGACTGTCGACAGATCCACGTAGGTGAAACATAAAGACCCCTCAAAATCCGAATCAAAGAACATCAGACCTCAGTAACCAAACTAGACTCAAAATCAGCCCTATCAGATCCCATCAAAGACAATCCCGACCACAGCCTCCAGTGGGACAAAACCCAAACCCTAAAAACCAGCATCAAAGACTATAAACTCAGGAAACTCCAAGAACCCATCCACATTAAAAGACTCCAGCCATCAATCAACCGTGACCAGGGTTACAACATACCTCCTGCGTACTACCAGCTCATTAAATATCCTCATCATCGATAATCCCCCATTTATCTATACAACGCATCGTCCTCATAATCACCTATGTATGTATAGTACAACCAGAAAATATTGAGTGTTTAAAGATTGTAATTTTATATATTTTTTTCACTCATTACTCACGTATTAAATGTGAATATTAGCAGAACATAACTCCAGATTCAAAGACAGGTGAACAGTTAGTATTTTGACAAGTCACCATGGGCAGCAATGCAGGCTTCAATGCGGCGGGGCATACTACTGATCAAAGAAGTTAGAAAGTCGTGGTCCATGCTGTCCCAATATCGGACCACCTCTTCTTTCATTTCAGCAATATTTGTCAGATTTTTCTTATTGACACTTTCCTTCATACGTCCCCAAACATTTTCTATTGGATTTAGGTCAGGGCTATATGTTTTGGGTCGTTGTCCTACTGGAAAATCCAAACATTTCCTTAGAACACGTGAGCAGATGGAAGTAAATGTCCCTCAAAAATATCTGTGTACCGCTCACTGCTCATATTCCCTTCAAATACACAGTGGGGCGTTGCCCCTAACACAGATATGCCACCCCACACGTTACATTTCGGACTGTACTTTGGGCGCTGATACATAGGTTTTTCAGTTTGTTTGGTCCAGAATTTCAGTGTATCAGGAAACAGCCACACAGAAATTTCATCTGAGAAAATCACATTGTCCCAGTTAAAATTTCTATGCTGTAAGCACCAGTTCAACCTTCGCTCCTTTTGTTCAGGTTTCATGATCGGTGATGGAATTCCTCGACTTTTCGGCCAACCCATTGCATGCAGCTCAGTTCTAATTGTCTCCTTACAGACAGCCCCACAGTTCCTCTATCAATCATATCCAGCCTTCAGTTTTCTAAACTCTTTCGTTTGTTTTTAGAAACAAGAATACCAAGCCGCCTCCTGTCAACGACAGTCAATTTTCAGGGCCTACCTGCGTCTCCCGTGGTGCTCAATGCCATATTCATTTGCAATATTTTTCAAAACACGATAAACAGTGGACAAAGGGATGCCTGTTCTACTTGAAATGATCTGATGTCCTTGTTATAATACTCTAAAATCAACTTCCTGTTCTCTAAATCATCCATACTGAGGATCACTGAAAATGTCGTCTGCTAGCAAGTAAACAAAGGGGGATAACTCTTCACAAACTAATGAAAAAGGATTAACGGAGTTGTCTCTCTTGAATGAAATCAACTGGTCAAGGTTGTTAATACTAGAAATGTAATTAAACATATTCCTAAAATTCTCAATAATTTCTGGTCATACTATATATCACAGGCTTCACTTTCCATTGTGTACTTTGCAGGCTTCAGTTGTTAACGCGTTCATCTAATCCCTTGTGTTGTTATTGTGTCTGGCTTCTAGCCCTTGTGTTGTTATTGTGTCTGGCTTCCAAATCCCCATTGTACTATACAAACATCTGCTCTAACTTGTATATATGCCCCTTCATCCTTATGCAGTCCAACACTTGCTTGATACCGGTGTTACTTGATACCTTCCTTACTGACCCAACTTCTAAATGCCTCTCAAAGAAGTCTTGTCTCCAAGAACAAGACTTTTGTGTATATGATACTGACAGTGTGAGGACACACATGTAGTCACAGACCATTTCCTGGTCACACACAGCGAAGCATTTCCTGCTAGACTGGAAAAACCATGTATCTAAATCTAGCGCTGACGTGTCAATAGAATATACTGAGTTTCATTGTTGCTGCACGTTGCCTATTTACAAGGCAATGAGTGTTTAGATATTGCAGTTTGGGCCAGCTATGAATACATTATGCCTTTTTTGCGAAAGTATTATCCCAGGTGTAACGTTGTTAAACTATTAATCGCTGCCTGATGCGTGTACCTCGTTAATGGATAATGCAATTTATTGGATTTTGAGATATGCACTTTGACTTATTTAATTAAGTTGTCGCGTAGGGTATTGTCACTGGGTCAAAACATTGTTGTTGTGTGTGGCTAAACGTAATGTTGCGTAATGCAAACTGATTGGTATGTTTAATCAACCGATGAAATACCCTGACCTCAATACACTTGTCCGGATGCTAATCAGTGTGAAACACGGCGTCAAGCAGGAGGATCAGATTTACTGGACACAGTTGTCACGCATGTTATGAAGCGTTCCTCATAAAAAATCTCCGTTATCTGCAATTTGGCAAAGGAGGGTAAAACTATTTCAACACAATGGTTACCCGTGACTCTGACAAGAGAAATCTTGAGCAAATGTCATGGTCGCGTTGACCGGGATCCAGCCAACAGTCGAACATTGTTTGATTACGAGGATATAGCCATTGACACTTTCCTCAGCCAGGTATGTATGTTATTGATCACTAAACATTTCTTTCATTGTTATTACTTTACCGATGCATTTTAGCATTTCATGATTTATAAACTCTGAATTGTGAGTAGCGTTATCAAAATAGTTTGTGCTATAACCAAGCGCCTCTCTTCAACCCGGTGAATTGCGGGGGCGGTGGGGTAGCCAAGTTGTTTGATTACGAGGAAATAGCCATTGACACTTTCCTCAGCCAGGTATGTATGTTATTGATCACTAAACATTTCTTTCATTGTTATTACTTTACCGATGCATTTTAGCATTTCATGATTTATAAACTCTGAATTGTGAGTAGCGTTATCAAAATAGTTTGTGCTATAACCAAGCGCCTCTCTTCAACCCGGTGAATTGCGGGGGCGGTGGGGTAGCCAAGTGGGTAAAGCTTTGGCTCGACACGCCGAAGACCCGGGTTCGACTCCCTACATGGGTACAATGTGTAAAGCCCATTTCTGGTGTCCCCCGCCGTGATGTTGCTTGAATATTGCTAAAAGCGGCGTAAAACCAAACTCAGTCAGTCAGTCAGTACTACAGTAGCCTCGCGCATCTTGAACAGAAACGTCATATTTGCCTTGACTTGGTAGACTGACTGACTGAGTATGGTTTTACGCCGTTTTTAGCAATATTCCAGCAATATCATGGCGGGGGACACCAGAAATTGGCTTCACAAATTGTACCCATGTGGGGAATCGAGCGTGACGAGCGAACGCTTTAACCACTAGGCTACCCCACCGCCCCTGACTTGGTAGACACCCTATCGATCTCAATGCATGATACTTTTCAATTTTCTTTATTTCTAATAACGAATATGGAACTAAGGTGGTCCGCACGGACCCGCACCGAATGTGGGCGTTTCTGAAAGCGTCCTCTGAGATAATCGTTATTATGAACTGCTGTTTAAGAGTCACGTGTCAACAGATCCGCACAGTTAGCTCAACTCATGGCCGAGATGTCTGGCAAGGGGCCAGGTATATGTTAATCATTTATATAACCGTCGCGGCACACGTGAAGTTCACAGCTTTGACAGGTTGAACAGTGGATTTAAGGAAGACCCTATGCGAGTGAGCACACAATTGGCTTTATTATCATTTCTATCTTATCAACAAAACGTTTATAATAATGACTCACGCTGTGTAGAATACTCCATAGATCACACTGTACAGCGATTACTTCCACTCGGCTACTGAAAATAACACAGGCGGTCTCAAACCTGTAAACCTGTTGTGCAAGTTGTATAACACAGCGAGGTGACCGGTAACTGTTACTGATTGTATCTAAATGATTAGGATATAATTACACTATTTATTCATTTGAATGTCAAATCCAAGATTTGTAAAGGATTTCCGTCTTCCAAAAACGTGACACGTTGGATTGTATGGTCAACTAGAAGTGACTGACTGACTGACTGACTGACTGAGTTTGGTTTTACGCCGCTTTTAGCAATATTCCAGCAACATCACGGCGGGGGACACCAGAAATGGGTTTCACACATTGTACCCATGCGGGGATTCGAACCCGGGTCTTCGGCGTGACGAGCCAACGCTTTAACCATTAGGCTACCCCATCGCCCCGTCAACTAGAAGTGAGAGATGGCGAATTGGACTGTCCTTTTCAGTGACAACACATACATTGTAAATTATAAATGCTGATTTATTTTACACAGCCCTCGAATTAAACTATAATCAGTAAATGCGTCATTGTTTCACTTGGTTGTCTGGACAAGACTCGACGGCTTACAACGCATTTTTGTGGCAACGGTATTGCTGTGAGTCGTTTGTTATCAAACAAACAAGTACTTATTCTAATTCAAATATGAGAGTGCTCAGGCGGAGCATGCTGATTATGCCGTCATTACTGATTTTCAGTTATTTCACCACTACTTCCTTCTACGCCCAATGACCCGTGAAGATCCGGATTACAATTGATATTCGGTAACCAATGTTTGTCGTAAAAGGCGACTAATTTGCTTTGGTTGACACATGTCATCGTATCCCAATTGCTTGTATCGATGCTCATGCTGTTGATCACTGAACTGTCTGGTCAAGACTCGAGTATTTACAGACCGCCGCCATATTACGGGGATATTGCTGAGTGCGGCGTAAAACTGAACCCCTTCATTCACTCTACGCCCGATGGCACAGAGAATCGCAACTGAATATTTTTTGGCGTTGACGTTTTGTAGTTTCCCAGAGAAATGTAACGTTAACTTGACGTGTTAAGTGTTCCACAAATAATTGCGGATCTATTTCTTCATTGTAAATGACAAATAAGCATGTTCTTAATGATTTGTTTAAATAATCATGTGTAAAATATTTCACTTCGCTTTTTCATTTTAGGGCTCATCAAATCCAGATTATGTAATCACCTCCCACATATGATTGGAATATTATTGACTCTCTGGAACAAACTTTATGTAATCACATAAACGAGAGAAAAACAGAGTGGTGAATAACAACGACCTTCAATTATGAAGAAAAAGAAGTGCACCAAGGACTTGGTTATACTATGGTATGGTACGATACTGGTGATTGAGGTTGACAGACGTATGGCTGTGAGGAGAGTGTTCCTTTTGGCCATCAGAAACCTCAATATTCACCAACAAGCTGAAAGCAAACCAGCGAATGTGTTTACATACTGGAAATCTATGCTGTTTTCTATCATTATATCTGTATTTCCATCAATATCTCTGCGTGGAGACTTTGATGCCCTAGTGCGAAGAAATGGTACTCTTCTTCAGGACATCATGCGATTTGAGGCAATGCGCTGTAAGTCCTTTAATGGCATGACAATCGCAGTGTCAGCCCTGGAGTTAGCGAGACAAGGGTTCTATGCGACAGGTAATGAGGACGAGACAAGATGCTTCAGCTGTGGCATCAGACATAGGCACTGGAGACAAGGGGACAAACCTGCCGATGTGGGGCACAAGGCATGGTGTAGAGATGGCTTTCATTGGAATATCCGATTTGAAGAAAACCCTTTGCCCACGAATTCTGAGATGCAGACTCGCAACCAGCTTGCCTTCCCTACTGATTTTGATATACATCGCAGAAGACCGGACGCATCGAGTAGTTCTCATACAAATCCTGCAGTTCGTCAGAACAATCCTGTAGCAAGTGGAGTCGCAAATACTATCAGCATGAACCAGGATCCCCCTTCGACAAACAGATTCTTATGTCGTGGCATCAATATCACTCAACCCACAGAACGTACAGGAGCAGGTTTTATCTATTCAGGTCAGAAAAAAAAATAACATCATTATAACCAATCAGTTTTTGGGGGGGCTGATGTTCATATACAACCAGCCACGTTTAGAAACTTCCAGCCAGCAAATAAGAACATATACATAATCTATTCAAATAGTGGTATTTTGATAACATTAACCTGCTAAAGCGACACTGACACACAATGAGACAAAAAATGAATGCTAAAATGTCTCTTCCTCAAATACCATTTGAACGAGATAAGCTTGAATTCTGATTGTGATGGCGAATAATAAGTTCATTATGTAATCTTGTATCATTCCCCTCGGGATTGTTCTGTGTTTAGGTAGGAGCACCCTTTCTCCATGACGTTAACTTTATGATAACCATTCCATGATATATTGTGTATTAGCGTCACGAGTATTATGGTCGACACCACCTTTACACTAAATATATTGATGCTTGCATCGAAGGTAACCGAGACTATGTCCAGAGTCATTCGTGTGGGATGGAATTGGGAAACCTGGATATAGAGTCTGTAAGAAGACAACAACTACACATAGAGCTCATGGTCACAATCGCCAGCCAGGTCTGTCTGTCTGTCTGTCTGTCTGTCTGCATGCATGCATGCATGCATGTATGTATGTACAATATACCCTGGTGTTCAGGGGAAAACATGGCATTATATCCAGGGTAGCATTATAACCAGGTAGGACAGTCAGGGGACCTGTGTAATCAACAAGGTGATTGAGCTGATGTCTTCTATAATGAGCCTTGAATGGCTAACCTCAGCTGCTCGGGACTGCAGGTTACTTATAGGTGGCAGGAAGTGTATTGTGACATACTGGAGCGGCTAAGAAGATAAAATGTGCATTTAAAGATAAAAGCATGAAACTTTGCATATTTATGGGCCGATGAACTTTTTAGGATATGGAGGCACTCAAAATAATTTCATTTTGCGCATGCGCAGTAGATAAATGATATTTTGCCTTTTCTGGCTACCGTTATATATATAGTTTTGGGCCTGTCTTCAATACTCTACTAGGACGACTTTTTTTTAAATACTGACCCAAAATACTGAGCAATTGCCATATAGTGCTCTTACTTCGTGTGGGTTGGAAGCTGAGGGAGGTTCTAAGCCTACATCTCTGTATGTTCGAAGTATCACCGATCTCATCCAGAAGGAAATAATTGTTCTGGCTACTTCTGCTGTGAAATATCTCATGAGCGGGATGAAGAGTCTTAACTTCAGACGTCTGGTGCTCGTTCTACGTAGATCGATGCCTAGGACTCTAGCACAGACGCAGTGATAAGTCTTCCTTATCTTCATTGCAAAATATTGAAGATAATCATGCGATGTGAAACTGTCAGTCTGGTTGACTTTTGGCAATAAAATCCAAACAGAGACGAAGATGCACTGTTGCATTGGGACCTACAGCTTCTTTGGATAGAAGTGTTTCTATCGCATCTGTGAGCTTGGGTTGTAGGGTTTCTGCATAATCTATTTGCGGAAGATAGGGTGGAGCAGTGGCGTCGTGTTCACCAGAATGGTATATCTGTTCCTTAAGATTTTGTGATGAATGGGTCTTCTAGAAGATCCCAGTTTGGCCAATACTTCCATGTGAGTCCCACTCATGCTGAGCAGATCTGGTAGGAGATAGAATCCTGGTACTTCTGCTGGTTGACCATGGACAAAGGCATACGTTCTTTGTCGGACTCTGGATATTTGAAGTGTGATATCATCGCCTTGCTGATGGATCTGGACATGGCGAGGTCCAGGAAGACTCGTCTGATAATAGTATCAGGCTGAGCAAGCTGGGAAGACCCTTCGTTCTGGTAGCTCTGGTTCTTGATGACTTACAAAGTTGCTCCAATTGGTGGTAAGGTGAAGGAGGACGATCCTTCGATGGGGAAGCTATAGGTAGCCCGTCTGCAATCCAAGTTAGCTGATTGATGTTGGCCCTTCATGGTGTGAGTCTAACCCTGTTGGCACTAATTTGAGAGAGTGAAGAGACAGAGACTTGGTCACGATATTGACCATTAAACAATAAAACCAATTAAGTATGATTTCCACAGGAAAAAAAGACTGCTCCCTTGCAAAAGACAACCTGAAGTATCTCCCTTGCTTGCCCTTGAGCCATGAAGTTGGGGAATAATCACATAGATTTTGATTGTTAAACATATCCAAGACGTTTTATCCTCCCAGCATGTAATGTGGGGGGATATAGTCGACGCCTCGTCCATCTGTCCATCCGTAATCATTTTGTTTCCGGAGCTTAACTAAACAAAACGTTCAATATTTTTTAACAAACATTGGTAGATATAATATCAAAGAGAACATAAAGTAGTGCCTTTTGCAATTTACAGATTTTTGTCATTTTTGCTTGGGTCCCATAGAAACGATTTTAACTCGAAAACCGTTCAATATCTTTCTTCAAGACATGGTAGATATATCAAACAGAAGCCAAAGTGGTGCCTTTTGCTATTCGCAGATTTTTGGCATTACTATTTTTCTCAGTTTGGGACTTCAAACCGTTCAATATATTTCTACAAGACTTGACAGATATAGCAAATAGATCTTGAAGTAGTGCCTTTTGCTGTTTGCAGATTTTTGGCATTTATATGTTTCATGATTTCCATGGAAACGATGAATCCAAAAATATCAAGTTGGACTTTAATAAGCAGCTGTCAGATGATTTGTGTTTTTAAATTCATGGGGGTTCTTTTTATGAACCTGTAAATCACTGGTTATGAAAATTATAGGTGTGTAATGAATGGCAATATTCAAGATTTAAGGGGCAAAGCTGAAAATAGTATGTCAAAGTTTATGTACTGCGCATGCGCACAAGATACAAAATTTAAGGTGCCTCCATATCTGAAATTATTTCAGACATGTTCTTTTATATGTTGACCAATTTTGGTGCTTGTATAATCAAATGCACAATTCTTAAGAAAACTTGGTCTTAGCCGCTCCACTGTGTTATCCTATCTGGGATTACAAGACTACTTAATGAGTTTGGTTAATTAATTTGAGTCATGTCAATTAACCAAATATGTATGTATACTACATGCAACCAGTGTAATTGGCATTATAATCAGGGGAAAATGACTTTTGTTCTAAAGCCCATTGGCAAATGTGATTATATCCAGTTTGGCTTTATAACTAGGGTATTGTAAAGGGAGGAAATCCGTTCTGGAAAAATATGGCAATATATCCTGGGTGGCATTATAACCAGGGTGCACTGTACGTGTATTAACTAACAGTTCTTTACGTTACTATAGGAAATCGATGAACGCCAGGACACTTTTCGCCTAAACTGTCAAGAGCATGGTGAGTTATCAAGGAACGTCATTTCTGAAAATAACAGTATGATTACAATCGCCTAAACACCCCAACTGGTTACATCGTGTCAACATCCTTTCTAAATAGTCATTCTGGTGCAAACCACACTAAACTCTCATGTAGAACGCTTGGGCCTATCATACCGAATGGTTTACACTCTTTCAGAACTGGTAGAGATGTTCAGCAGATGCCTTAAACTTGGCTTTAATCAACAGGAAGTCGAACGTGCGGCGCTTCGAGTTCTGAATAAAACAGGTAATTTTTCTCATCTGTCTAATTGCTTCATGGCTCTACCATTTGGCACTTGAAAGTGAAACAGCAGGTGGGAAAACAAAACCTGAATTTCACATTCATATAGAACATTTAACATTTCATTTATTTAAAATGCTTTATATGACATTCAAATTCATAACGGCAACCAGTTTGTAAAACAACTTCTAACAATGATAGTTTGTATGTCATTCCATTCCTGCAGGAACATCATCACCAACTTTATTGCTTCTTCTTGATGACTTGTTGAGGGATAGAGGTTCTACAGTACAGTTTGGAGACAACGCAACATGTAAAGTGTGTCGGAAGGACGCGGTCAACACCATCTTTCTGCCTTGTGGACACAAGCTAACCTGCAGCAAATGTGCCTCTGAAATACAAGATTGCTTGCAAATTAGCTGCGGAGAAAGGATAAGGGGCTACTTACATTTCGAGTAGGCATCCCCATGGGCATCAATTGTGCTCCCCTTCTTGCGGATCTGTTTCGTTATGCATATGAATCGGCATTTCTGCTTGGGTTGACAAAATCAACATAAGCAAAACTTCTTGGCCAAATGACTTTAAGATTCATGTGCACATATATCGATGATTTTATATAGTTCAATAAACATCTAAGAGCCATTTCCCTTCCACTGATTACCTACCTGAACTTGAAATTAAGGAGACAAGTGAGACCGCCTCGTATTTAGATCTATGCAGACAGATTCAGAGTGATAAAATCCTGTTCATTCCTTTTCGAGAACACCTGGTATCACCACTATTGCATAGTGATTCATGGACACATGCTCTGTCATCGTATCGCATGGCAACAATCACTGGATAGTCTGGCCCAGGCTAGATTTGTTTACAAAGAACATTGTACAGCTGCAATACTGGGGAAAAACAAACATATTCTCATGATATAGTCACAATTGTATATGGAAAGCGTTTTGTCGCTTATAGTGTGCAAAATATCATTTGTCTCTGTCGTCCTTATGCTCAGTATCAGTGGTATCAAGTGCTTGAAAATACCTAAGCATAGCTATGTGCATACTTCTGTTCAAGTACTTGTACACGGTGACAAACAAGTAAATGGTAAACAAATTTGATTTAAGATTTGCTGTGTATATGTTGTTTATACCATTCACCTGATGAAGGAGTAAGCATATACTCCGAAACGTCGTGTTATTCACAATTAAGAAGTTGACATCCATAAATATTGCTTTTCTTCTGTTTATATGTTATTTATTTGCTTCTAATATACTTGTATCATTCTGTTGGTAGGGGTGGTCTGGGAAGGGATAGGGCGTGGGGCAGGAGGGGTAAGTTTTTCCTTTAGTGTTTAATAGGGGTGTGATGTTCGGGAGAGAATCCTTGTAGTATTCTGCGAGTCCTCAAATAAGATTTATCTAAGGGGGTTGAAGTCAAAATAGGAAATCTCATCGGACCTACTTGTTTCGAGTGTGTTTACTAAAATACTACACTCTCGAAGGGAATGTAGTACAATTCAATTTCCAAATTGTTCCTTTCTGTACCAACATAACACTTATTTGTTTACATCCATCATGAATAAATTAAAAAGCATACTAATTCCACAATCCATGCATATAGTGTCAGTGTTAGACATATGCACGACACTTTCTTTGAGCCTAAGATACAATATACTATGTTAAAAGAGCTTGTATGAACTGATAAATTGATCTGAGGATGACATAATTGTAATCACTACAAGACAAATCTTATGTATAACAGCTTCTATTTGGTTTACCACCACGTTTCTGGGCTAGCTCTTGCTTATATGTCAAAGCTAATGCTCTCTACAACAGGTCTTGTGCCCCATGGTAATGTCATGGTAATGTTTTCTTTCTTCATGTGTAGTTTCTTAAAACATACGTATTGTTTTAGGCTCAGATCCAGTTGCTCATAAAGTTTTGTCCTTGCATCACCAGAAGATGTCAACACAGCAATTGATGTATTCCATGCAAAATGTCTACGGATGATACCGATACGACAGGACATGCTTACTCTACTTGCGAACACGGGGGACATCACTGAATTTCAATGATTATTTTATATACTGTACAACACTATTTCGCCTAATTTACCCAATGGACAATTTCGGGGGATAATCAAGGATGGACAATTGAAGCTGTATGTACAAGATGTATCATATCATATAACATTAATTCTGTTAAGCTGTGTTGTTATCTTCACAGTTGCCTACTGTGGTCTAGTACCATATATGGTATTACATCAGTTTTGACAGAGGAGCGATCCTGCACTCTTATAACGAGAAGCTACATGGTTCGTTATCCTGTTTTTAATATCCTTGGATTGAAACTGTTCATTTTTCCCAATGTGACCACTTGCAGTCTACAAATGGATTTCTCTGCTACATTGATCAGATGGTGATTGTGTCACAGATGTATATATACGTATGTATAGATGTGTACATATATATCTACTAAAATGTATCTGTTTCCTGACATGTTCATATGTGTGTCTATGTATCTACATATGTAAATACGTGTGTGTTTATACGGTGGACTTATTTTACCCTCTTTTACTTTCCTTTATTACACAGCATATTATGTAGTCTCAACCGTGTACAATATTTTCCAGATATATTCATCCAGGGTTAGCCAATGCACACATTGCTTTACAGCCCATTCACATGTGTTTCACGGCTATTTTGCCCTTCACACCAAATGGAATCTGTTTGTAATGATTGTCAAAACTCGGTATTCTTTTGAACTGATGAATAATGTTGGGCTGTTTAAGTGTAAAATTTATATTAAAATATCGAATATAAACTCACACGCAAAAGAAACGCAAGTCTAGTATAAAGTATATATGCACTTATTTTTAACCGTATATAATACAAATACCAACAGCGTCAGATATACAGAAATTTGAGCAAGAACAGTTCATTGGCAACAAGAATAGATGACGTCATTACATTTTGTTACAGCAAAAGAGTTGCGCAGATTCTAGTCATTGCCATGACGTCATTCAATACCTGGTGTGGCCACCATTAGCATTGATCACTGCAACACATCTCCTGTACATGGAGTGGATCAGGCGATTCGTAAAGGCCCTGGGGATCCTCCTGCACACATCTCGAACAGCTGTACGAAGTTCATCAGCAGTTGTAGGCACTGGTCGCACTTCATTCAGGCGCCTTTGAACCTCATCCCACAAGTGCTCGATAGGGTTCAGGTCAGGGCTGAGAGCTGGCCACGGTAGGACACGGTGTTGTTGAAGAAAGTCCATGGTAACTCTTGCAGCATGTGGACGAGCGTTATCCTGCTGGAAAAGGTGGTTACGATGTCGGGCGAAAAATGGAACAACATGGGGTCTGATGACTTGGCCAATGTAACGCTGAGCTGTGACCCTATGTCCTCGACCTTGACTCACATTCTGGAAGCACATTGGTCCAAGTCTCGCATTAAGTCCAATTCTGGCCCAAATCATGACACTAGGTCCATCCCATGCGACCCGATGCAAAACGATCTCCCTGATGTCGCCAAACTCTGACCCTTCCATCTGCATGTGACACACAAAACCGACTCTCATCAGAGAACATGACACGTCTCCATTCACGTTGACGCGAGTCTTGATGACCCTGTGCCCACTGAAGTCGTGCTTGTCGATGCTGTGGTTGGAGGACAGGACGACGTGCTGGTCGGCGACATCGTAGGTTGTTGGAACGCAGACGTCGGATGACAATGTCACGGCTGATGCGTCGATAATGCGTTCCTATGGTGTCTCGAGCAGTCTGGCTTGCTGTCAGGAAAGGATCTCGCTGGTGTTGACGTGTAATGTGTCGATCTTGTCGAGGGGTGGTGACCCTAGGTCGGCCGCTTCGGGGAAGGTCATCTGTAGTCTGCGTTGAGTTGTATCTATGCTGGAGACAGTACAGTAGATCGTGGTTATGTTGACATTAAAGTGACGGGCAACATCTTGGACAGACTCTCCAGCTTCCAACCGTCCGATAGCCTGGTTCTTCTCAAGTTGATTTAAACGTGGCATTGTTGAACAAAGAGTGACTGGCCAAAGATTTTGGTTCAGTTTTATACCCACTGGAGATGGTGACAACTCGTGCATGTTTGATTGCATGTGGAAAGTGTGTATGGTGCCCACATCGCCATTGAAGCGGTGCGTTCTGGCGATTCGTTTTTTCCTTCTGTTCCCACACTGGCTTTGCAAAACGCAACAGCAAATGTTAACAACACCATCAGCCATCTTTATTTATCAACGTTGTTATAATTTTAGGGGTCTGAGTTTAATTCCCCCTTTGAGTAAGAAACTTGCGTTTCTTTTGTGTGTGAGTATATAAAGTAACAGTGCTGTCAATCTGTGTTACTAAGTTGGGATCAAACGGGAACGTCAAATTCCCATTTAATTAAGAGAACATTATATATTGTATTGTGGACACTAGTTATGTGCTTCTGTTTTATAACATTTTTGTCAATTCTAAAGCTCTTTTAGCTAATAAAATTATGTCGGATTCCAGTATTATTTGTTATTGCTACGGCAATACTGTATCATTAGTACCACACTGCTCGTATGTATGCAGGTTTACATGTTACAGAAAGTGTATCGTCAGAAGTTTTATAATTTCATAAAATCTCGTTATAACCGTGGTTACTGGTTTAGGAACATTTTTAATAACAGATTCCTCTTACAGCATAAGGTCATGAATATCACCATTAACATACAGATGAAGACCACCAAGTCATAGGTACACACAGATGAAGACCACCATGACACAGGTACACACAGATGAAGACCGCCATGACACATGTACACACAGATGAACACCATCATAACAAAGGTGCACACAGATGAACACCACCACGACAAAGGTACATATAGATGAACACCACCATAACACAGGTACACACGGATAAACACCACCATGACATATATACACAGATGAACACCACCATGACACAGGTACACACAGATGAACACCAGCATGACACAGGTACACACAGATGAACACCAGCATGACACAGGTACACACAGATGAACAGCACCATAACACATGTACACACAGATGAACACCACCATGACACAGGTACACACAGATGAACACCACCATGACACAGGTACACACAGATGAACACAATCATGACACAGGTACACACAGATGAACACCACCATGACGCAAGTACACACACAGATGGACACCACCCTGCTATTGGTACACACATACGAACACCTCCATGACACGGGTACACACAGATGAACACCACCAAATCATAAGTACACACAAATGAACATCACCAAGTCATAATTTCATAAGTACACACAGATGAACACCACCATATCATAGGTACACACAGATAAACACCACCGTATCACTGGTACATACAGATGAACACCGCCATGTGTCATGGTTGTACACAAGTTTGCACTGCTAAGGCATGGACGCATGTAATCCAAAACAGTCCAACATACCCGAATATTGTATTTTTAAAAATATGTTTGGGGTAAAATTAGAATGATTCATATCAAGAAATCTCACCAAGAAAGCGTTTTCCGTTTATTACGGTGACAAAATAATCTGTACGTAAGATATTTGCATAAAAGCGGCCCACGCAAATATCAGGAAAATAACTGCAATCGAGGTGGACTATCACAGCCAGGCGCAGCACAGCCAGCAGGTCACCGTGACTTCCTCCACAGTCAAGCTCTCACACACAAGCAACGAGTGTCGCGTCAGTTGATAACAGCTTGCGTCGTCTACAAAAGAAGGACGTTGGAAAACCCAGTCAAAGTATAACGCTGACGTGGCCACTGAATATAATTTAATTCTACACTGTAAAGGTAAATGCACAGGAATTTGCTTACGAATACGAACTAATGCGTCAAACATTGCAAGAAAATAACTGCATGCGTCCCCCATTTTCGATTATGAACTGCAACTGAAGTATATAGATATAATACAAATATACAATTTACTCCCACGATTGTCATATATGGCGCTCACGTAAAGATTTTAGCATCATCATTTGTATTTTAGATTAAAGCATTGTTTTCTAAGACGAGAAACAATGAATATGATAATATTTCACTTACAACAATAATAAAAACATAAGTTGAAGAAAATGTACCAAGGAAGACATTGATGTATGAATCTGTTTGCAGAGCTGAGCATAAATTGAGTTGATGAATTAACCAAGCTGATAACCCATCATGTATCACTAACACTCCCTGTCCATTTTTTTTATGTCTTGTCACAGGAGAATCTACAGAAGCCTGTAGCTTTGGAAGTGTGAGTATGGTTTTACGCCGTTCTTAGCACTATTCCAGCAATATCGCGGCAGGCGACACCAGAAGTGGGCTTCACATATTGTATCCATGTGGGGAACCCATGTCTTTGGCGTGACGAGCGAACGCTTTAACCACTAGGCTGCCCCACCATCCCCCTTTGGAAGAGGGTCTCGAGGCTCCATATCAACTACAGATTTCAGGACAGAAATCATGTCCTTAATGACACTCATGCATTTGTTTTGTTACGAATACGGTTGAACTAACAACATGTGCCTCAACCAAACAGACATATTAAGTTTTTTAAAAAAAGGGCACAATAACGTTTTGAGAATGGACCACTAAATGGTAAAACGTCAACACTAACAGAAATCTGTGCTTATGAAAGTGATTGATTTTCATGCTCTAAACTGTGGACAACAGACAGTCAGGCGGCGAGGACGAAGGGTATAGTGCATTAGGCTTCGGTCTGTAGCGACTACGCTTCAAAACCTGCGAAAACAAAAGATGCCACCAATTTAAAAAGTGAGAATGGATGTGAAGTAGCTTCCACTGAACAATACTTGGGCAGAGTTACTATTACATAAACAAATTCAGGTAGCCAGTTCAGTGATCTATTCGCTCACATTTGTAGGACATTTGACATCATCCGAGTCAAACTGACGACACATTCTTAAGGCCAGATGGAGCAGTATCGATTCCGTTAGTGTTTAAACTGACATGATACAGTCAACCCTACACACTATAACAATCGACCAAATATATCCAAACAAACCAGGACTCTTCAGCTTTGATGAGTCACGTACATTGTCTATTTATAATGCCAACAAAGTAACTGTACATTATCAACGTCCGTGGAAGCTTGCATTGCAATAACCACAATCATAACCCCTAGATGTTATAGCCCGGGCAGGCTATCGGGACGCTAAGCTACATACTGAAGACAACAGTTGAGTTGGACGGCCATGTCATGTTTGCATTGACATGCTTGGTAGATTTATTTAGCAGTGATGTATCAGTGAATTGTACATATATTGCGAGCTGTTCCCGAATGAATAGCAATTGAGGGAAAAGAGTACAAGAGCTCGTATCAGTACAGGCAATCCGGACGGCAAAATATATACTGGAAACAAATAATTGTGTTGGAAGAGCATGCCATGTTTGCATTGACGTTTATTTATAGGCTTATTCGCCGGTTATAGTGACAAAATAATGGATAGATATATTTGGCAGTGATGTGTCAGTGACGTGTATTTATATCTCAGAAAAGGAGTACAAGAGAGGTGGAGCTCGTATCGGCAGGACGCTTATGGATACGGTTTGTGTAATCACATTAGCTTCCTTCTAAGTGAGGGCGGTGGGGTAGCCTAGTGGTCAAAGCGTTGGCTCATCACGCCGAAGACCCGGGTTCGAATCCCCACATGGGTACAATGTGTGAAGCCTATTTCTGGTGTCCCCCCGCCGTGATGTTGCTGGAATATTGCTAAAAGCGGCGTAAAACCAAACTCAGTCAGTCAGTCAGTCCTTCTAAGTGATAGTCTAGCTTCCTTTTAAATCCGAACAAACAGGTGCTGTCATGACAATTAAGGAACAAACGTTCGACATGGTATTGACCATGTGTGTTGGAGGTGTTTGTCATTGATCTGTTCGCAAAGGTATAGACCATTTGGGTTCAAGAGAGAACGTTGAATGATTAAATAACTCGAAATAGGGATAAGTACACCACACATAAATAAGACACATGGTCCTTAAACCCCCTGTACCCAACAGGATCTGAAATCTGACGTTTTATGATCGTTCACGGAAAGAGTTGTTTAAGAAACCATTATGTAATAATGTAATATCGTGCTATTTTCACGCTTCACGGTGAGGGGTGACAAGCGGCTGGTGTAACAACGCCGGCACGCACTTCAGGTGCAACTCAGCAGATGATCCCAACTAGTCAAGAAACCGTCGTTTGTCACCTCTCGCTGTGAAGCGTGAAAATAGCACAATATTACATGATGGTTTCTTAAACAACTTTTTCCGTGGTCGATCATCAAATGTCAGATTTCAGATCCTGTTAGTTACAGAGGTTTTATGACTATGTGTCTTATTTATGTTTTGTACACTTATCCCTATTTTGGGTTATTTAATAATTCATCGTTCTCATCTGAATCCAAACGGACTATGTTTTTAACGTTCTGGTACATCTAAGTATTAAAACATCTTGCAAAGAAACATTAACTTCAATATTGATTTGTAGATGGACAGCAGTAATAAATACAGACACTTCCTGGACGACGAGCTGGTCTGTATACCTCGTGCGCTGGTCAATTGGCGAGTAAATATACATGCTCATCTAGCACGAGCACCGCGCGAGCCACAACCTCTTACTCTAGAGGCGCTTACCAGAATCAGAACCACCAGTCCTGGCAAGCACATGTGTCACATCCAGATGTGGAACTTCGAGAAACGCCTGAAGACCCTAAAGGACATAGCATCATCACTGCTACAGGGGGTCTCGGAGATCCAGCTTAAGGATATGGCAAATGCCGGATTCTTTTACTCAGGTAAATACATTTTTGAAAGCACTGCTAAGTCTTGTAACGTTATAACTCTAAGACGCTCGTTGAGCTCTCATAGAAAGAACACGCTTGTGATTCTTAAAATAGTTTATATGTTTTTTATATGTTTATATGTAATCTTTTGTCATGAATGTTGTTGTTGGTTTGTTGTTTAACACCGCACTAAGCAATATTACATCTATATTGCGCCGGTCGGTAAATAGTAGAGTCTGGACCAGAAAATCCAGTGATCAACACCGATCTACGTAATTGGGATACGGTAACATTTGTCAACCAAGTCAGCGAGCCTGACAACCCGATCCCATTAGTCGTCTCTTACGACAATCATGGGTTGCTAAAGACCAATGCCAACCTGGATCTTCACTGGTCGAGTCACGATATAAATGCTATCTATTAGCTTTTGTGTACAGGCCAGGGGAACACACTTATATGCGCCCATTGTGGTAACATTCTTCATGACTGGGTTGAGGGTGACTGTCCCTGGAAGCGCCACGCCGAACTCAACTCCAAGTGTCCTTTACTGACAAGAGGTTGCAGTTTGGACAAAGCAGGGGTTAGTTCATGCTCACATTCTTATGTCTTGTATCTGAATTAGTGTATCTTTATCTGAATTAGTGCTTCTTTATCCTGAACTATCTAGTCTAGTAAGGCTTTGATCGTGTAATTTGGTTGTCGACAGTATATTAACAATTATCTTCGTGCCTACAAATAAACAACATGTTGCAATCCAATAAATCCTTGGGCATAAAACACATACGTAATTTGACAGAAAGAAACTTTTTAACTAGTTTTAACTAATAATTGATAACTAAATCTCTAAAGACATGAGACACTATTGCACGATATAAAACCTACTTGAACGAAAATATAAGACCCAGTATAACAGACCATTTTATTCATGCTGGCTATAAGAATGCTATTGGGTTTTATGTCATGTAGCGGCACCAGCGTATCCCCAACCCACCCTTCCTTGCCTAATACCCACCCACCCCTTCCCCCATGATTTCCGTGAATTGATATATCTCTCTCGTCTCAAACCTTTCGTTTTCCACTTGTGTGACTATGTTTCCACGGTGTATCGCCTATTGACTGTGCATTACATGTACATGTGACGATTACATAAGATGAACACTTCACTCTAATTCCTGGGGAATGAATTTATGAATATTGTATTTGTAAACAAAACTGCGTATTAAAAGTCATAACTGGGGATCATCCATAGTGCAATGAAGTCATTGTGTCCATCTTTCAGGAAGTGACGTCCCTGCGAAAACGACACAGTTCTGGCAGTGCAGGCTGACCAAGTAACGCCAAACATTCCGGATGACATCCTTATCTACTTATGTATGCTTCAGCTGCCTTTAGTAGTTTTATGTTAATATATGCTACGTTGCTTCCTAATACGTGTACAAAAGCATGACGTTTAGGGAATGTAAATATTACGTAATTGACAAAGTGAAATTTACATACCGAGCACGAGACATGAACCCTGAACATAGGGATACAGCTGCTGAAGCAAAAGTATAAAGCAAATTTTAAAGCTATGAAGCTTGGAAATTTAAGGGAAGCTAAAAAAAAGTATGCTCTGTTGAGTGAGTGAGTGAGTGAGTTTGGTTTGACGCCGCTTTTAGCAATATTCTAGCAACATCACGGCGGGGGATAACAGAAATCGGCTTCACACAATGCTCTGTTGATATGTGTGAAAAATAGAATATACTCTTTAGGCAGAGAATGCTATATTGATATGCCAGACGCAGATAATATGCTCTGGTATGTATGTCAGACAGGGGGAGTATGCTCTGTTGAATTATTAAGCACAAACAATATGCTCTGTTGATTCGGCAAATACAGATGGTATATATGCTTTGTTGATTCAGCAGACACAGAAACTATGTTCTAGTGGTTCGTCAGACACAGAAGCTGTGTTCTGTTGATTAGTCAGACTCAGAAGATACGTTCTTTTAATCCGTCAGACACAGAGGCTATGTTCCGTAGATTCTTCAGACACAGAAGGTATGCTCTGTTGGTTCGTCAGACACAGAAGGTATGTTCTATTGGTTCGTCAGAACACAAAAGCTATGTTCTAGCTTCGTCAGGCACAAAAGCTATGTTCAGTAGATTCGTCAGACACAGAAGATATGCTCTGTTGATTCGTCAGACACAGAAGATATGCTCTGTAGATACGTCAGACACATAAGGTATGTTCTATTGATTCGTCAGACAAAAAAGCTGTTCAGCTATTGATTCGTCAGGCAAAAAAGCTGTCTTATCTTGATTCGTCAGAAAGAGAAGGTATGTTCTGTTGATTCGTCAGTCACAGAAGGTATGCACTGTTGATTCGTCAGTCATAGAAGCTGTGTTCTGTTGATTCGTCAGACACAGACGGTGTGTTCTGTTGATTCGTCAGACACAAAAGCTATATTATATTGGTTCGTCAGACACAGAATGTATGTTCTGTTAATTCGTCAGTCACAGAAGTTATGTCCTGTAGATTCCCCAGACACAGAAGCTATGTTCTGTTGATTCTTCAGACACAGAAGGTATGCACTGTTGATTCGTGAGTCACAGAAGCTGTGTTCTGTTGATTCGTCAGACACAGAAGCTATGTTCTGTAGGTTCTACAGGCACAGAATGTGTGTTCTGTTGATTCGTCATACTCAGAAGCCATGTTCTGTAGATTTTTCAGACATAGCATGGATGTTCTGTTGATTCGTCAGACACATAAGGTATGTTCTGTTGGTTCGTAAGAAGCCATGTTCTGTAGATTTGTCAGTCACATACGTTATGTTCTATTGGCTCATCAGACACAGAAGCTATGCTCTCTTAATTCGTCAGACTCAGAAGGTATGTTCTATTGGTTCGTCAGACACAGAATCTATTTTCTATTGATTCTTCGGACACAGATGCTATGTTCTGTAGTTTTGTCAGACACAGAAGGTATGCTCTGTTGATCCTCCGGGCACATAGGCTTTGTTCTGTTGATTCGTCAGACACAGTGCATATGTTCTGTTAATTATTCAGACACAGAAGGTATGTTGTTGTGCTTCGTCCGACACAGAAGGTTTGTTCTATCGTTTCGTCAGACACAGGCGATACTATCTCTTGAGTCGTCAGACACAGAAAGTGCCCTCCGTTGATTCGTCAGACTCAGAAGCTATGTTCTGTAGATTCGTCAGACACAGAAGGCCAGGTTGATTCGTCACAGAAGGTATGCTCGATGTGTTGTTCGTTTGTCAGACACAGAAGGTATGTTTTGTTGATTTGTCAGACGCAGAAGTTATGTTCTATTGCTTTGTCAGACACAGAAGTTATGTTCTATAGTTTTTTAGATACAGTAGATATGTTCTGTTGGTTCGTGAGACGCAAATTATGAAATCAGAAGTTATGCTATGCTGATATGTCAGACACAGGGAATGTACTCTGTTGATGTGTCAGACAGAAAGTATGCTATGCTGATTGTTGGATACAGGGAATATGCTCTGTTGATATGTCAGACAGAAAGTATGCTATGCTGATATGTCAGATACAGGGGATATGCCCTGTTGGTATCTCAGACACAAGGAATGTGCTCCGTTAATGTTTCAGACACAGAAAGTATGCTATACTGATATGTCAGGCACAAGGAATATGCCTTGTTGATATGTCAGACACTGGGAATATGCCTTGTTGATATGTCAGACACTGGGAATATGCTCCGTTGATATGTCAGACACCGGGAATATGCCTTGTTGATATGTCAGACACTGGGAATATGCTCTGTTGATATGTCAGACACTGGGAATATGCCTTGTTGATATGTCAGACACTGGGAATATGCTCTGTTGATATGTCAGACACTGGGAATATGCCTTGTTGATATGTCAGACACTGGAAATATGCTCTGTTGATATGTCAGACACTCGGAATATGCTCTGTTGATATGTCAGACAGAATTTATGCTATGCTGATACGTCAGGCACAGGGAATATGCCTTGTTGATATGTCAGACACTGGGAATATGCCTTGTTGATATGTCAGACACCGGGAATATGCTCTGTTGATATGTCAGACACTGGGAATATGCTCTGTTGATATGTCAGACAGAATTTATGCTATGCTGATATGTCAGGCACAGGAAATATGCTCTGTTGACATGTCAGACAGAAAGTATGCTTCAGACACAGAAAGTGTGTTCTGTTCATATGTAAGACACAGAGAGATATGACAGATAAAACCAGTATGCCCTGATTATTAATGTGTCATCTACAGATATTTTAGATAAAGAAAGTATGCTTTGTTGCTATGTGGGAATCTGATGTTATGCTCGTTGACAGGTAAATAATTTCTCTGCTGTTATGTCATATGTCACATACAGTGTATGCTCTGTTGATATGTCAGTCTCAGAAAGTATGCTCTCTTAAAGTTGACACCCTATTCTTAGGCTCGCAGTACTATCTTGGACATGTATTATGTAGCTCTAGCAAATAAACTCTGCACTTTCTTTTCTTGTGACAGTTTTCTTTTCGAAGGGATGGATAACCCGACCCCTAACCTACCAGAATAGTCTGTGACGATACGGGTTGGAATTGGTGTTCCACTATTCGTCTCAAGAGTTGACTGACGGGTTTGGCTGATGCATGGCGTGGTATACCAACTGAGTAAATCGATGCTGATGGTCTCAGTCACTTGTCTTGTCCACACTCTATTATGAACAGACCCCCCTCATATAGTCAGACAATTACTAGGTTAGTAACCCCTCTCCACATCCCCCACATCCCCCCTAAAAAGAAACAAACAAAAAAACCAACAAAAAACAAACATAAAAAACAAATACAAACAACAGTGACTGATTTGTTTGTCACAATATGCAAGCAATTCAAATATGAAGTTTTCATCCAAAACAGTGTTCCACAGGAGATATTGCTTGTGCGAGATCAAACGAGATATCGTTTTGACAGTAGGTTTTGTACAATGCCTTGACAATGCTATGACGTCATGAACTTGAAAACGTCACAATGCTATGGCATGGCCGCCCTGCAAGTCTAATGATAGTACCGTGTTCAGAGATGTACATTTTTCATTGAAAAATAATGAAGAGTGGTTTTCGATGATAAATAGAATCTCACCCTCGTGTCTACTGATAACAAATATATCAACACTCATATTTGTAACTATTTGTAACTGATATCAGTAGACACTTTGGTGACATTCTCTATATAATCGAGTATTACGATGTGTGTGAGCTGAGTTAAGCGCAGCCTTTAACAATTTTTCACTTACATCATGGTGTGTCAACTGACTTTAGGATGAACACCCGCAATGCAGATCTCAGACGTTTACCACTTACAAAAAAAAAAGCACGAGCACGGATTTGTCTCCGAAAGAGTTGGAAATCGGGGCGAAATATGAACACCGTGTGAATTTAGTGGATCGAGTGGTCACGCCAGATCACTTTGTTCTGAGCGTGTCATCGTACGATGACGGCGTGGATTCATCTCACTGCCAGTCACAAGTCTGTCTAGTCCAAACACGAATATTTACAGGTCGCTATCATGTAGTGTGAATATAAAATAACAATATGTTAAACAACCATCTTCTTCCAATTCCTTGTCACTAACGAAATGGCCAAAACTTATGCCTGTAAATGCAAAATAGAAAGCGCGTTACAGCCAAAATTATAAATCAATTTATTTGAATAATGGAATAATGATTAATGTCAACAGATGTTGTCGAGAAGAATAACAGGGCCTGCTTTCCTGGCAGCAAACGCCATTCACACAAGTGTTTGTTTGTTCCAATATTAAGAACTGTTGCTATGCGACGATTGAAAAACCCAGCAAGTTACTGTAAGATGATCGATCACATTGTTTAAGTCACGACAATAAAACAGCCAAACTGACCTATTTTTAGGACAGTCTGACCCGTGACAAGGAAACCGAAACGTGTGAAAATAATCATTAAAATTATTTGAATTCTGACCTGACCCATAGGATTCCTCTTGGATTCCATATATTTCTTGTGCCTCGGCAAGAATACATTAAATGTAATACCACTTGAAGTAAATGAAAACAAAAAGTAAAAATGGTTCTTCCAGCCTGAAAATGATGTGGTTGGGTGCACAGTCGTAGTGATAACTGGGACCATGAAGATACCCTTCATTTTGAAAGTTAAATTTAGGATGTATTGTTTATGTTTCAGAGAGTTTTAAGAATAAATATGATCGGGGGTGTATGAGAAGAAACGGATAATGATATGGAGCCAAATATACGATAGTAAAATCTTTCATTGACGCATATTAATATATCTCGGCCAGGCGTTTTAGCCAAGAGAAGATGTGCCTTGACATTGGTGGTATTTGTTTGGGCTTATGATGCTGGGTGTTTCGAATTCTTCAATGTTTTATGTGCGTGAATACGTTACAAATGGAGGTCTTTCAGACATATGATACGATGGTTTGGACATTCAGTATCTTTTAATGCTATAAAAGCTGTCCTCAAAAGACAGTTAAACAAACATTAGCATAGTTGCCTTATACTGAAGCAATGTTGAGAGCAGAGAGCTGCATAGCATATCTCATACTTCAGAGAACACCAGCATTCTGCTTTGTGAAGGAGAATTATCTCAAACATGTAAGCTTTTTATCATATAATTTTCGTAAAGGGTGTTTAATGGGTATTCATATGTGTGTCCATACTAATGGAGGCTTACTTCAAAAGGAACTAATATACTTTGACTTCATATCAGCTCTCGTGGCGTATGTGTTTATCTCAGTAACAAGTAGCATACATGATTAGCGAAAAAATACTCCTTACACGCATTTGTAAACGTCTGTCATTATATATTTAAAGGAAGTATCCATTTCCTTTAATAATACAAACAATACATTTCGGCTTTAGAACTTTTAAATGTCAGTTTTATGGAGCGACAAGAATGGATTATTTAAAAAAGATATTGTTAAACTCCCAAGTGACCTACGTTGAGATCCCAACGAGACCCATTTTGAGCATACCCGAGTTTATAGGACATAATGATAGGCTAGACTTCAGGTTGTACACACCACCTTATCTCGTCGGGTGAATAGCGAGATCTGCGACCTTTGATAATGTGCATACGGCTTAACCAGCAGCATAGTATTATGTATTATGGGCCAGTTGAATTTTAGACATGTCTGGTTTGCACATGATCGATCAACAGCTGTTGGAAAACACAACTGAATCCAGGAGCGTTCTATTCATACTGCCAGCGCAGGTAATGGTTTTGTTGAGGGCAAGGATTGGTGAACACAGTTATGTTTTCGGGAGGCTCAATAACACTTTGAAAGCCGGCAACCAGCAGTCACACGTGAAGCGTTCACAGTTATCGCCGCGGCCATCACATGATTCATAGCCTGTCGTAGATTGGTTGGTTTTCTTGGCTGTGACGTGCCCATGAAAGCCTTCTGATACCGTACTAGTCACAGTATTGGCTGACAGAACGATGTAATCTATAAGTGACTCATTTCGACCAAGCTTTCCTTGAAAATGGGAGGGTAGACCCGTATCGCTTTCCAAGAAGTAGTTGTCGTGTAGGTGAAATAAGTGTTTGGACCACTAATACTTGTTACATATTAACAGTTTATGTCCTGAAAATAACTTCATTATTAACGTTTTCAAGAGACACACATGCTCTATGAATAAGGACACTTGCATGGATATATTTATCCCGTGTTGCTCTGGTAAGGTGATAAATAACAAGATTTGGCCAGGGTGTCTCAACAAGAGACCGGGAAGGATACCACAGCCACGTCACATACGAGGATCTAGGCAGCCCTGACGCTTTGACATTGTACTCTTTCTTTACGGTAGGTCAATCTTGTGCATTGCGTGTTACAGTGTATGACGAAAGGGTATTTTTAGTCAGTGAAATGGAATTATTTATAGCGCAGTGAATTCAAAAGGCGCTTCGGCCTAATGTTCTTTGTGCGTCATATGCTTGCCTTTTCTGAAGCAATGTTGAAGCAGAGAGCTGCATATCTGTGACAAATGTTGCACTAGAAATGATAGCTTGACTCCTGGATACATGTTGATTTGCTGCAGAAATTAATACCTTATGTTCATAAAATTAACATCACGTGTCACAACTTAAAGTATAAGTGTGTGTTGTATGTGTGTGAATACATGTACACACCTGAAGAGCAGTTGAACTTGTTTATATACATATATTTATATGTATGTATGTGTTTGTGTGGACTGTCATTCTGTCTGTGTCTTTTTCCAAAAATGTTTAAATATATGATATCATATTTCTGCTTATTGCGTATACTTTGTAATGTTATCTAAATATTTAAAAATGTGTGTATATATCCATTATGAAGTCGGCTACCTGAGGAGGATAACTTTTTTCAAAGCGTTTTTGACAATAAAATATCATCTCTGAAATGTTTCTGATTGCTAGGGAGGTCTGCAACATAGGCAATACCATACAGCGTTGACGCTTAACAGTGTAATTAACCTATTTGTTCGTGCACCTTGCTAATGAAAATGTTCTTGTATATGTTCCACATGATCATTTTGTGTGCAGTCAGGCAAGGTAAGCCTTCTTGGATAATTGCTATAGCAGACAACAAACGATTGGCAACTATCCATCGAAAGAGATTATTACTTCCCACAAAATAACATCATATGAAGTGGAACGAGTCAATGTGTGCCAAAGGCGATATTTTGAATTAAAATACTGGAATAGCTACAAGTATGTGTCGCATCACATCTGAATTAGCTTTATGAAAGGGTTATTCAGTAAAGTTACAACATGAGAAATTTTCAAAATAGGATTTTCTGCTAACTAAATATTCACACTTCTTTGAGAGGCATTTTAAAAGTGGTATAGGTGAAGGAAAACCAAGTTCTATGGATAGTCAACTTCTTTATTGCAATGAGTGCGACGTTCGGTTATCTTGCTTGATAAGTGACTTACTTGAAGACGGTGTTAGTACCTAAACCGAAACGTCGCACTCATTGCAATAAAGAAGTTGGCTATCCATAGAACTTGGTTTTCCTAAATATTCACACTTCGTACAAAATTTCAAAACCTCTTCTTTGGCGAAACATAATTACTCTTCAAACATATATTATAATTGTATAAGAATATTTTATTTAATACCGTAACAGATACAGTCAAACAATATTACAGAAACGGAATAAACATTGTTCATTATTAAGCATTAATGAATAAAAGCAAGACAAATTCCAAAAATATTATGCACCAGATACCAGATATACCTAGGTAAATACGTGAGTACTGTAATGTAATTTACGTTTTTTCTCGAGATAAGAAAATTAGTTTAAATGTGTTTGTTTCCTGGAACAAATACTATGCTATTTAAGACGTAGTACTCACGTGCGTATGCACGTTGCCCCAAAACGGAAAGGTAATATTTTTTACTTCCAAACAAAACAAGGTTATCTGGGTCATCATCATCAAGCAGATTAGCGAAAAAAAATTAAGAATTACATCTATATATTTTACACACTAAAGGTAAAAAGGTAAACGCAAAAAACGAAAAGTCTTAAAGTTGTTCTAAATCTAAAAATACATAGTAATTATCAGATATACAGAATTTAATACGAACAAATACACACATTTAATTTCACCAGCTAAGAAACATGCTGGGACTGAATATATTATGTACAACATATAGTAATTAGCATAGCTTGGAATTAGATCTAGACTTGTATTATTAATAGGCCTACACTGAAATCTGAAAATAATATGCTGTGATTTACAGGTATACCTGCGACTATTGTGCGAAAAAGCAAGAACAAAAATAAGTTTAACTAAAGATAAGAAAAGACGCACGTCTACATACAAATGGTGGAAAATGTGTTGTGTCTGATTCAAGTGAGGCCTTCGCTGTTTGCCAGTTCGGTAGCCAAAATCATGTTCAGGGATAATTTTCCGATTGTCTATCTCAAAAGTATTTCGGTTACATCACAGCATAGTATGATCACAAGAATTGGCCAGGAAATTATAAATGTTGGTTGGATGGAAACTCAAGAAAAGAACTTCGACAGACCACAGCTACAAATTGAATCTGCGGATGTTGGGTCTAAGCAACACAGTGCCTTAGATTAAAAGGAAACCCATCTTCTCGACACGATAATGAAAATTAGACTAAAAGAGGTGAAGCTTTCAACTGCTGACAATGTTTCTGCTTTTCTTATTCTAAATAACGCGTATTATATAATGAAGAAAAGGAACAAAAGAGCATTTAAAAACTCAACTAAACAGAAAATGAAACAAATAAATGTTGCTACATTTGCCACGTCGGGATATCATTGTTGGGATCATGCAAACACTCAATAGGCGTACAGTTTCACGTCGAAGATGTCAATGCTTTCATGTGACAACACTCCACAACATAAAGTCACTCATTATCGAGTGAGATAACTACTGTGGTGGATACTTATGAAACTAAAAGTGGAACTAAACTTCCCTAAACAGCAAATCTGGATGATACATCAGCACAAACATGTATGTGGGTATCACTGATATTTAGATAGCAGAGAATATACAGACACCCCTTAGTCCTACTAGTACTAGTCAATTTTGAAAGCCGCAAACAAATAAGATCGCGGTATTTACTTCCAGATGTAGATATAATTACAGACATGTTCACGTAAATGAGCGAGTGTGAAGTTAGGCCCCTTTCAGCAATATCAAGGCGGAAGATTGCAGGAGTGTTATTACTAGTTTTACCCACCGTACTACGAAAATGATGAAAGGAAAATTTTGTGTATGTTTCAGCCATATGGAGGGGGTCAGTAAATATTTGAGTCTTGGCTAGACAGACTTGTGATTGAAATCGTGATCATCGATCTATACAGTTTGAATACAATGACAGTCTGATCTCCTTAGACGCCTCTTCGAACAAGCTAAAATGTTCAAATCATGGTTGAGCCCGTACCACCCTGTAATCTTCGCTGTGTTAAAAGGGGAAAAGTCACACTCATCTAGATACATATACTGACCAGTAAAAGAAACACAATTTCAGAAATCAAAACAATTTTGTTAAAGTATTAAATCCAAACTCATGCTGAAAAAGTATAATTTTAATGAATTCTGAATTACGTTTTTATTGCTGGTCAGTTTATTACAACCTCCTTGTTGTTAAATTGAATTCGAAAGTTTCGAAAGACACAAGGAAATCGATGTATCTGATGTGATGCCGCCTCAAACGTCACTAGCGCACACTGGAGTGAAATCCTAGTGACAGGTACTGCTCATTACACACCTGGTATTTCGGGTATATATATTTTAAGCACAAACTCACAACAGACTCAGATGACGAATAGTTAGCTCACTTCTTAAGGAGTATTGTCAACTTTCAATAATATAATTATTATGTGTATGCCATCTCAAAAGATGTTAAAAACAGTATTTTTTCAAATTACTATAGTTTATTAGTCATGGGGTGATGTAGTGACCACAGCACGTCAAAGAATAGAGTGTTTTGCTTTTGAGGAGCCTAAATGATGCATATATTTTTTGTAAAAAATACCAAACATGTCGACCTGTAAAAAGAACTGCTGTGGAGACGTTTGGAGGTCGGACGTTGTTCCTGTTTGGTGACCATTTTTGAAAATACATTTCATCGAAAGTATACATGTGAATAGTAATATTAAACAAAACTATTCACTGTATCAATATTGGTGTTTTTGTAAAGGATATTTAAATAAGATTTTTGAAAGGTAATTTTGTATGGCCAATCAACTGAGAAAATACTTTTCATTGAAAGTATACATGTGAATAGTAATATTAAATAAAATTATTTACTGTATCATTTTTGCTGTTTTTGTAAAGGATATTTAATAAGATTTTTGAAAGGTAATTTTGTATGGCCAATCAACTGAGAAAATACATTTCATCGAAAGTATACATGTGAATAGTAATGTTAAATAAAGCTATTCACAGTATCACTAATGGTGTTTTTGTAAAGGTTATTTAAATAAGATTTTTGAAAGGTAATTTTGTATGGCCAATCAACTGAGAAAATACATTTCATCGAAAGTATACATGTGAATAGTGATGTTAAATAAAACTATTCACAGTATCACTAATGGTGTTTTTGTAAAGGTTATTTAAATAAGATTTTTGAAAGGTAATTTTGTATGGCCAATCAACTGAGAAAATACATTTCATCGAAAGTATACATGTGAATAGTAATGTTAAATAAAACTATTCACAGTTTCACTAATGGTGTTTTTGTAAAGGTTATTTAAATAAGATTTTTGAAAGGTAATTTTGTATGGCCAATCAACTGAGAAAATACATTTCATCGAAAGTATACATGTGAATAGAAATGTTAAATAAAACTATTCACAGTATCACTAATGGTGTTTTTGTAAAGGTTATTTAAATAAGATTTTTGAAAGGTAATTTTGTATGGCCAATCAACTGAGAAAATACATTTCATCGAAAGTATACATGTGAATAGTAATATTAAATAAAACTATTCACTGTATCATAATGATGATTGTCTGAAGGATATTGAAATTGGAATTTTTGAAGGGTACATTTTTGGGCCAATAAACCGAGAAAATTAGTTCATCGAACGTATACATGTGAACAGTAATATTCGATAAAACTATTCACTGTATCATTAATGTGGATTTACAAAGGTAATTTGTTTATGGCCAATTAACCGAGAAAATATATTTCCTCGAACGTATGCATACATGTGAATAATAATTTTCGATAAAACTATTCACTATATCATAATGATGATTTTATGACGGATATTGAAAGTGGATTTTTGAAAGGTAAATTTTTATGGCTTATAAACCAAGAAAATACATTTCATCGAACGTGTTCACGTAAGTAGTAATATTCGAAAAGAATATTCACTGTATCATAATGATGGTTGTCTGATGGATGTTGGAATTAGATTTGTGAAAGGTAGTTTTTTATGGCCAATTTACCGAGAAAATAGAATTCATCGAACGTATACGTGTGAATGATCACATTCGATAAAACTGTATTTTGAAAGGTAAACTTTCATTGCCAAATAACCGAGAAAATAATTTGATCGAACATATATATTTGAATAAAAAATAATTTCAGCAAATCAGCTCAATCTAAATAACACTATGAAATTATGCCAAATGTTGCCTGCAAACTGGGCAACGTTCTGAAGGTGTTCTGAAGGTACCGGCCACTAGATGACCGCAGGGGTGGAAGTGGATACTGCGGGGGTTCTCCCGACAGATCCTGCACAAGCTCGATTCCATAAACTGCGGGTGTTCCAGTCCATGTCCACTAAAAGCATTGCCGAAAGCCTCTGGGGTGTTACCCAGCTGCGTCACCTGCAAAATACAATTTCCAGAAAAATAGTATAGTTAGCTTTATACCCAAACGTCTCATGTGAATGTGTTACAATCAGTACGATTTCATTCAGCTAAATTCATGTTACCTGTAAGGAGGTGAAAGTGCCAGATCTGTCGCCGACGGGGAAATTATATCCCCTGTTAATATCTCTAAACAATCTGCCTTGATCTTCATCCAACTCGCGGGGCCCAACGAAGCCGGGGGAGCCTGCAACAGGGTGGATTCACACATTATTATTAAAGGTGTCACAGTTGTGTTTTACCTCCAAAATATCGCCACATATATTTCTTATGTTTTGTTCATTTTCGCTCGAAAAAGACTCGAAAAAAATGTTTATCCAACACATTCACATAAAATAAGTCTTACATCGGATTATAACGACCACGTACAAACTGTACCTTCTCGTTTAGGATCTTCTCCAGGGGTCTTTTGCGGAGCCTGGCGTCCCTCTCTCAACCTTACTCCGAGCGCTGCCGGACTAGCTTCTATAGGGTAATCAGGCACTGCGTGGTTAGCCTGACGGGGTTCATATGCATTGTTAGCGACGTTTCCAGGTAGTTGCCTTGCGGTTGGTCGCATCTGTGGTTGATGAAGATCGATATCTGTGGTCGGGTATCTGGGAAGGTTTCGAATAATATTCCACTCAGAAGCCAAGGGACAATCAGCAAAGGTGATATTTCCACAAGGTAACCCATTTCTGTGTCGACAATCAGTTTGGTGACGTTCTGGGGCCTGTGGTCCTATCCTTTGGCGGATGCCACAGCTGAAGCACCTGATCTCTCCTGAACGCTCTGTTGCATAGAACCCTGCTGCCGCCAGATGTATAGTGGATACAGTTGCTGTGTCTACTCCAAGGAAGGATTTCAATCTAAGAGCTTCATAAACCATGATTTCCTGCAGGGTGGCGCCACGTCTAGCAACCAGAGCTTCAAAATTCCCATTTAGTGATATCGATGGGTTTGTATATACCACGATACTAATGTGCTGGAACGCTCTTAGCTCCGGCATATAAAACATCGGAAACGCCATATTTTTATGTGATTTTGTAAAATAACTTGAGAGCTTATCAAAACAGGTGATATTAACAACAATGTCGGGCAAGTGTCCACCACCGACTTTTTTGGTGATAATATTTCCATACTTCAACTCAAAAACATATTTGCTTTTTGGTGGTATTACATAAAGGCATCGGATATAAATATACATAAGTGTATGACTTTTTATCCTCATCGTTGTTTCCTGCAAGAGAAAATTAATTTGGTAAATGTATGTATGTGAAGGTTTATGCAGACAGTATAATCTGTCCTGAAGTCAATGTAAAACCAGAAATATTGTAAATCCAGGAGTGAGTGTGTGTGTGGTGGGGGTGGGGTGGGGGTGGGGCAGAATTGGCAGAATTGTTTCAATACCTGCTGTAGACCCTACCATAACGATGTCGCCATTTGTTTTGCGTGTGTGATAGTCAGAACCCAGTAACTACAGGCCGACGTGTTGAGGTGGCGTGAGAACTAAACACACAACCTTACCTTCGAGGGTCTGGCGCCGAATGACTCATCGGCTGACGCAGCTCGCGACAATACAAACCACTGAGATCACCTGACTTGTTCAACATTAATAGAGCCGGGGTTTCCCACAAAGTGATATTTTAAGAAGGTGTTTCCCAGATACATCATCGATGAACATCATTCGTCACCACGACATGATTAACGGGATTCAAACATAGGAATTGTCTTAATGACGACTGACCCACCCAAATACATGGTAATACGATGGGGTAACATACTGGTCCACCTTTGTAATATCGAAGACCCATATTCTGTCATTAACACAACCCCCTTTCGTTGGTGAAAATGTTTTCAAGCCAAGGATTCACTTTGAGCCCATACCGAGGTGTAAAATAATACATGTTACATGTTTTGCGCCTTCGTGTGCGAGGAAACTTATTGTATCAGCAACACTGAGTATGTCTTGCTATTTTTAGTACCAGCACACGTATATTGACGTATCTCGACGAGGGCGCTTGATATGGCAACCGGAGAGCTAGTCGACAGTTTTTCGGAACAATCATGTCATGTTTCCACAGCATTGATTTACACCTTTTTCCTATCATAAACTACCGTTGATTGCTAGATCTAAACAGCAGTGATAATGATTGTGTTTTGTATATATGTTACACGTCACTGCTTAATATACAGTCATATACATTTTCTAGTCTATTGTTGACAGTTATCGCCTGGAAACTCTTTAAGAAAGTAATATTGTTTCTTACTTTCTTATTAGTCACCAACTTCTAAATGCCAATCAAACAGATTGGACAGATGCGCCTGGTTTTTGTAACGATTACATTGTTTGAACACTCCACTCGTCTCATGGCAATAAAAACAATGCATAGGTGTTTTGCTGAAACAGAACCGTGCGTTTTTCACGGAGGCATTAATAGTTCTGTGAATGACAATGACGTCATTGCCGGTAAGGAATTGTGTCTCTTTTTTTCAGATTGTGTCGTCCCTGCGAAAACCAGGTCTTGCAGTCCCTGCTGCTGACCAAGCCACGTCAACCATTCCGGATGACATCCTTATCTACGTATGTATTTTTCCGCTGCCTTTTCCTTTCGTGGAAACATGTTAAACGCTGAATTTGCAATGTAACGTGTGTACAAAATTATCAATGATTTATATTTAGTCTCCAGCAAAACGACATTCCTTACTGAGAACGTGGTGTGTCCCATGGCTCTCACACTGAGATACAACTACAAAATACTAGTTAAGACAAAGCAAGCATTTCGGTTTCCACAAATGCATCGGACAACTTCACATGCCTGCTATCAAGCATTAGTTCTTTCATACGATTTGAAACGTGTGACACAATGAGATCTATAAATGGGGTAAAAAGATATCGGAATGTAAAGAGTGAACGAAAATATGTTTTGTGACCCAAATCATATTTTGCGATATAGGTGTATTGTTTGTTTTCGATAAAACACTAAATACTACAATTTTACTACAATGTAATCTTCACTGCACATTTTGTCCAAAACATCTGAGCACTGAACAGAAAAAAGACCAATTCTTATACCTCTGAACACATACGACCCATTTGCTCTCTCATTAATATTGCGAAATGACTGTTATCATATGTGGTCATTTACCCTCAAGTGTAGATAGATTGAGAGCATCCGAACTTATTCACTTGAAATACTTCCGGGAATAAGTAGAACCTTTTGGATCCAGGAATTCCCCGTGACCGATGTTTTTTCGAGTTTCAGATACTTTTACACTAATAAAGAACATCAAAATGATCAGAATTATCGAGGAAATACAAACATATTTTTATGAACGCGACATGTGCAATGTGTATGTATGAGTATGTGGTACAAATGTACGTGCACATCTGCAATCCTACCAAGGATTAAAATACGTTGTTGATTTGATCACGCTTTGTGATTATGTAATTTCCCACTGTCACTGACAACGCACGTGTATAAAATGCTTATGAAGATATAACATGTGCCCCAAATTGTGACAGGTTCGGATGTAACCAGAGAGATTGCTGTTGTGCCACATTTAGATGCAGACAGTAGAGCTCTATTGATATACAAGATACAGAAAGAGCGATCTGCTGATATGCCAAACGCTAAAAGTATGCTCTGTTGATATGCCAGACACTGAAACTATGCTCTGTTGATATGCCAGATACTGGAAGAATGCCCCGTTGATATGCCAGACACTGGAAGAATGCTCTGTTGATATGCCAGACACTGAAACAATGCTCTGTTGATATTCCAGACACTGGAAGGATGCTCTGTGGACATGCCAGACAAAACATATGCTCTGTTGATATGCCAGTCACAGAACAAATGCTCTGTTGATATGCCAGACACAGTGAGTATGGGTTTGTGTATATGCCAGTTACAACGTACTCTGTTGATAAGCCAGAACACAGAAAGTATGCTCTGTTAATATGCTAGACACAGGAGATTTGCTCCGTGGACATGCCAGTATGCTCTGTTGATATGCCAGACATAGAAGGTATGCTCTGTTGATATGACAGTCACCGAAGACATATGTTAATATGCCAGATACTGCGTGTTCTGTTGGTATGCACGACACAGGAATTATGCTCTGATGATGTACCAGACACAGTTTGAACTGTGTGTATACCAGACACAAAAGGTATGCTCAGTTGATATGTCAGACAGAAAGTATGCTCTGTCGATATGCCATACATAGCGTGCACTGTCGTTATTCCGTTGAAGTTGATATGTGATCCTTAGATGATGGTCATTTACTCTTGCACACATATTTTGTGGCTTTGGCAAATAAAACTATCAGAAAATGCACCCGAAGCTTTTGTTTTTCTTATGTCAATCTTCTTGAACGGAAGGATGGATAAACCGGTTGTAACATAACATGATAGCACATGACGAGACCAGTTAGAATTGGTCTTCTGTGACAGACGGCATCGGATGATCTGGCTCGCTGACTTGGCTGTTGCATGTCGTGGTATATATACTTTGTCTGACTGTCTGGTTTTACACCACTTTTAGCAATATTCCAGCAATATTACGATGGGGAACACCAGAAATGGGTTTCACACATTGTACCCGTGTGGGAAATCGAACCCGGGTTTACGGCGTGACGAGCGAGCGCTTTAAGGGCTAGGCTACCCCACCGTCCCAAGCTTATATACAAACTGCGCATTACGATGCTCATGGTGTCAATCACTGGGCTGAAAGGTCAAGAGTAGATTATGAACAGACAGTCGTCATACTGGTGTCATATTGCTGAGTGTGGCGTTAAACAACAAACATCCAAAGAAACACAATGGAACAAGCATACTATTGGCCAGTACATTCAAGCAGTTGTATGTGTATAATATGTATATTTCATCTTTTCAAGTATGTATGAACGATGCCACCTTTAACTTGTTCCACATATATCATGGCGTGTCAGCTAACGGTTTGAGCAATGACATGTGATGTAGGTCTTAGACGTTTACCACTCGGGCAAAAATCACTACTACAGGTTTGATACAGACAAAACTAGAAACATAACTGCGGCGATCCGGGAATCGAACCCGCGGTCAGGGGTGTCTGGCCTGCTCAAGGGACGCAACTCTCCACAGCGAATCTCAGACGGCTGTGTCAATCGTTCCCACTGTAGTGAAAAATGACACATCAAATGTCTCGGTATTTCTGTTCGTGAAACCAATAGGATTTACTTCTGCGCCAGGAAAGTGATACGGCATGTCAACGCCATTTAACATTTTAATTCATACATGTATATACATGTGAACACCATTTTACATTTTAATTTATACATGTATATACATGTCAACACCATTTAACATTTAACATAATTTATGCATGTATACACATGTCAACACAATTTAACATTTTAATTCATAAATGTATATACATGTCAACACCATTTCACATTTTAATTCATACATGTATATACATGTATACTACCATTCAGTGTGTAGAATTGTTTTGCAATTATAACAACAATGTGAATTAAAAAGCGTTGTCATTTAACTGATTGTCTTCTATCACTTCAGTATCGAATCCTAGAGTGTAACTTGTGAAGTTGCCGCCCTTTCTAAAACATCGATATATGTCGCGTTATTCATTGTGACATATTTTCGTTATTTTAACAATTCTCAAGCCCTTCTCTCGTCGAGTCTAAAACTTATTGGACCAGATTTAAGAATAGAAATGGAAAGAGGTTGCTTCTCGCTGTAAAAACACGTTTGTTTGTGGAGGTTGGGCACTGTTAATAACGATATCTGAAATAATTCCTACGGCTACGATGGCATATTTTGTCATCTTAATTTTGACAAAAAGCAAGATTCGAATGTTATTTATGCTCTATGACATGAGGACTCTCAGTTACAGTGTCAGTTATTAACAGTTAGTACGTTTCTGTCGAGACGCCATATCGGCTTTACAGGCACGGGCAGTTCCCTGGATGTGTTTTCTGCAGATTGGACAACGCTCCAGAGCTGGGGCACACAAGGCACAGGCAACCAGGTGTCCACAGGGGAGGAAGACGATGTTGGCGGGGTCCTCCAGACAGATCTTACACAATCTGGACTCTCTTCTGCCATGGATTTCTTCGTCGCGTTTCGTAGTTGCTCTTTGAGGTTGCATCTGTTATAAGGTAAAAATGCATCCCCCAAACCGTGAGAGAATTACATCAGATTCGTATTTAGATTTGCAGTTTTGCTCATGAGTCATAACGGTTAGGCACGGTATGGAGACGGAAAGTTTCCATAGAATGGCGTTTAGCCGTAGGCTATGGAAAGAGAGACAGAACACATTCTGTTGAAAGACATAACAGATTAATCTTACATTGAAACAAACAACAAAGGGATGAGTAACCGAACGATTCTTACCGGTACTTTTCCAATCGTAATATTCATGAGTGCAAGGTCGGATACAGGCTAACCGAATCAAAATGATTAGTTCAAACATGTGATCAAGATCAGGCCAGGCTCGAACCATATAAAAAGACAGGTTGGGCACTGAGCGAGTGGTGCGCGCTTTTTAGTGACGGAAGCCAGTTCACGCCACTCAGTTGCCCCGTGTGGTACGAACCTGCCTTGTCTGATGTTGAAGTTGTAGTTAGAGAGATGGACTGAGACTGAGTAAAAACTATGTGAGTGTAAACTTGGGGTTGCGTTTATCTTTGAATGTATGTGTGCCAGTACATGAATGTTATGTGGTTAATTAGGAGTCACGGTCGTCAGAACCCTCACTCCTTGACTTAGCGTCCTGCAACGGACCAAGCGAGTGGAGCGCCAGAGCTACCATCTCCCCGAACAATGTGAAACGACCATAATTAATAGGTAACGGTGGTAGGGTTTACTAACACCCAAACGCCAGTTACGACATGGTGGAGTCTGCGGGTTCTTCTTGAACAAAATGTTTAAGACGATCCATTTCGCTGTTTTCCTTATGGTCGTTCCTACCCTTTTGTTCCCTTGCATTGACGTTTGACGGTAGGTTCCCTTTTCGCGGCTGGGATATGTTATCTGCAGTTTTCCCTCAGGATATTTTGAATTTTTGTAATGCCTCGTGGAAATGATTCAGATTCATCTACGTCCTATGACAGTCTGGTCCAATCTCGTCCCATCACTTCTAACATTTTTACTAATCCAACCCGACTTGGCATAATACAACAACCCACGTCAACGTCTCAACCTCCATCTGCTCCCAATGACCTCTCCCTATCTCTTTCTCAGGAGGATTTAGAATTCTCATTTTCCTCTTTAGATTTGTCATCTACCAATAGTTCTTATTCTGCACCTGACTTCAATATGGGCGATTCCACTTTAATGCCAGAACATTTCACAGGTAGGGACACGTTTCATTCTGCCGAGTGGCTTGACCGTTTTGCTCATTTTGATAACTTTAAAAGGTGGACTGATGCACAGAAAATTGAAGTTTTCCCACTGTTTTTAAAGGACGCGGCGTATCTATGGTACAAAGATTTGATAGAATCGGCAGAGGAAGAAATAGTCCGTTTTGATGAGATTGAGAAATTGTTCAAGGACAAGTATGTCCATCCTACTGACCGTTGGGCCCTTTTGGAAACTTTTGTCAGTCGAAAGCTATCCTCTACAGAATCTATAGATACTTATTTGGCGGACTTGACTGAGACGGCTAGCCTGTTAGGAAAAACAGATGCAGATGTAATGGACGCCTTCGTTAGGGGACTGGATGACAATACCAGGCGACATGTGTTAATGAAACAACCAAATGTGCTAAACGAGGCAGTTTCATTTGCGCGACTGGCTAGATCGGTCATTCCCCAGTCTGAAGACAGTACAAACGTTATGCTAGCAATAGATACGCTGAGATTACAGATTGTTGAACTTTCGGCAAAACTCGCTCCGGTATCGTCACAGATCAATACTTATGAGTCCCGACAGAATCAACGTCCCCAGTTCCCCAGACAATCCAGGTATACAGATCAACCGTGGCAGCCCACTCCTCAATGGACAGACCCCATTCAAGGAGACAACATGGCCCGTGGAAGGCAGTGTTACAGATGCGGTGGTGAGTACGATTTTTCTCATTCTGATTTTTGTCCCGCACGGAATATTCAGAGCCATTTTTGTCACAAGATAGGACATTTTCAACGAGTATGCAGGGCTAGGTACCAGTCAGGTTACCGAACTAGCAGATAGCAATTACAGTCAAGACCACGCAGGAAATTTTCCCATTGTGCTGAACAAACGGTTGACCATACTTATTTGAAACCACAAGCTTGTAATTCTCCTCGTTACAACCAGCCAAAATCTAACTTTTCGCAGACTACATTTGAAAGCGACAACAGGCTTAATACAATTCATGTTGTTTTGGGAGAAAAGTTAGTTCCAACAATTGTAGATTCAGGCGCTGGTTCTAGTGTTTTAAGCCTAGAAGTTTTCAATGATTCAGGCCTATGGAAAAAAATCCCTATTGAAAAGTCAGATGTGCCATCTATTCAAGGGATAAGTCAAAATATAATGCCAGTATTAGGACAAGTTGTACTTTCCATCACTATTGGTGATTTTCAAACAGAACAATGTTTTCTAGTTGTTGCAAATTTTGAGTCTCCCATGATTTTAGGATTAGATTTCTTGATAAGTCAAAAGACTGTCATGAATTTTCAATCTTATACTTTGGCTATTCAGAATGGTTCAACAGTTGTTCCAATGAGGGCGAATGGTACTTTATTACCACCTGTTGCTGGTAAACAATCAATCCCCACGGAGTCAGAACACATTCCTGCTTGCTCGCGGCAAAATGTCACAATTGCTCCCCCATCAAAAAAGGAACACTGCCTAGGTTTTACAGTTCAGTATCGACCGGGCAAACACTGGCATCCCACAGAGATTCTGTCAAGCTTTCCGTATTCAGAATGTTCACCGAATTCAGACAGTGGTCTTCCCCAGTCGGATAACAACAACCAAATATCGATTCCAATCACAACAGATTTGTCATCAGATTTGTATGATGACAGCTCACTTAGAGTAACCGCTGTCCCGACAGGAGATTACTCCACATCACACAGACAATATGACGCGTCCAATCAATTGCCACCGTGTACGTGCAAACGACCACGTTATGACAATCGTAAACGACTGAAAGTTCCTGGTCATGCTAAACGGCTTAGGCGGTTTGTCAACCACAGACACAGGCCAACTAACCCATTTCCAGTTGTCGGTCATTACAATCAAATTAATAAATTGCATAAATCTGGTACGGATACAGACATCATAACCCCCATTTCCAAGCCGTTAACATCGGACAGGCATAAAAAGTCACCTTGGATATACAGGAATACTTTGTATAGCAAAATGGATGCGAGCGTAGAATACTCAGTGGAAAGAAATACTACAGGATTTACTAGGAGAACTGCACTTTACATGAGGTAACTGCACTTTACATGTGGTTACAGATAATCACGAATCCAAAATCCCTGAAGGAGACCTATGATTATATGATACTGCAGTCGTTAAATGAGAAACGAAAGCGTTAGAATTTTTAACAAAATATTTGAAATATTGTTTCTGACAAATTGTTATAAAGCGTTACCTTTTTAGTTACGACACTGCAAATATCATGCTGAGGACTGATCACCCACAAATTGATTTTTGCATGTGTTTTATTTCAGGATTATCACTATATGATGCTATACGCATGGTGCTAGCCCACGCTATAGATCATCCTTTACGATGTTACATGATGCAATTGTCACCAGGTTACAAGGAAATAGAAGTGTGCATATATGTTGAACTGTGTATTGTTTCTTGTCAAATGTCTTGTTGAATATATTCAGAATACTTCAACTGCATACAGTCACGTGTTGGTTGATATTGAAAAATATATTCATATTCACGGGTTAGTGACCAAACGCTGCAAAGGTTTGGGTCACATTTCGTATTACTACTTGAAGAATACATTCCCGGGTTACTGACCAAAATGTTTGGGTCAGGTTATGCATATTCATACTACTTCTACGGGAAGGTTACAGGTCGCGCTGTCCAAAAGGGACGTTGTACATATTCGCGGACCATTACAAAGCGTTTCGCTATGCGTGTATATACGAGAAAAAGAAATGAACTACGATCCAAAGAGATCTGACGATGATGATACGATATATATACAAATACAATGGTATTCAATGAAATACGATGACGAACAATGAATTACAGTTACATGACTCGAAAGGAAGTCAAGAGAATTCAGTGTTCAATGGTTATACCGTACCAATACATATATGTTCCGTGGTGAGAAATCTTCTGATGAAACAGGTTGATGAGAATTTACTACTATTGTTGAATGTTGTTTATTCGCACGAATACTAGTGTGAAACTACCATTACCTGCATGTGACAATTGTTATCATATGTTTAATACAGTCAGTTTCAATTGACAGGAGAAGACGTCATATGAATGCAGTTTTACAGTGATGGAAACTTTTCCTAAGAATATTGATGACGTATATGATTTCATTTCAAGTTTCTATTTTATGTTCATAATCCCGTTCTTTGAATTTTAGAATCCAGGAGTCTCCTTCGACCAGTTTGGGTCTTGTTCACGCTGATGGCGCTTGTCATCATCCAGAATCAAGTTAATTCTGTCCATACAGAATTACGACTTCCATGGGGAGTTGTATTTATCCATACGTCACGTATCGACATTTCACAAAATAAATGGATCCATGTATTCAAGTATAAATTGCCAGATTTGTCTGAAATGGGTAATAGACCAGATTACCAACAGTTTTGTAAAACGCACGCGTTACATTGTTATTCTGTGAATGCTATAGATGGATATATAAAGAAAGCGGAACAAGAATTGCTCGTGTATTGGACGAATGTCAGTAAGGACATTAAAATATTAATTCCGCATGTTAACACTTTTCAAAAGGATTCACGCACGAGACGGGCAATCCTTCCATTTATCGGATCCATTAGTCGTTCAATTTTTGGTACTGCTACAGTCGAAGATGTAGAACGGCTGGCGCAGTATGTCAAACGATTATCAATGCATGTAACTAATACTTCTCGCGTTGTACAAGTGCAAGTTCGTCAGATGTCGTCATTTATAGCTAAAACCAATGACCGTATTTCTTCCTCTCTAACAGGTATTGAAACGAATCATAGGGACATTTCTCAGGTCGCCGAACAGGTACAAGACGTAGAAAAAAGTATTTTCATTTCTATGAAAATTTTGCTAGATCGTCTGACATTTTTGACGACTATTCGACAGGAAATTGATGAAATGTATCTTGGAATACAGCAATTAGTTAACCAACGTTTGAGTCCATCTTTGCTCCCAGTTACGGAAGTAAAGAAGGCCCTAAATATGATTCAAAAACGTCTAAACGCAGAATATCCGTTGTTTCACGTTGCTCACAAGGATCCAGGCTATTATTATCGGGAACGCACTGTTCATTGTTCTAGAACTGGAGATTCAATTTTAATTTCACTCATTGTTCCTTTCCAGACTCATTCAACTCTCCTCGAGGTATATCGAATCAATTCATTTGGCCTACCAATTAATCAATCAAGTTCACACGTCACTCAGGTTATGAATTTACCTGATTATTTGGCAGTTTCGGAAGCGAAAGATCAGTATATTGAATTTTCTACCAGGGATTTTCAAACATGTTTTGGTGAACACAAAAAACATTGCCCAATTTTTCTTAGCGCCAAACCAAACACTGGTTCTCACCTGCGCACTTGCTCTGCTTGATCAGGACGCACCAGGAATTAAATCCTTGTGTGATGTTAAATTTAGATTAAAAGGGCTTCGTTCGATGGCTCTCGAAATCGAACCAGGCCTTGTTTTGCTCAGTGGCATAAAAACTATTATATTAACTTGCAAGGGTCGCATTGAGAAGCGTCCAGCTTGTCAGATTTGTATATTTAAAATTCCTTGCCACTGTGCGTTGAAACTGGATGAATTCGACATAGACATGAGAATTCATCACTGTGAAAAAAAGTCAACAACTTCAAAATTGTATCCACCCAATCTTCTACTCTTATCGGAATTTTTCAATTCATCCGTACTGAAACCTTACGAAACTTTACGGCTTCTTTTAGAAGATTCTGCGTTCAAAATTCCACATTTATTAATCGATTATAAAGTTTTCGATGACATTCGGAAAAAGGAAAATAAATTTCAAGTTGATTTACGCCTTATTTCCAAGCGTATGAAAAAGGCACAAGTGATTTCGGATAATTTAATTGAAGATAATTGGATGAATTCCCTTCCATCGTCTGCTTTGGATGGGTCCTTAACCAAGCCCTAACATTTAACGGCTAGTTTTGCCGCAGGTTTGTCCTTATTTCTATTTATACTGGTTATGTATTTATGGTTAAAAGTTAGACGCCTATTTTTTGCTTTAACGTTACTTACAGCAGGTTCCCCGACTAATGGTTTGATAGATTGGAAAGCATACCACACAACCACCCCTCCGAACTATCCCCAGCCATCTTTTATGTCTTTGATTAAATCAACTATTTCAATGGATGTTTTCCTCATCATATCGACAGTATTTCTGGTGTTTATTTTACTTCTTCGCAGAGTAAAAAAGTTCAATCGACCGGTTACGACCTTAGTTTTACATTTGACGAATTCTTGTCATGAGATTGTTCTGCCACAATTTTATCTCTGAACCCGTGACCTCACGTTGTCAGCTGCAAATTTTTGACTAACTTTCGTATTCAACGAGTTTTCTTTACATATTATTTACTGTTCGATAGCCCCAATTTTGGTAATTCAAACCCCATCTATATATATATATATATATGTCTGGAAAAACGTTTCAATTCAAACAATTCCTTCCAACTATAGCAAGTGTTTTTATGGTTTTATAACATTATGGCATTACAACCGTCCCCTTAAATCAGACGGCAGACCCCGGTTATCCTATTAGCAATAGAAAGCTTTTGTTCTCCGCCAAATGCCAGATATAACGGTCGCAGCAAAGTGTATTTATGTCGATGACGAATTCAACCGTTATCTTATGGTGGACTGTCACCGTGGAAACGCATTGTGCAGAGGACGAAATCAGCACGTAATCTTGATAATGGAGTTCAACAAACTTTTAACGACCAGTCATTTTTCAGTGTTAGAACACTTGTCATTTGGGTACATTGACCATTTGAGTCTACACAATGGTTAAGAATTGGAAAAGCGATAGTTTTCGATAAATACTCCATGTTTTAAAGTTATAGTAATATTTTGTTAAATGTTTTAACAGTAGAGATCATCGTGCTCTTAACCCCTATATAATTACAAAGTCACAAAGAGAATGTTCAGTCATATATTAATACTCATTCTTACGACAATATTGTATAACTTTTCTATAGAGACAATACCTGTATTAGGAATTGATGTCTCATACATTACGGATAGATGGAAGTTATTTATATTACATAATTCTACTGTGGATTCTCTTCAATGTTACTTGTTAGGAAATATTCTTATCCGTGTTTCAATGTATACTTTCAGTCCATCCCTTATTTATCGGTGTTGTTCGTTCTTGTTGTTTTAAACTGCAAAGCATTTACTGAATGTTGTGAGTAACTTGCACCTATTTAACCTATTACAGGTATTACAGATGTCGTCCATGGTTAAAATAACATTTGATTACTATTTATTGATGCCATGCTACATAGGTATCAGAGAATATTCATGCAACATTATGGACTCAAATTGTTATTCGGCACGCAGTCGGCAGTCAAGAATGCTGTAATTGTCTACTGTGACCTGTACACAGGTTGCCATTTATTTGAGCGTGTCATGTTTTAACATGTATTGCTGTCGTATCTAATGTATATTATAATACTAATTATATTCGCCGTGGTTTAACACTTGTTTCAAGTGTTGTAGATTAATGGCCGGACCCCATTCAGACGGGAGAACAGATAAGCTCCTCCCTCGCTGTCGTCTGGTCCACGCCACATCGATTATCTGGCTCCACACTTGCTGTTACCGGCGAACGCTATCGCAAGTTCCAGGTTGCGACGCTGAACACCGCCCACGAAGGCGCAGTATTGACGATAGACACTGCAAGACCTCTACGATGCCCCCCTACAAGTTGCGAAAGCAACAGGGTACATCATCAGTGAAACTACAGAGCTCACTCACGCAGTGTGCAGAACATTTCGTCTCCTCACTTTGAAGACCAAGCCAATTAACTATGCTGTGTGATACACGGCCCTGTGTTCAGACATTAATTTTGTTGTGGCCTCGCACAGAGTAAACAGCGTTCAGTGTATATCAAGTGACATTCAGAACATGACTTTTCCAGTAGACGTTTGCCAGTTTATTCGATGGGACCAGAGACTTATGAACTTTTGTGAATGGTGGTGCCATTGTTTGGCCATATTGAAGACATTTTCACATTTAATATTGACTTTAATTCATTGTTGTGTTTTCATCTCATAATATATATGATGTATATGCTTTGTGGTTACCCGAAGTAACATAGGATCATTCTCTTATTCCTTGGCATGCTCGTTTTTAAGGTACAGTATCCTCGACTTTTTCCGAATATTCCGAAAGTTTGAAATGGGTTATCATTTCCTCTCAGAAATTACCGATCCTGTTTTGCTTCGACGGTGTTCAATGTGTTTAACTTTAACATATCGGACCTGTGCTCATGTTTAATGTATCCGAGCTGTGGGCAGCTCTTGTCCACAGGCGGAGGATGTTATAAGGTAAAAATGCATCCCCAAAACCGTGAGAGAATTACATCAGATTTGTATTTAGATTTGCAGTTTTGCTCAAAAAACTATGTGAGTATAAACTTGGTGTTGCGTTTATCTTTGAATGTATGTGTGCCAGTACATGAATGTTATGTGGTTAATTAGGAGTCACGGTCGTCAGAACCCTCACTCCTTGACTTAGCGTCCTGCAACGGACCAAGCGAGTGGAGCGCCAGAGCTACCATCTCCCCGAACAATGTGGAACGACCATAATTAATAGGTAACGGTGGTAGGGTTTACTAACACCCAAACGCCAGTTACGACACATCTCGTTGGAACTTGAACCGGTAACCTACAGATACATTTTGAGGAGTTTGTAAAAGTAGTATTCAACAAACATTTACTGTTTAATAACATATACAGCTTTATGAAAAAGATTTCTTTGGGTTGCATGAACATGAATGAATGTTGGTATTACCTGTGGTGTAGTATCTGCAGGAGATCTTTCTGCCAAAAAACGGCAGTTTGGGCTAAAGCGAGTATGTTCCCGCCACGGATCGTCTTCTTCATCCAATTTCCTCAGCCTAACTCCACAGCAAAAGCATCGGACCTTGTCCAGGAAACCTGCGGGGAGGTATGTCAATGTGCCAAGATATTAAGAACAAATATGAATGAGCATTACAACATTGTAGAATGTTATCATGGTTAATTCATCATGTTTTGGGACAATGGGGACACCGTTTAAGACAATATAAGTTGCATCTTAGAGTTGTATGCGTTTCTGATTGGTAATTATATTTAATGTCATGCCTTGTTTCTGAAGATCATTAATATGATTATCCTATCTCTTCTACGATTCACAGCTCTTCGACAAAGTTAAACTTTTCACTACAGTTAAACCAATAAAGAATAAGTAATACAGTAATAATGTAGAAGTGAGAAGACTAAACACTATAATGGCATTTGGACGATAGATGTCATCACATTTTGATATTGAAAAGTTTCTGAAAATGTCACACGAAAATGCCTAAGATCTGTGTAACTTTCATAGTTTCTCCCATAGCAACACGATGCATCCTCATGAAACCCCAATACCTTTCAAGGTGACATTAATTCCGATCGAGCAACTTTTTATACAGATACTAAAAAAATCACTGTACATGTAGTATTGTTAGACTTTCTTTGCGCATCCTTAGAACTTAGCATTCTACAAAACAAGTTTTCCTATTGAAAATGTACACTATTGTGGCTTGGTATTTTGAACAGTGAAAGACATTAAACACGTGTTTAACAGTACCTGTATAGTAAAAACCAGCAATAGCAAGTTGCTGCGGTGTCGGAGTCCTCTCGCTCGGCCAGCCTTGGAACGACGACAGTCTATCAGTTTCAAGGTGGTAATCAGGTGCGTAGTAATTCGTTCCAGTCTCTGGTTTAGAAGCTGACGACATTATAGATGTAGGACGGTGATCTGGAGGTATTATGGATGTCGGAGGGATCTCTGGCGACGGATCACGAAGAGTGAAATCCGAGGACGGGTGTCTTGAACTTTGATCCGAGGACGGGTGTCTTGAACTTTGATGACTCATTGGATAGATGCGAACACATCCCCGGATACGGATGCTGCAAACTGGGCAACGTTGTATAACTTGTTTGCACATGACACAAACTACCAGATGCCCACATGGGAGGAATACTATGTTGGCAGGGTGATCCAGACATAGTATGCACCGATTCCACTGTCTGTTATCCTGGGATTCATTTTTGCGCTTCATAGCTGCTCTTTGAGGATGAATCTCGCTGGAACCTGATCCAGTAACCTAAACATAGATTTTGATATTATTGGAAAGAAAATAATTCAACAAATATTCGATATTTATACAACATATCTAGCTTTGTAAAAGAGGTGTTCGGGTTTCAGTAATTCCTTAACATGCATCTCAGTATTACCTGTGGTGTAGTATCTGTAGGACATCTTTCTGTCAAAAAACGGCAGTTTGGGCTATAGCGAGCATGCTCCCTCCACGGGTCGTCTTCTTCATCCCATTCCCTCAGCCTAACTCCACAGCAGAAGCATCGGACCTTGTCAAGGAAACCTGTAATGTGCCAAGATACTCGTAAGAAATATGAATGAGCATTACTACATTGTAGAAGGTTCCGATGGTTAACCCATTTATGCATATCCGTCGTGGGACGGGTACTTCAAAAAAGCATTCCTCTCCTATGATGAAGATAGAAACTTTCAGTATAGACGTGAATGAAGCTGAGTAAATTGTTAGTAGTTAAACCATTCATATTACTTGTAGATTTTAAGTTCTTTAAGCATGGCCTCTTCCAGTGGCAAGGCAGGTCCCTGCCAATTCGGCGAAGTGTGCTATTTTAACTATGTAAGTTCATTAAAATGCGTCTAAAACTTTCGTTGTTCAAATAGAAAAATAAAATGAAAATGGTTTGCATTTTTTTCCATACTCTATTTTCCGCCAAAGTACCGTGCAGACAAGTGAACTTAAATTAGGTAATACATTAGGCTTAGGTGGTGGGAGATCAGCCTCTTAAATCTCAAAATTGACTCTTTTTATTTGAAAGCTTTCATGGAATACAACCAAACTGGCTTTCATATGAAACATAACTCAATACTGAGAATGATACAATCTAGTGATTCATTTTATATTCTACAAGAATTGTTCAAGACATCAAGCAATTTGATTCAGCATCTCCGTAACATATGAACCCAGGACATATGAACCCATCCCTTTTAGCGTATCAACACCTCAGCATTTTTGGCAAACAGTCACCTAATTGGCAAAAACGTCATTGGTATGCATTAATCCATGTTCTCAGATTAATCTACATTATCTGCTGCAAACTGAATGAACTGACCCCGTGTACACCAATTTTCGGATGCTTTGCACTTAACTCCTTCTTCTGTAACTAAAGATTGTAATAATGAACAAGATGTTATTTATCATATCTGCTGGTTTGAACTATAGCGTTGGCGACCCTGAACACCAAGGGCTTGACAGAGATACCCTTGGTCTCATAGTCTGTATATTTGAATTAATTTTGAATATCATGCTTGGTGACAATTCCAAGCAAAACGTAACAGTAACAGAAGATATTCTGAGTAAAAGAAGTCCAATAATTTGAAGGGTTGTGTTCAGACTAACTTGAATATTTGAGACTTGGTTGGGTGAGGTGATTTGATTCAACGGTGCTTGCAATAGATTTTCACTTACCGGTACATTGAATTGTACATGGTTTCATGACAGTTACCCCCAACGACATGTAATACCATGGAATATATATATATAGTCATCCCTCAGTCAGTCAGAGGTCTTTTCGTTTCCTGAGCAAATGTTAAAGATGACTGATAAACAAGCATGCACCACCAACAATTTAAGTATTTGAAATGTTTAAAGTATTTGTCCATTAGTTATTTCAGTTTCAAAAATAACCAATATTTAAAAAAAGTTTACTAGCAGTAAAAAGGAGAATACTGGTTTGTGCTTTCAAAACCTTTCTAGAGCTTTGATCAGCACCCATGAAGATCCAGTTTAGTATCGACCTTCAGTAACCCATGCTTGTCGTAAGAGGCGACTAATGGGATCGGGTGGTCAGGCTGGCTGACTTGGTTGACACGTATCATCGTATCCCATTTGCGTAGATCGATGCTCATGCTGTTGATCACTGGATTGTCTGGTCCGTACTTGAATATTTACAGACCGCCGCCATAGCTGGCATATTCCAGTTTTAAGAAAAATATGTGTTATATGTCTAATGTATGTGAATCAGTTTCAAGTTTTTCACGAAGATTTCAGTCCGTTTTTAAATGTTGCTGAGATTTCAAGTCAGATATAAAAAATACCAGTTATGCTATAAATATTTACAAGGGTTACCGGTTACTCCATTCTGCTCACAGGGGTAGCCTAGTGGTCATGCCGAAGACCCGGGTTCGATTCCCCATATGGGCACATTGTGTGAAGCCCATTTCTATTGTCCCCCGTCGTGATACTGCTGGAATATTGCTAAAAGCGGCGTAAAAACATACTCACTCACTCTGCTCACATAATAATATGTAGTTGCCAGTTAAAGTTAAAAGAGAACAAACGTATCCTTCAATCACCTTTTGAAATTGTTTTAAAATTCATAGCATAGAAAATATAAATGGTATCATATTTCCTAATCTATCATTCTGGCATATGTTTTTTCAAGTTCTGTTAAATCTTGATACAGAATGTCCCAGTTATCACCAAGATTCGTAGTGTTACACGACCGCAGTGAATATAGTTCTGTGGGCTAGTTATGGGAGCAGAATCACCTCAGTCCTCCTCCTAATTGTAGCTTTTAGCTGTCTTTTTAACCCTTTATCTATTTGGCTAACTATAACCTCATCTAGCTTTATGAAAGATATAACCTTTCCTTTCCATTCTTCTACATCTATAGTAAACAAAGGGGCGATAACTCTCATTTACTTGTTTCCAGTGTGCTGGAGTGTCCAAAATCTAAGTCAAACCTCATGTCATAATTGTTTTCCAGTTTTAATTTATATTATTTACTATTTTGTACACTTCAGTGGTATGGTTTGCAAGATTTTATACCATTTTCTGGACTTATGTTCAGATACTACTGTAAACGATATAAACACAAAACCATTTATGTACCAATTTTTGGGAGGTTCACTGATTTTTTAGACTAATTCTACTGGACTATTATCTGCATATTGTCCCATTTATGAGACGCACTTTTGCAGTGTAACAAAGTATGGAAAAATGTATTTACTGGTAAAATGACACTTCATTCCTTTCATTGCTTGCCAAAAGAAACCATGGCCAGCTCACAAATTTTGATGAAAATCTAAGACCCTATGCATAAATGGGTTAATTCCCATCTTTGCTGTTATGACTTGGAAGAGGAAAGGAATAATCCAGTTATCTTAACTTTGTTTCTGGTTAAATTACACAGTGGTGACTGCATGTTTAGTAAAATTCATTATTATTATTTATTATTATTAATGAAAAATCACATTTATCTCAGGTTGATGTTTAATACAATTTAAGAAGAAATGTAAAGTGAGATGGTAAAATTACAGATTCAGAAGATGGTATAAGATTTCAGAGGTTTAACTCTCAGAACAATCAAAATATGAAGTAGAATTAGAGCGGATTATACAACAAGCAGTTAGAGACATTCAAATGGAACACAAAATTTAGTTGTTGTGAGAAGGACTAAGTTCTCGCTGCTAGAAATGAAACAACACAAGTAAGCAGTATACACGTATTACGCAAATACAGGGACAAGAAATCGATGGTTTCAAAACAATCTTCAATAGAAGAATGAAGTTATTTGAGAAGTTACATTCATTAAGTGCACTGATGAGGAAAATTCGGAACTATTGAAGGAAGTTCCCTTTCACAAGTTAAATAAAAAAGGACTAAGAGATAAATTTTCAGCTAGATGGGTGTGTGAATTTAGTTTTACGCCGATTTAACAATATTTCAGAAATATCACGGCGGGGGACACCAGAAATGGTCTTCACACAGTGTACCCTTGTGGGGAATCGAACCCGAGTCTACAATGTGACGAGCGAACGCTTTAACCACTAGGCTTCCCCACCTCCCCATTCCGGTAGATGAGGTATATTGTAAACCTTAAATTACATTGCACGTACAGGACTATTTCGATGTTAAGTAAAGTTGTATTCATGTGGAAAGAAATAAGACGTTATGGAAAGTTCCAAATTACAATTCATTCAAAATTTGCAGACGTTTATTGCACAGCTGTTATAATTTACCACTGTATATATCACATTATCATCAAGCATTTTTCTGTAGTTTGTCATTATAAACAATCTGAGGCATGAAACACTTTTTGAAAAATACCTGTATAGTAAAAACCAGCTGCAGCAAGTTGACGCGGAGTCGGTCCCCTCTCCCTTGGCCACCCTCTGAACGATGCGAGTCTATCAGATCCTTGGTTGTAATCGGGTGTGTGGTAATCAGTTCCGGGAACTGAGGAAATTAGAGACCCTGGACGAGGAGGTAGGTATGGTGAATGGATCTCTGGTTGTGGATCATGGAGATCGTAATCCGATGTTGGGTACCACAGGCGTGACGAAGTAATGTCAGTACTTAAAGGTAGTGGGTCTTCGGTAAAGGGCACATTTCCTCGATGTAAACCATGGCTATGTCGACAGTTATGCTTATGAATAACATTGTCAGGCCTTTCTCCCTGTCTCCAGTTCTTGTACCTCACGCCACAGCTGAAGCATCTAGTCTCATCACCATCTCCTGTTGCGTAGAACCCAGCCTTTGCAAGCTCGATCCGGGATACAGCTATGTCCACACCAAGGAATGACTTCAGTCTCCGGGCTTCAAAACCATGACGTACTCCAGCGGTACTCCATTCCGAGTCATGAGAGCTTCAAAATTACCTCTCAAAGAAATGGTCGGGTACACCCAAATATGGGCATAACGAAACACAAAATCCTTTTGCTGGACTGCATTTTCCAGCAATACATCATAAGAATATGATAGTAGATGAAAGTAGATGTACAACTTGTCGCTGTACACCAATAAGACGACACTTTGATGTTTTCTCATGGCTGTGAGATCTAGTATAATGCGTAAATCCGATTGGTGGGTTTATTCCATGCCTTCTGGAACACAAACCACAAATAATTGATAACGAAATACAGGACGAGCACAACCATTACCACAAATACAAGGTGTTCAAGGATGTTAAATCTACTGGTTCCTACTATCCGAATGTAACATATGTCGTATTTGGCATTACACCGTCCCAGTAAAGTACATATTTTACAACTTGTCCCACCCGGAATTCGAACGCAAAGTCAGAGTCAGGCACTTAATCACAAGCAGACAGCCACCGCTGCTTTTACACAAATGGTGTAGTGGTTAGAGCGTCCGCCCGGAGAGCGAAAGGTCGCGGGTTCGATACCCGACCGCGTCATACCAAAAGACGTTAAAACATGGTACTTGTTGGTCCCTGCCTGGCGCTCGGCATTATTGGGTACAGCAAGGACTGGTCGGCTCGGAGTCAGTATACTGTGTCTGAGTGGGGTATTCATGCTTCACTGCGGCATGGTATTTCAGTGAGCTAGCACTATAAAACCAGCTTAAGTCTGGGCTAGTACAAGCAGCCGCACATACACATACACACGCATGCACGTCGTCATATGAGCGAAATATTCTCAAGCACGACGTTAAACCCAATTTCACCTCACCTTTACACAAATGGAAGTCGGACAGCTAGTGGTCTACATCACGTATCTTGTGTACCCCTCTGACAAGTGTTAATGTAGGATGATAACTGAAGCAGGCCTAGGTCTATGAGTCACACATGTCTGCACAGCAATGGACATACCTACCTATTGACACGCTGGACCTATAAATAGACAACTACTGTTACCCTCTCGATCATGACTAGAAATCAATGTAAAGGACAGAGACTGCCATGCGCGTTCAAGTGATTACCTCAATCAATATTTGTTCCACAAACATTTCTTATCCACCTCTAGTAAATATCCACCAGTACACAAGTTATCATAGATTTGTTCAGTGCCTGTACCTCATAGCCTCGCCTCGAGATAGCCCTCAACAATGACGCTCAGTTTCCTTACCTGTTTCTGATTGGATGATGAGTTCACGCGACACACGTTTCGTGCACTATTTTTAGCTGGGTATTTCAAAGAATAAGTAAACAGGAAGGAGTCACTGTTGCTGATAATATGGACTACAACAGCTAATCATGTACCGCTAACGTCTCATTCGGTTTAATAATGCCATTGATATCCTGGTAATACAAGCACAATGTGACATGAATCAGGAGATAAAGATGGCTGCCCTTAACGCACATTTTACTAGATACAGTTGCAGCGAACTCATCCCCATTGAGATAAACGCACGAAGAAATCATCAGCGTCAGTACAGGGTCCGTCTACACGACATGTGTCGTCATTTAAAATACGAAGGGGTGGTATTTGTCTGGGCCTAAAACATTTGAACAGGTTTCACTGAATAAGACAAACCGCGTTCAACATGTGTAAGATAGATATGGAATGAAGTTGACAAATGGTATCATGTTTAAGAATTACCTGGATCAAAACCAAGCGGTCGTCTCAGTTTCCACCGATATATTTTAGGTATTGCAGAACTTCCTTTGTGACATTAAATAGCACCCAGTCACTGCGTAAGGCCTGCTGCACGCCCAGGAGACTCTTAGTGTAATTGAATAACACGTCATGCATGAACTGATCCTGGGGAAACCCGACTATAAATAGACATGAGTTGTGACTGATAATCATTAATGTACCCTTTACTCCTATCTAGAAACTAAACTTCCTGTTACTTCGGTCAGAGGAGAAACAGCGGTTCTGGATATCTGTCTCATTCGTATGGGGTAAGTTGTGTTTTAAACTATGATCGCGGTCTATGTCAGGGCAGCATATTTATTTCTGTGTTTCTCATCGCCCGACCGACCCTTTTCATTTTATTGCCGACACACTCCCCCCCCCCCCCTCCCCATTTATTTTCATTCCAACACCGCCGACTCGAACCTAAAATGTACCACCTCATCATATTAAATGTTTATCTTGTACTCAGTCGTTGCCACAAGTCCAAAGAACGCGAGAAAATGTAATAAGATCTACAATCAATGAGAACCAACAACATTCTTCAGGTAATTTTGTCTTTATTACGGTATTATCTGTTTCTTCCCTCTCCCCATAAACTGAATCGATTTGCACAGCGGGGGCGTTTACTAGTATACTGGTATTAAGAGATATATCAGAAATATTTGCTGACTTTACAATTATATGTATATGGCTGGACATAACAATAACATAATATTGTTGCGACATCATTTCCAGTGATGAAGATGTAAACGTTACAGTACATACACGTACAGACACAGGACATCGTGTTGGTTAAATTACAATCTGTAGTGACTTGACACACTATGTTGGATGTACTAGGGTTCACTGTGTGACTGCTCTCCGCTGTCAAGGTAACGATAAAGTAAACTGCTCGGTGTCAAAGCCCATTCAACAATTTCGGACAGTTTGCTGAAATCTGATATACCGATATATACATTTAGGTTATGGCAGTATGGGTATCCATATTATACACAATATAAATAATTATGTTGGTAATTCATGGAAATGTCCGAGTAGAAATGTGAAAGGAGTCAGGTTTACAACTACCCACACATTCATGGTGTCTGTAGCAAATCTGATAATTATGTCAAGTGTAATTTAGCGCTTATGATATTAATTTCCAAAATGGCCTCGGCATTGCAAACCATTTCATCATAAACTGCTACGAATATTCTTTCTAATATTCTATTTCGTACTATGTACTTTGGACGTCCAGACAATTTCTTTGACCGAAGTAACTACAAGTATATTTCATTTTCTCTAACGATTATGTATTTAAGTTCACAAACTACAGCTAACAGACAAGGCTACTTTCAGGCCCAGTCGACCATTTACTACCCATCAAAAGTTTAGACTCACTTAAAGCACTCACTAAACGGATTTTGTCCGGGTGGATTTTGTCCTGGATTCCACTAAACGTTATGTATATATGTGTGGTTACATGGAAGATGAATTTTCCCACTAACTTGGGGGAACCAACTGAATATCTTATGCAGATGAATTGCACGAAGATCATGCATCAAATTGCTGAAAAGCATGTGCAAATATCTTGCATGTGAACAGCTGCGGTTTGGTGTAAAGTTTGTTAAGAATTCTCCAATTTTCACTGAGTTTCATCATTTATTGAACTCATGACAATAATCGTTTCAACGTTACGAATTTGTTTTACAATACATCAGATCATGTGTAAATAGTATCTTTAAGCAGTATGGAATATTTTGCAAAATCTAGTTTAGAACAGTTGACTGAAGTAAGTGGCTGCACTGTTGACGGGTAGTATATACCAACAACTTTCATATATGAACCAAGGTACATCGTGAAGTTTTGATTGTTGTGCTGTCTCTTGCGTTGGACTCTTGTGTTGATAATGGGAGTAAGCTGTGTTAAAGTCAACTTCAATCAGTATTCAAGTTAAATCACAATATGATGCTAACAAACCTAGAAATATTATGGGACATACAAATGTAGACCTGCTGATCAATTAGGAGAATGTGATATTTTGCCTTTGCTAGCTTAGGTTAAGTGGTACTTATGATGCCATCCCTATTTAGGGGAACTTCATGATTTGTCAGCCGAACTGTCACAACCGTTATCGAGTATAGTTACCTGTTGCCCATAATAAAGGAACGCCCGCTTGAAGCGATACGATACTGAAATGCCAATCGGGTACAGAAAAGACAGAGACACTATCAAATGTGTATTTACGAATTATAATGTATGTTTTATTTTCTAAATTACAGTATCAACCTTTGACCACGGCTCTGAGCAGAGTTGGATGTTTCCAAGCAGAATCGGTCAACTGACTGACTAAAATGACGATCGGTTATATTCAACGGTCTCATGGTCCATGCAATGGCATGTCTGAGAACAAGACAAATGGAACATGTTCAGATTCTCAATTGCAAAAGCAATTATATAAAACAACAATATATGATTTTGAAATTGTCCAGGTCGGATCTTCACCTGTAAATACGAGGAAAAGCACTGAATATGGTGTAAGCGGTTTAAAACGCCTAAACATACCGACCAGTCAAGAACGCGAGCAAACTGGAACAACAATTCACCAAGAAAGTACAATCCACCAAGAGAGAACTGCTTATATTCATTGTCAACAAAAACGATTTGCGTTGTTAAACAACCAGCGGCCGACTGAGAAGTACATTAACAGCCATGTCATATATTACAATGCTCCGAATTCCAAATCAGGAAGTAAAATCAATGAGGTGGAGACTGACAAATACACAGTTCTAGTTTATGGTGTTGACACAGGTAATCGAAAATCATATACCACTGGTGATAAAACTCATACTAAATGGGAATCTCCAGTATGTATGGGGAGCAGAAAGGTACAAGTGCAGCAGTGTGTACAGGAAGGAAGACATCTGAAACAAGAAGCCAGTGAATTTCATAACGGAAGGTATGTTTCAAAATCAGAACGACTTCGCTTTAGTGATAATCTGATATGTTTTCATATATCTCTCTTTGTTACATCACAAAAAAGAACAGAATTCGAACATAATTATGACAGAGGCTATGAGGATCATCAGTGTGTGAATACTTGGAAAAACAAGACTAATGTGACAAAAGAAAATGAAAATGTCTATACATGTTGGAAGCAACATCCAAGTGGTTCCATGTGCGAAGAACAAATTGGCTCAAACCAACCAACATTGTTCAGTGATCTGGAACATGAACAGATCCAAGGAATGACTGATTCTCACCCCACTGCCCTCCGTCTGTCAATTCAAAAGGAACCAAACTATCACACGGAATTTGGAATCGTGTTTAGTGGGGTGTTGGCTGATACCCAACGGGCATCTATTACAAAGGAACATAGGCCAACGCCCCTTGAATGTGATATAAAAGCGACTTCACGCAGCGTCAGTGAATTGTGTGCACTCTATGATCTGACTGACGTTCATGAAACACATGAAGAATTTGGAAATACAAGTACTACCCACTCTGATACATACCTTTACCACCAAAGCAGTCCCTTTCCAACGAAAGAAACCGAGACAGCTGAGTCTAAATTGCCTTCCAAAGACATGTTTCGTCATTTTGATATAGATAGTTATATTCAGTCCTTGCCAATACCAACTGTTGCACCCTTTTTTTCTTTACAAAGCTACTTTGAAAAGATAGCTAATCACGAACATGTTTCCAATGATGATAAAATGCTACAGGAGGGTTTGAGACTTAGTTCGTTTTCGAATATTAATGTAAATGCGTCTTGCATCCGTCTAGCAGCAGCAGGGTTCTATGCTACCGGAAAAGGTGATGAGACTAAATGCTTCAGCTGTGGTGTCAGGCACTCGTGCTGGCGGAAAGGGGACAACATCTTCGTCATCCATAAACACATATCCCCAACCTGTCTTCATGCACTGGGAACTGACCAAAGGAATATACCGATTCACCCTCCTCCTATACACGATACTGCATCACGACCAGTCGTGTTGGATGATTCAGAAGGCGCTGTTGGTATGGCACTTGTCATGCACAAAACTCTAGACGTAATAACCCAAACCGATGGCCCTCAACCAACCATGCAGGTAAATTCAACAAATGGCGCTCTTTTCGAATCAGCAATACGAAATGTTTTGGAAAATTCTAACCGACATCTCGATACTTCCAACAAATGCAAACCATCAGGTGAATCTGTGAAAGATGACCACACGAGAGCATTTGCGTCTGTTTCTGATGAAGGTGTTCACAGTCCACCATTCCAAACAAGTCCTGAATCTGTCAGTGAAGATGGCAATAATACACCGGATCTGCCTGTGTCGAGTGGAGCAACAGTAATAAGATCATTTGAAAGGATGGAGCCTATTGTTCAATCGGATTCAGCAACCAGGTCACACAATAACTTAGAAATGAATTCGCTACGGTTTGACAACGCTGTCTATCCAAACTACCTGGACATATCAACGAGGCTTGCATCCTTCCTACTGTGGCCCAACGATCATTGTAAGAAACCAGCAGAACTTGCCGAAGCTGGTTTCTTCTGTGCAGGTAAAACAAATTTCTATTATATCAGAAATGGTCAGAACTTTATAGTGAAATTCAGATTAATACCATGATGGACTTAAAACAAATATAGAAAAGAGATACAACTGATACTGCAATGAATGAAAGGATAGCTAATTACTAATAACGCTGTTTTCCTATTATGTATAATGAAGAACTCTTCTCCACAGGCTTCTCTGACTGTGTGCGATGTTTCGTGTGCGGTGTTGGCTTGAAGACTTGGGAGAAGGGAGACAACCCTTGGGTTGAACATGTACGTTGGAGGGCATCCTGTACCTATGTCAGAGTCACCAAAGGAGAAGCATTTATCACACAGACACTTGCAATGGAAGGGCAGAGAAGGAGGGTATGTCAGATTACTCATCCTGCTTAACAACAGCAACTAATGGTTTGATATGCTTAACGCTATTGTTCCTACCGGCACGGGGATTCATGGTGCTTCTGGAATTCTTTAAGGTAGTTAACGTCCTACACTTGCATCACTTTAGCTACTTCTCCACCATTAAGCTAATGTATGCCCAACTATAACCGAAATACTGTTCAAAGAGATGTTAACTAACTAATATATTCGTTCCTCTTTCTGTGCCTATTTTCAGGAACATGAAATTCCAGGAAGTATAAATCAAGCTGGAAACGCGGCTGGTAATGTAAAATGATTACATAATAATTTTCTTAAGGGTTCGATATAGGCCAGTTCGTTAAAATAGTATAAACTGACTTTACACACTGTATGAAATGTAGATACCACTGTGAACACTGTTGTAGCGTAATGACGTCAGATGTTATGATTTTACTGAACGTTACTGTGCTTAGCTTCTCGTGGCTTTCAAAATGGAAGAAACTATATTTCACAAGACGGTAAATATAAATATATTACACATTAGTGGATGTCTTTTTGATTCACGAGGTAGAGTTATTTAGAATTACCCAGAACAAAACACTTAAAGGTTTAGAAAACATGATTGATCATCTGTAACTGCCGTCATGTAGCTGGGATATTGGTGAGAGGGGGTCGGTACTAAATTATAATTCACATGTAATATCGCTCATATTCTTTTTATGCCAACTGAATCACTTCTTTAGCAGACGTTGGAGATGTCCTGGAACGGGAGGGGTGTCAGCGAGCCCTGGAAATGGGATACAGCAGAAACTGTGTCAGCAAACATGCCTTGGACATACTCAGGAACGAGAGTAAATATACTGTTTTTGTTTAACTGTGTATATATAGAAACACGCATATAAAGTCCCTCTAACGTCCTAAAGTAAACAGACTGTGCTGTGTTTAGTATCGTATACAACTGGGAAAGTCATGCAGGAAAGGCACAAAAGAACATCTAAGATTTGAGTTTTCAGAATAAGTGTATATGTAGACAGATCGTGTTATTGAAACATTGGTATGTCTGTGGAAATTTCTACAACACCGTTTACACTGCTTCCTTCCAGACCATACCTTGACACTGGACGTCTTGCTCGTGCATATATTGGCAGAAGAGGATCTGGAAATGTCTGCGTCTACTGAACTGAACTACAATGAGCCAACAGCAGATTCTGGATCGATTGAAGCGATTGCCCCAATCTCAAGAACCACACTGCATGAAAATAATCAGTTAATGATTGGTGAAGCAGTTGTGGGTAGATTTCAGACACAGTCTGATAATGGACATACACAGGGCCCAAACATACCCACCAAAGCTACAGCTGTCGGATCGAAGATTCCGTCAATATCTGTCCTGGGTACAGAGCAGAAACATAAACAAAACAAAGAAGTTAGACAAAAGGATCTTGAAGCTGATGCAGCGAAAACAGAAATACCAAGAGGACATGCTGATGAAACTCTCATATGCCCTGGGCAGAAGCACAGCAGACACGCATATGAGAACACAGTGCCTGATGAGGATGAGGGGTACGGTGAATCGTCCGAAATGTCGGAAGAAAGGGTGTTCCAAAGCCTGCCTGTAATGCCATCTGGAAATAGATCCATTAACAAGCCAAAAAAAGCAATCTGCTAAGAGAAGTGAGTACGAAGGTTACATGGGTTACGATGTGCTTAAACGTCGAAGTAAGAGAGCGAGATGGATTTCGGCTGCACTTATGTGAGGAGCACGAACATTTCATGACGAGAAATAGGTTTAACCACCACATTCCCCCTCTGCTTCTCTTAAATAGGAAACGGTACATATATATGTGAAAGCATCTTAGTTTCACAGAACGTATATTTGCTCTATGAGTACTTGTTTTCACCAACTAGTATCAGACTTTCAGTAATAATGCGCTTCATTGCTGTATCTGCAAATACCTAATTTAAAACAATTTAATATTTCTTTATTGAATGTTTGTGTTTATGCAAAATACCAAATCCATGTGATGAATAGGGCCTCAACTTGAGGTGTTACGTGTGTCGTCTTTGCAGAAAGCACAAAGGAACAGCGTAAGGCTGCAGAGGAAGAGACACAGCAGCTGAAAGAGTCGAACGTGTGTAAGATATGTCTGGAGGACCCTGCCAACATCGTGTTCCTCCCCTGTGGACATCTGGTGGCCTGTGCTGTGTGCGCCCCAGCTCTAGAACGTTGCCCAGTCTGCAGGAAACACATCCGGGGGTCTGTCCGTGTCCACCTCGCAACTCATCTCAAGAACAAGATTCAGCAGTCTTAGTCCCAGTGAAGTCTCAACACTCTACAGGTCTACAGGGCTAGTATAGCAATGTGGACATGTATTCTTCATGTATAGTAAACCGCGGTTATAACGAACTCAAAGGGACCACTAAGTTAAGTTTGGTATATTAATTTCTACTAAAATATAGCGGGGCCCCCATACAGTTTTATCATCCAAAACTGTGTTCCAAAGGAGATATTGCTTGTGTAAGATCATACGATATCTCCTAGGAGATATCATTTTGACAGTAGATTTTGTACAATGCCCTGACAATGCTATGACGTCATAAACTTGATGCCGTCACAATGCTATGCTATCGCTGCACTGCAAGTCTAATGGTAGTACAGTCTTCAGAGATGTACATTTTTCATTGAAAACTAATGAAGAAGGATTTTTTCTGATAAATAGAATCTCACCCTCGTGTCTTCTGATATCAAATATATCAACACTCGGCAAGCCTCGGATATTTGTAACTTTATCAACTCGTGGAGATATATTTGATATCTGAAGACACTCAGGTGAGATTCTCTATATATCTGCCAGTTTGTTATAAGTGTGTTCGTTATATACATAGTTTATTGTATTAAGAATGTATATAGTGATTTATAAACAATGTCTGAGCATGGATATTCTTTTATTCTCGAACACGAAGAGCTGCACTTGATATGTTCGGTTAACAACCCAGAGAACTTGGTCTTGTTACCGAGATGTTCTGAGAAGCTTGTCTATGTTTATTCATCTTAAGACTGAGCCATTAAATGTCTCATTTGTAAAACATATTTTCATTCGGTTCATGGTTGATAACCATTCACTATTCAACAAGATTAATGCACCTTTTTATACTCAGAGTTCTCTTAAAGGAGACTGTTTTGCCGAATGAAACTTAAATGTTCAATTCTGAAACTCACACAAAACAGTTAGTCAGTCAGCTCAGTCTGGAATATATTTGTTTTTGTGACTCATGTGGGATTGCGAGCATTGTAGTTGGTGCGCATGCACGTCAACGTATCCTATTCAATGATCCGTACTCAGTCATACAGACAAGCGATGTACAAGGCTGATGTTCTTGGCGGGTTATCTCTGTGTTGACTCGTTAGGATATTATCAGATATATGAAGGAACTCTTTGTCACTGATTATTCGCATACAGAGTTACGTGGATGTACTTGAAAGGTTTACTTAAGCAATCTTTTTAGTATATCTTTGACTCAAAATCTACATCGTTCACTCGTTTACTCCATTGCTTTTATGGACATGTACATGTATTTCATGGGAGTGAATAGTGGGTAATATGTATGTCGAGCAAAGGCTTATGGCGTTAAGATACTGACGTCTAGGTGAGCTACGAATTCCAAATACAACATGGTTATAAAATGTAACTAGTATCCATGATGAGTTATCGAATTTCAGACGAGTGAAAGATGTAGTTTGAGAGTACAGATTGAGGATATGCATAAATCAAGCATTAATTAAGGGAAATGTGTTTTAATATGCATACATGTAGTTAATGGGTAAGGACAGTTACGAGGTGACAAATAATGTCAGTATACAACTCTCCCACTAAATTCTCAAAAGAACCAATCGAGAAGTAGCTAAATTACCTAACAATTTCGACTACAAAGAAAGCAAATTTTTGGTTTAACTCAAGTGCACAAGTGTCAGGATATCAAAGATATATGTTAAAATGCTATTGACGGTTATAGCCAAACTGAAAACAGCATGTAGCAATGTAGATTTTGTGTCATACAATGGATGTGTACATAGTTCGCTCTTGGGAGAATATTCTGAAAAAGCAGCAATGTAGATGTTGTGTCACACAGTGGATGTGTACATAGTTCGCTCTTAGGAGCATTTTCTGGAAAAAGCAGCAATGTAGATGTTGTGTCATACAATGGATGTGTACATAGTTCGCTCTAGGGAGCATATTCTGAAAAAGCAGCAAATGTGGATTTTTTGTGTCATACAATAGACATGTTCATAGCTTGCGTTTTGGAGCATATTCTGAGAAAAGCAGCAATATAGATGTTGTGTCATACAATGGATTTGTACATAGTTCGCTCTTTGGAGCATAATCTGAAAAACATATTTTCGAAAGGATTTTGTGGTCATTGTGAATGTGAGTTTCATATATATGAGCATCATTTCTTACAATGAACTGAAATTAATATAATCTGATTTGGTGAGCAAGTTTGAATGTAGTTTTTATTTTTCATGATAAGAATATCACAATGACTAAGTCTGGCGACGGAGTCACTTAAAAGACTCTTTAGTTATTTTTCTTTGTAAATATTTCGGATAATTCTCTTGATACTTTGAATTATTCCAGTGAGATATCTCAAATAAGTTGAAGATTCGTAAGCCTTGCACAAATCGATCTTAGTGTGAGCATTGCCATTACATGTGATCATGGGCTTTGTCTTAGTGTATTTCACAGTCCCATGATATATTGAATAGAGACAAACGGACATTAGTTAACCTTCTTTAGTAACAATTATTCATGGTGCCAATATGTTTAAATGTATAAATGTATCAGTTAACCATCCGATAATGCATACGTTTGTATCCGTACACTTTGCGGTTTCGAAATGTGTGTACAAATATCGCTGGTTGCATAATGTAATATAATAATCACATAATATGATAATGTGTATCAGTCTCTGTGTGTGTGTGTGTGTGTGATTATTATGTAACAACTATACTGTATATTAAGTATATGTAGAACTGTGTAGTCAGTATTTCGAAGTGCAACGTTTTATCCACATTTATTGGAACCAGACATGGGATATTAGTATTACAAATACAGAAAGTTAAGCTCTGCTTTGTTTTGACTGGTCTCACCATCCGTGTATGATCAGATATGGTGATATTGAAGACATTTTTTCCACCACCTGTTGATGTTCTATTTACAGCTCATCTTAGTAATATATCAGGATTAGTTTTCTGGAGGCATAGATCATTGGTCAACTCATAGAAAAGTGTCCATGATCAATCGTTTACTCAGGCGTAGGACAAGGTTTGAAACCCAGTAAACACAGATCCACAAAATAATAATGTTTCAAATATCATTGTCTCATATCACGTGTCTCAATCAGTTATACTATTACCCAAGTATTTCCTTGTCAACGCTTGACATCATATCTTATATAATTTCTGGTGGGAATCCCTAATACTATACATGATACCCATCTCGACAGATGTGATATACTATATATACTATGAAAAAGAAACGCATAACCCAGAAATCTGTTGCAAAAATGTTGTATTTTCAAACATGTATAACTCGTCCACAAATAGACTTTAGCACATGAATTTTTACATCAGTTTAGAAGAAGGAAATGTCTATACAACCAAGTGAATAATTTTCGACAACGGAGACGTTGAGCGCGATGGTGAAGACGTAGCACGGTCCCGACGTCGGGTCTCCTGGCTCTCAGTCCAATCTCTCTCAACCTGTTCCGTACAGTTTGACCGGATATCCTCCGACGTCCAGGCACCCTGGCTGCTGTGCTCTCACCCGTGGCAGCTCGATCACGCAAATATAGTACCCTCGTTGTAACGAGCTGCAAGCCGTGATATCGTGTTCAGACTAACTTTCAGACTCCTGGCAACAGACGATTGGTAATCTCCGGCTAGTATTCTTTCAATGGTGATGTTCCGTGTCGCAGCGTCAAGACGTGGCGTAGTGATTTGACCTTGAAACTCCTTCAAAACGAATGACGATTTCCGAAAGTAATCTGGATTTTTATAGCCAAACAGTGCATAGCTCTTTGCCGCACAATTTCAACTGGAAGGTGATTACTGTTGCGTTGTGGCGATGCCTTTTTAATCCTTGTAAGAAATCTCATCAAAATCAACATTTTCAGGTAAAGTCGATGTTTTACTTGTGCAATTGTGCAAAATAATGTTATCAACACTTTTGTTTCAACATTTTTGACGATTGTTTGAACACAATAGGTAATTAATAGATTTTTAAAAATACAAAACGCCTATGCGTTATTTTGTGGATAGTATACATTGAAGCGGCTGTGCTGTTTACGTGTGCAGGCGTGTCAGTTTCTTGTACCTGTCCGAATATATTCCTGGCATTTAATATGGTTGTGGTTGACGTTGACACTCGTCTTCACTAATTTTATATGTACCTAGTATTTTATCTTGTCACAATTAAATACTTTCCTGTCAATAATGCTTTGTTATGTTGTTATAATTCTCACCACATGTGCTTTCATCAACCAAATTTTAAAGAAATTCACATGATGCTTTATGAAAACATATTTATCACACACGCTGCAAAGAATCATTTTTGTAAGGGTGTATGATAAACAAAATGTTTGGGGGTTTTCTTTTTGTTTTTTTTTGGGTTTTTTAAATTCTTTTGTGGTTGTTTTGTATGTGTGTGTGTGTGTGTGTGTGTGTACATACACGAAAACATGGTATTAAACGGTTTGTGACAATCGCTACCAATAATCGATTTACCTTCATGCACTGACGTTCACCTTTATCCGTAATTAGACCAGCAAAAGTGACAAAATCAAACAGAGATATTTGGACAGATATACTGCTCGAGTCTTCCGTATCCAAGTAAATCGTCTTGACGGGAAATGCTTTGAACTTCCATGTACATATCTGTTCTCGAGGTTTATCAATCCACATTCGGTACGCAAATGATATGTGATATACCAATATTAAATGTAAGTGCATAAATCTTGTTACATCTCATAGATCTTAATCTGTATGCTAGAATTATTTTAAATGTCATCTCCAGAATACTTTGATTCAGTCAGGTAAAGTTACCTTTTTGTCGTTGCTGTTATGAGTGAGTGAGTGAATATGGTTTTACGCAGCTTTTAGCAATATTCCAGTAATATCACGGCGGGGGACACCACAAATGGGCTTCACACTTTGTACCCATGTGGGGAATCAAACCCGGGTCTTCAGCGTGTCGAGCGAACGCTTTAACCATTAGGCTACCCGACCGCCCCGTTGCTGTTATGACTACATAAGGTAAAATAGTTTGATTTTGATCCGATTCCGTCACGTTGGTTGGTTGGTTTGTGTGGTCTTCATCAACCCATGTTTGCCGTAAGAGACGATTAAATAGAGGCGGTGGTGGGGCGGTGAGGCTAGCCGACTTGCGTAGATCGATGCTCAGGATGTCAATCAGCGGATTGTCTAGTCCAGGCTAGATTATTTACAGACGTCATATGGCTGGAAAATTGCTGAGTGCGTCGTTAAACAAACGAAAACAAACAACAAAACTCATAGTTCAACTGACGCGGTCTTAAAGCAGATCCTGGACCACTGGAAAGCCGTGTTTACACCAGGTATTGAAACGGAATATTCTTATTCTTCTATTCCCAAACTTTGCGTAAAAGTAAGCCTTTACAGCCGGACAGTGCACCTCTGTGATTTCCTATACAAACCATACAATTAGGTGATCGATGGACCAGAAGATCCAGTGACAGGACAAGCTTTTTAAGTTAGTTAAAAATGATGTAAACGATATGTTCATTTTGAATTACTGATGTTGTGTTCAATTGAGATTTTGAGATTTTGTTGCTTGTAGTAAAGCAAAACGTACCGGTTTATTCTTGTTTTGCAGCACTGTCAGATTTATTGCATTTCCGTTGAAGTCGAAACAGGACACCAAGTAAATGCCACAGTGCTTATGATGGGTCATTGGACTTCAAACCAAATGCAGAAACACTTTTCACTAGATAACATCTATGCTTGAACACGTCAAGTCTTGATTGCCTTTGTAACATTATAAGTCATTGTAATGTGTCAGACACAGCCGAGCTTTCACTTGAGCTTCTAGACAAGATGAGGGCATTAGCAGGTGGATCCTACTGTAAATTGTTTATTCCGTAGATCCGATAATCTGAGGGACGTTACGATCACTGTTGGATGCATCCACGGCTTGGGGCGATGTGCATCAATTGTGTTGCCAAGTTTAAACGGTTAGATAATTTAAGAAGCGAAAGTTAGTTGTGATTGGTACGCTCAACTTCCCAACATAGGCACCTAATTGGATAAAAAGCCAGCCAAGGGAGGTAATAAAATCATCGCCAATTACTGGTATCCATGTGGAGAGTTATCGTAACGTGGATATTATCGAGGATGATTCCGTGTTTCCACTGTGTATTCTGCAACAGGTGCGCTGAGTATTTCAGGAGGTGTCTTCTCAGAGAGTGAGGGCTCGGGCTCTCTATCCAGGGCATAAACGTGATGTAGTGGAACTTAAGCCGTCAAGCGAAAATACAGATATGTTATAATATACGCATATTCCCTATTAATTGCTGGTTTTAATGATTTTATCACTGACGATTTGTAAAATGTATACAAAATAAGATATATGACACTTGGGAGTTTCAGTGTGTCTGGTCCTTTTGATACGGGTATGTATTTGAATCAACTTATCTGCTATTGCCACCGTGAAATTGTGATTGTGATACTCAATCAACGCTTGTCGTCGGAAGTGACTAATGGAGGGATCTGGTCGTCAGGCTCACTGACCTATTGGATGCAAGACTTTTTAAACAATGTATATCAAATATTTCATTTTGCAAAATAGTAAATTAGTTTTATTAATGCGGGGAAATATTTATTCACATGATGTTATTAGTTAACCACAGGCGAATGCTCCACACTTATTGTAACAAAAGCTGCATTCTTCTCTGCTTCTATTCATCTCCATCATGTTATTTTTCTTTGTTTAAAATGCCTGCACTCAACACATGAACTGTTGTGTAAACTGAAGCTAACTTCTATTTCTCATTGTATGAAAAGCAACAACAAAACTTTTTAGCAAAACGCCTGAGGTCAAAACATATGAATGTAACATTGAAATGTATTTTAAATTGAATTTTAACGCAGCTCATAGTCTTCAGGAAACATCGGATTTCAAACAGAAATTTCAAAGGCAATGTAAAAGGATTTATGACAAATCAATCCCCCAAAATACCCAGTCTGGATTATTCGCCGATACCTGCTAAATTTGGAGTAAAGGAGAAGATAGCTATGGAAATTATATGAATGGATCATCGAAATTCATCGAACCTGTAGCTCCCGCCACACACACAGCATAGAAGGGTCATAATAATTTCTGGATGCCTTTACCACATACATGTGATTTAGAATCATACCTGAGAATCTCATTGGTTTGTTGTTTGACGCCGCAATATTCCAGCTATATGGCGTCGGCGTGTGAGTAATCGAGTCTGGACCAGACAATCCAGTGATCAACAGCATGAGCATCAAGCTACACAACTGGGATACGGTGACATGGCTCAACCAAGTCAGCGAGCCTGACCACCCGATCCCGTTAGTCGCCTTTTACGTCAAGCGTGGGTTACTGAAGGTGAGTTCTAACACCCAGTTCTTCACTGATCTGTGTGGTGTCAGAAATATGTGTTAGTAGAGCAGAAAGACCAACAGATCGTAAACGTTTCGGTTGTTGGTCTCCAACGGACGCGAATATGCTGCTGACAATCTCGAGTCAAGAACAAGAGAATATTGATTAACATGTGTGTGTCGGGAACACCTTAATGGCGATTACTTCATATTTTGCAACAGTATTATTCATCCTTCGCGGAGACAGGCATGTCAATATATTGTGTTTATTTTGCATTTTATGTTCCCAGTAAGTATGAAATGTGTTTGAAAGACAATTTGCACACATTATTGTCAATATAGAAAGTGATTTTCCCTGTGTTAGTAAAAGTAATGATAGTGAATCGAAAGACTCAGGTTGAAACAATGTTCAGTTCAGGAACATACATGTCATTATTAATGCTCATAGTGTATTCCCTATGGTGAAGGAACGAACACCCAATATATCAACCACGCGATGTATATACATGTCCGCTGTTTGCCTGCTTACTGCGGTTTACATAGCGTGGTATAGGTCAACGTTACCTGGTCGATGGCCTACAATCGAGTGGGTGATATATTTAGAAAACCGGGAATCCTAGTGATATCTATGTGTAGAACTGACGTGTCGAGCTTGTTCAGTCTACAAGGTCGACGTAACTGCTGTCCCGATTTTAACGATCACGTCACGACACTGATTGGCTGGTTTGACCAACCAGATGACCTGGAACTGTAAGGAGTAACTCCCTCTTCTCAACCTTCAGCGCACAATCCACGTCATCTTATCAGCCTCATGTAAGTTTTTTTCTTCAATATTTAACCTATAACAACGCTGTTGGTACATACAGACCTTACTGATCTGAGTAAACACTGACTTCATCCCACAGCACAACATCACTATCGCGTTTGAGCTGTAGCCTACTGATATTAATGTCTCTGTGTTGTGACTCACAGTAAATGTAAGAGCCAGGTTTTTTCATATGACTGTTATCGTGCGTCACTTTATAGCACAGAGGTCAATACTTCAAAATTATTGGGTCAGTGGGGTAGCCTTGTGGTTAAAGCCATAGCTCGTCCCGTCGAAGACCCGGTTCGATACTTAACATGGATACAATGTGTGAATCGCACTTCTGGTCCCCCCCCCCCGCCTTGATATTGCTGCAATATTTAAAGCAGCGTAAAATCAAACTCACTCAACACGCAAATATATTATCATCTCTCGTATATTGTCATTTACAACCATATCATCAGTAAATGTGCGTAAGGTCTACTGTACACAGTATACGTGTAAGCATTTCTCAAATTACCGGGGCGGTGGGGTAGCTTAGTGGTTAAAGCGTTCGCCCGTCACGCCGAAGACCTGGGTTCGATGGGTACAACGTGTGAAGCCCATTTCTGGTGTCCTCCGTCGTGATATTGCTGGAATATTGCTAAAAGCGGCGTAAAACCATACTCACACACGCTCAACTTACGCTTTATCCGCATTGTATCAAATTACCATCTACTGTATATAATTCATCTGTTAAAGTCGTATATTCCTATGTAAGGTGAGACACATTAAAGAAGTGCATCATCAATGTTTGAATGCATGCTAATCACACGGCCTATACATGTACAACTTCCTGTTTCTACAGGCGATCATTGTGCGAAAACGACCTGTTGGACTTTAACCGGCGTCGCTCAACGACTACAAGGTGAACAAGTAAACTGCCAGTTGCAATGGCGGCGCTACCAACCAGAGGAGATATCTGTATAGTAGACTGAGTCAACGTACACAGCTACGCCCTGTCGCTTTTGAAAACAGTATCTCAGTACGAGGCCCATTTCATGATTCCGTCTGATACCGACTCAAGTGTATTGTCAAGCCTAGAAATGCCTGCGTTGGGTGAAATAGATAGGCAGGATAGTATGTACATGATATTGATTTCAGGTCTTCCTTCAAACGCCTATGAATATCTATCACAAATACCGCGTGGTGGTGTGGGCCGACGTAAATTCAGTATCGTGATCGTTTCAGATGCCCTGCATCCAATGCTTAACCACCACAAATATCCTACTAGTATACTAAGTCAGCTGTTGAATAACATGAACAAGGACTCAGCATTTGTAAATGCTTATGAAACGGAAGGGTATATTCACACCACTCTGAAAGACCGTTTGTTTTGTGTGGGTCTTAAACAGCTTAAACAGGCTTGTAAATCCATCTGTCTTGTCAGTTTGTATAGTCCAATGTTACAATGTAACTCTAAATTAGGTGAAGTGAAACAATGTGTCAACGTGACACATACTTCCCTGGTGTGTATACATAAATTATGTATGTTGCGTGACTTGTGGAAGAAAGTATTGCAGAAGATCCGTGGGTCTGGCATTAGTTTTATCCTATGTCTGGTACACACACACGGCTATATAAATAGAACTGACGGTGGTCTTACGAATGATGATCATCACAAAGATAAAACAATTCAGATATCATGTGTTGTCAGCAATATTGTCCAGCTGCTGTGGTCAGATACTCCCTTTGTGTTTAGGTGTGTGATCAATGTAGATTGGAATTCAATAGAACACCAGGTATTCAGGACATGGCACTTGAGAGAACTGAGACTAGAACTATCTGATTTTGTAAAACTTGGAGAAGGCCATTATGCCACCGATGTTCTCAAGGGGATATTGGAGTATATTCAGAACACACAAGCACTGACCAGACAAGAATATGGTTTGAACCTCCATGTATCTGGAATTTCAAATGATGCTTCTGAAGTTCAACCTCTTGGGGGTTTTCATCAACTGGTACAGATACTTTTGCTCCTTTCTGAAATATCATATATGACTAAGAGTCTTGTAGATAATATTTTGCCAAAAAAGATTACAAATGAAAGCAGTGAATTCAATGATGACAAAGGCAATGATGAAGGTGAAATTGTGCAACATGATCATTTGTCTACACCAGATGTTAGGGAACAAAAAACAGTTGTACACACTGTGGATCAGCTACATGACGTGCATACATACGATGATACCAGCCAATTCCTGTCTAAAACACATGAAGAGGATATGACCTCGACGTTTGACAAAAGGGAGGCGTATAACCTTTTCCAAAACTTAACTGACAAAAGCCTTGAATGTATCTTCCCCACATTTAAAAAGAAAGCAGTTGAAGAGTTGAAATACGTTGATAAAGATTTATTGTATGGTGATAAATTCACAAGATATCTGAATACCTGGCAAGAAGTAAGCGTTGCACCATTCTATTCTCTGAGACACTACTTCAGGAAGATAGAAACCGGGGAAAATGATGAAAAGATGATGTATGAAGCATTGCGACTGGGGTCATTCTGTGGTATAAACATAAATGCATTTTGCATCCGTCTGGCTGAAGCAGGGTTCTATGCTACAGGAGACGCGGATGAGACCAGATGTTTCAGCTGCGGTGTCAGGCACAGGGGCTGGCAACAGAAGGATAATCCGTTCTTAATCCACAGACAGATCGCTCCTTCATGTCCCCTTATCACAGGAGATGACAGGAGGAATGTACCTATCAACCCAAACGCTGAGCCATCTCCGTTTTCAGTCCTATCGGCTGAAGCTAACCCTGTTCCTGGAGGTGATACCAACGAGGACCTGAGTAACCAGTCGCAGATATCAGAAACGTACCCCAACATATCAACAATCAGCTATGTAAGCTGTGATGGTGGGGATAAAGGAGCATCAGTAGCATCATATCTCCCAGATCGTTCTGACAGAGCAGATGCAGATGCAGGACAGGATCACACAACCTATATCCTGAGATTCGAAGATGCCGTGTATCCAAACTACAGCGACAACAAGGTCCGGGTGGAATCTTTCCAGATGTGGCCACAATATCACTGCAAAAGACCAGAAGATCTTGTCCCAGTCGGTTTCTTTTACGCAGGCAAGTAAACTTTCATTCTGAATTATAAATGGTGAAATGTGCACAGTAAGGACCATGTGATTATATTGCTCAGTATCGCTAAAAAGCAAAATATAGAATAATTGTCTTATTCTGTCATATGTATGCAGGATATTGGAGAAATAGATGGGAACAGTACTGGTTGGACTGCAGAACATTGACCAGGTAGTAACATTGTTGATTGGTTAGCATTAAAGGTCACATGCAACGTAAAACACAACTTTGCAGATTCTGATACCTTTCGGTATGGACTTGCCGAAACAAATCATCAAAAATGCAAATTCAACTTATAAAGTTGAAAAATAACGCGATGAAAAAACCGCGCGAAATCGGAGTTCAAACGATTCACTAATTTTCCCCCGACTTTTCTGGGGAGAACTGGTTTCAACAGCTGGGCTGCGCTCATAGCACGTGCGCAGTGAAATAGGTTCACGCAATTTGGAAGCGGGCTGTCCGGTGAATACTCGGTGAAGGCTTTGGTGTGAGCTATTTTCCTAATGTTTTGTTGATATCTCACAGGCGCGAGCTTTATATATGTTATGACAGTAAATTAACTGTTTATATAATTTCATTTGTCTATTTCACCACACGTTCTTCTTACCGAGTCACTTTCTCAGTTCGATACTTAAAAGCAATGCCATTGTTTAGCGTTGACAGAATTTCTAACTGTGATATAGACATGTCGTTGTCACAGACAAAACTCAATGTCTTGTTTCATTGACACCTGTGTGTCTGCCTGCCTGTCTGCTAATGACAATATTCAATACACAACTGCGATCACTGACCACATGCAATTTGAACTTAACACCATTCAGGATATATATATACACCATAAACAAAACGCATTGATTTATGGCCCGAGTTCGGTCTCTGTCACATTATGTAATTACACAGACAGGCAGGTGTGATACTTGAACACATGACATGTTATGATGTCTGTTGATTGCAAAATGTTATACACAAAAAATGAGCATGTATTTACAAAACCCAACATCTCTATATATACACACAAAATGACCCGTGAGGGCATCTGCAAATGAACCAGCCGTTACACTTGAGTGCACACCCACCCGCTCTGACTGGGTTCGGTATCCCGGCTGCTTCGTTTCTTGGGAAGTAAACCCAAGTACACAATATTGCACTTTTGATTTGCGATTGTACGCTTATAATTTTGTTTATATGTTTTTTCATAACCAGCAATGTTTATTATATGTCATGAACAAGTGATAATTGTGTTTTAATAATGTTTGATTTTTTTGTTGCATGTGACCTTTAAACATTAATAACGCATGACACTTTGAACAGGTTATTCCGACTGTGTGCGCTGTTTTGTCTGCGGCGTTGGTCTGAAGACGTGGGAGGAGGGGGATGACCCCTGGGTGGAGCACGTCCGCTGGAGGTCATCTTGTGCCTACGTGAAGGCAATCAAAGGAGATTTGTTTATAACGCAGGCACTGGCAGTTATAGGACAGAAGTTTCGGGTATGTTTCAGTATTCATTCGGGGCGGTGGGGTAGCCTAGTGGTCAAAGCGTTCGCTCGTCACGCCGAAGACCCCGATTCGATTCACCACGTGGGTGCAATGTGTCCCCCGCCGTGATTTTGCTGGAATATTGCTCAAAGCGGCGTAAAACCATACTCACTCATTCAATCAATAGTTATTCGTGACAAACATGAAACCGTATACATATACAACTGGAAATAGACTTGTTTGGCATAGATAACGCGTGGCTTCACGTTTTACAAGATAGGCCACCATTGGCGCCAAAAAAAGCTGCTGAATGACTATTTCACATAATTATTTCAGACTGAGCAGACGAACACCAATATTCCAAGCAGACGTGCCGAGATTGTGTCAGCCAGGGATGGTGAGCATCTTTACATCATTTTAATGTCACAGTAAGAGATATTACATCGAATGATTCAGTAAATGTTTGTCTGACGTAGATTTGCAGTTAACTTCCAGACGAGTTATTTTAAGAGTGTTCTTCCGTTGAAGATAATATGAACATGATAATATGTTTATGCTTATTAAGTCTTTTTTTCTTCAGACTTTGATGATATTCTGGAAGTAGAGGCGTGTCAGCGAGCCTTGGAGATGGGATACAGCAGAGACTGTGTCCGCAAACATGCTCTGTACATACTCAGGACCCAGGGTACTGTCTCTGCAAATCGATTATTTCAAGTGATATTATGTCAACGGGGATAAAAACGACATGGGTGTTGTTGTTTCGAAATTACAATTTTATGACTGGCATATTAATATTACACTTTGAGCTGATAAATGAAATACCGGTATAATTTGTGAAATAATTTTTTAAAACATTCAAATTCATAAAAGTTCCTAGTCCTCGGGGTGAGTAAAGTTTATTCAGGTTCGATGTTTGACTATTCTCAGTTGGTTTTGTTGCAGTTACTGGTATTACACGAGTAACATGTTGTGTTCCAGGGACTGATTCTTTGAAGTTACATCTCCTGGTAGAACGGATCCTACAGGAAGATGTCACGGAGATGCCAGAACCTGCAGCTGCCACCATACAAGCCTCATCAGCGAGTTTACCACGGACAAAGTCACACGGACTACCAGCACCTGGGGGAGAGACTGACAGACCAACATCACCGCCACAAGGAGATACATACACGGACACTCTTTCTGGTCTGCAGCAGGGTCCGGTTGATTCAGATGGCGAGGACGATAGACACGGTGATACAGATAAGCCAAAAACCTTCTCTTCTGGAAACAAGTACCAGAGCATGCCGATATTGAGTTCAGACAGAAGAAGAATTCGCAGCTCAAGCAAAGCAAAAGTTAAATCCCAAAGTGAGTACATATAGTAGTACGTTATCTGCAGTATATGCTACATGCTATTCTAATAACGTACGCGTTTGTATGAGTGAGTGAGTTTAGTTTTACGCCGCACTCAGCAATATTGCAGATATATGGACGCGGTCTGTAAATAATCGAGTCTGGACCAGACAATCCAGAGATCAACAGCATGAGCATCGATCTGTGCAATTGGGAACCGATGATATGTGTCAACCAAGTCAGCGAGCCTGACCTCCCGATCCCGTTAGTCGCGTCTTACGACAAGCATGGGTTACTGAAGATCAATATTCTAACCCGGACCTTCACGGGTACGTTTGTATGAGACGTGGTCTAGTGCTTTGCGCCACTTGCATTATGTTATTCCGATAGGTTCCCCACCAAACACATATTCAATATGTTGTATACTTGACGGTGCCCCGTTAGTCCATCAAAGCCATGGCCAATAGCTACCCTCCCCCACCACCCCTGAATTCATTATGGAAAAAAAAATCATGAATCATTATCTTAAATTAGAACAGAACAGAATTTTATTTCAGTAAGAGGCCTCCGGCCCAAAATACATATACATACATTGATGGATAAGTTATGCACATGTAAATGCATTTCTTTAAGATTTGATGTTTATTATCAACATAGTATAAAAATAGACATACATTATTGATGATATTAACATTTTTTACTCTGCACGATGGATATGAAATCAATAATTGATGGACATTTACTAAAATATTTTGATGTGTACTTATTTCTAATATGAGAGTATGCATCAAAGATATAGAATACATGTCATTAATCTTCAACTACAAAAGTACCATTTGATTTGCAAAACAGGCAATGGATTTCATTATGTGCTACATTAATGTACCTACCAGTTTCAACACCGAAATTACAACACCGAAATCGGGCATATATCATTATTTACAATTTAGCTGATCTTAAATTATATTTCCTATGTGTTTTGGATTCGTATCTTTACAAATACAGGCACGGAAGACCTGGAAGCCACAGAGGAAGAGACACAACAGTTGCGACAGTCGAGTGCGTGTAAGATATGTCTGGAGGAACCCGCCAACATTGTCTTCCTTCCCTGTGGACACCTGGTGGCCTGTGCCGTGTGCGCCCCAGCTCTAGAACGGTGCCCAATCTGCAGAAAACACATCCGAGGATCTGTCCGTGTCCACCTTGCTGATATGGCGTCCGTCACGTCGTCGTAACATACCTCACATTGCAGTCTAACCGCTGTACTTTGTTTGGTGTGACAGTGGTTCAGTCTAGTGAGAGTGAGTATGTTTGTCATGTAACTATCAGTGAGTGAGGGATTTTACTTTTACGATCCCTGTAGCAAATAATGTTCCGGGTATGTCACAAGGAATTCCTGAAATGGGCTACCGAAAGGTTGTTATATGGATTTAAGCATGCATGTATTAATAATTGACGTGTTTATTCCTTACTTTGTTATTGTTTATCTCATTAATGTCTTGTTTCGTTATTTCTATCCCTTTACTATTGCTACTCGCCTCATATATGTCACCTCAGAAACGGGATTTATCTGAACTAGTTATTTAGATTACCACCTTTGTACATGCCAAATTAAAATAATATATGTTTGTACACAGCTAACGTTTTAGATTTTCATGCATAATGATAATATATCATTTTCATATCAACATCTTTCCGATAAAAGAATTCTGGTTTAGTTTTCAGTTGTCTCAACTCAAAACAATATAGATCAAGACAGCTCAATCAATCAGTCAGTCAGTCAATCAGCCAGTCAGTCAGTCATACGTTATGTCCTTATGTTATGCTTTTCAGCTGTGAGGAGGTAGAACTTAACTCAAGACAAGAAATAAATGTATGAATTTATTTATTTAATTCTGGCTATTTCTGTACCGTCAAATTCAAATATTCCCACTTTCTGTCAAAAAAGACTTATTATTATATATCAATCACACAAAGTATATATTATACTCCACGCTCCTTCCTACACAGTGTCTTTACAGCTCGCACTCACCTGATCAATGACCGGCAGTGATTACCATAAACAGTGATACCAGCGGTGGCCGCAAATACCTCAACCCATAGGTCTTACATATCTATGACGGACTGATTTGTTTTACCGTAACGTCCTTACAGTATCAGAATAGGTCTGTACAGTCAGTCTGTTTTACGCCAGGATACTTTGTGTACGGCAGGACAAACAGATTAAGTTATATTTGCCAAGGAAGACAACCTGAACGTATTTTGAAACCAGTTGTGGCATATGACAATCTGTTGCGAGTGTATATATACAATGCTTAATTTGACCAGGTCCAGTATGCATCTTTGAGTGACTGTTTGTGTCTCACCTGCTATTACAAACAATGGACATGGAAATGGGCGTTACACCCAGATGAGAAATCAAACCTGGACCTTTACTTTTATCCCTCGACACTTCACAACACTGACATGTGAACTAATCTCCTAACTTTAATGCAGTGTATGGGTAGCGAAAACATGGCCAATTAAACAGCATGGAAATTGATCAAACAGGTATAATGCTATAATAAAGTTGGTATATCTAAATATATGCATGCATTTGTGATGTTCACAAGAGGATCCAATTGACTATGGGTATGGTGTACACAGTATGTTGGACGATATTTCAGTTATTTTCAAATGCCTCAGGAAAGAAAAATCGTTTCATTCGTAAATAATCACTAACTACATACGTAATAATAGTATAGGTATCCAGGTACAATTTATATGATTTTAATATTATAGCATACAGGCAATCGAAAAGCCCTGAATTAGAAATAATAACTTGTAATTATTGTACTGATTCTGTGGAGGATGAATACCATGTACTATTCATCTGCTATGATAAGATATTAATATGTACCTGCCTACTATATCGAAAACCCTAATTATCAGAAATTTATATCAATGACATTCTTTATAAACTTGCTGATAATATTATATGAGATATTTTTCGCGGAAGTGTTGGTACTGTTTACCGAAAAAGAACATATGTTTTTTCGTCTTCAATTTGTGGGGAATTGCAGAATGTACAGTAAATCCGAAATTTGCAGAGAGCACGTATGAGATCTTTACTTTTTAGTTCTGTGATGTAAGGTTCCAGTTGAAGATCGTATTTGAACTGTGAATATTGATTAAGATATTTTGATGTATTGATATCGTTGCGCCAGCTTTGGTGACCTATATCTGTAAGTCGTTGTAGGAAGATAGACATGAATAACTTTACATTGTCAACCATACGTGTGATAAGCCGGTTCGGAAAAGAATGGTTCGTACATTTGACACCCAGTTGCTCTTGCCCATATCGTCGAAAGATTTAAGCATCTTATATGATTGTAAAGGGTAACGATTATTCTCCATGAGCAGTACTTTGAACCAGAATTGTATTACTTTAGCCTCTGTGAGCACGAACATAGGAAGACGCCCTAGTTCACCAAGGATGGCCTTGTTTGACGCACATTTTCCAAGTTTTAAGAACCTTTTGAAATACGTTGTTTGATTCCGTTCAGTGACCTCTTTGTTTCTGAAGCCCCATATTTCCGACCCGTACAGAAGTATCGGTGCCATTTTCCTATCAAATATGGTTGAAGCGGTGGAATAAGTCAGTAACTGACTTATGGTGATAAACGCAACTTCTGAGATGGTTTTGTGGCTAACATTTGAAGAAACAGATCGAATCTCAGTTATGTACATGGTGATAAGATAGTGTTGCGACAAGATGGGCGGATATGTTGGTGGCTGAACCACTAGACAGTGCATGGAAATTGTGATGTCGTACAAAAAACGACTCGTTGTCATTGGACATATGTGATTCTGTCCATGCCTCTTTCAGAGATGCACTACGTATCTTTTGTTATATCCAGTGTACCTGTCGCGCCAAACTCTGCCGACTTTTGTAACAGAATGCTTGATATCGCCCTGCGACGTTTGCCGATGGATATGCATAGATGGGCATTAGGCTCTACTTGGATGTATCATTTTAAGTGAGTGAGTGAGTTTTACGCCGCATTCAGCAACATTCCAGCTACATGGCGGCGGTCTGTAAATAATCGAGTCTGGACCAGACAATCCAATGATCAACACCATGAGCATCGATCTTCGCAATGGGGATGCGAAGACACGTGTCAACCAAGTCAGCGAGCCTCCCGTTAGTCGCCTGTTACGACAGGTCATTTTTAAGTATTGACCGTATTGCTCATTAGTGTGGATTGGTTTGTCAGACTTTGGCTGATGACGTTGTACCACCTTGGCGTGGATCGTTGTTCATGCTCTTAGTCACTGGTATGCCTGGTCTATACTGTAACTAGGCTGCCGTGATACAGATGGGATATAACTGACGGCCGACAAACAGCGATATCTCAGTCACTCCCTTGAGTGACTGTTGCTGACATGACCGTAACATTTGCGTTGGTCTTCCGCCGGCAATGTCAGAACACGACGTCTATACTGCCTATATGATGTAATTAATGCGCAGCTGTTCTTAAATTGGCATTAGTGACTGGCCGTATTCTTGCAATTTGCGTGTTTGCTGGTATGCTGGTCTCCACAAACATACTTTGTTGCACTGTAATGTCAAATGTATTTCATGAATAAAACTATTCCACTGCAAAATTATTATACCACTATTTTATCATTTATGTCTAAAGTATGCAATATTTTCTCACACAAAACGTTCAGGAACATTGACACACTTAATATGCTAAGGGGTTTCATTAGTGTGATAAACGCAAACACTTTAATTAGTGCAAGATGCAAGTGCATTTCAATGGCACTAAACATGCACATCATTTATATGCATTGAATGTCTTAAATAGTATCGTCCTTTTAACAACCCGTTTAGAAAGGGAACCTTATACTTTGAACGGTGCGTTTATTATATCTGTTTCATCGAGAAAGACCTGAACAACCACAGCGATATTTTCTTCGATTGTAAGTACCTTTGTACGATAAAATAGACGAGACAATAGGTAGTGATGCGGAAAATCTACTACATCAATTATCATGGTTTTACATGTCGTCATGCCCTTATAGATGACAGATGAAAGAAGAAAAGCAAAAACACTACACATTGATTATCAAACCAGAAGAATCTTCACAAGACATTGTGAATAGCATTGAACCTGGATGTTCGTGGTCGCTTACTTTCTTCATGAAAAGAGCAAAACAATTTTATGAGGCAACCATACAACCACATGGCGTCTCTACCATTATCAAAGATATGATTTGGCATGAAAAACATGATAGTTGTTATCTAACGCCGCGATCAGCAATTGTCCAACTATATGACGACTCTCTGTAAATAATCGAGTCTGGACCAGACAGTCCAGTGGTTGACATGAAGATCTCGCAAGAACCGATCCTGGGGAAACCCGACTATAAATAGCCATGAGGTGTGACTGACTATCATACACCTTTTCTTAACTTCCTTTAATTCCATGTTCAAACTAAACTTTATGTTACCGCGGTCCGAGGAGAAACATCGGTTCTGGATATCTGTTCAAGGGTAAGTTTAACTATGAACGCGGTATATGATATGGGTCTAGTTTAGATAGTCGTAACGTTCCCCGTGTGTTGTCAGCCTTGCTGGCAGTACTGCCTGTTTCTCCCTTATCTTAACATGTCAAACTGATTCGATTTGAACAGACGGTTGTGTTCATTAGTAATTGTTGGTATTAATCGCATGTGTGAGTGAGATTAGTTTTACGCCGCACTGAGCAATATTCCAGCTATATGGCGGCGGTCTGTAAATAATCGAGTCTGGACCAGATAATCCAGTGATCAACAGCATGAGCATTGATCTACGCAATTGGGATCCGATGACATGTGTCAACCAAGTCAGCGAGCCTGACCACCCGATTGCATTAGTCGCCTCTTACGACAAGCATGGATTACTGAAGATCAATATTCTAACCCGGACCTTCACGGGTTAATCGCATGAGACATATCAGAAATATTTGCTAAATTTACAATATGTATGAGGCTCGATATTTCATTAACATAACATTGTTGCGACATTATGTACAGCGATGAAGATGCAAACGTTACGTATACAGTACATACAGTACATGTACAGACACGGGATATCATATTGGTCACATTATAGTGACCCGACAAATTATGTTCGAATCTACTAGGGTACACTGTGTGAAAACAACTCTTGCTGTCCCCTGTCTAGGTAACGTTAAAGTATACTGCTCGGCGTCAAACGCCATTCAACTATTACGGCCGGTTCCCTGGGGTAGTTGGGTTTGTTTTTTGTTTGAGCAATATTCCAGCTATAAATAAACAAGTCTGGATCAACGCAATTGGGATACGACGCCATGTGTCAACCAAGTCATCGAGTCTGCCCACTCGATCCCGTTAGTCGCCCCTGACGACAAGCATGGGTTACTGAAGACCAAGTCTAACCGGATCTTCACGACGCTGAGCTACATGAAACAGTTTCTAGTATCAGGATGTTCATACGTTACAAGTTGTTGTGTAGTGGCGAGTTATCGGAAGGTTCTATATTTATCGCCAGATCAGTATAGTTTTGACACACGTCAGATACAAAAATACATGTATAGTTTTGACACACGTCAGATACAAAAATACATGTATAGTTTTGACACACGTCAGATACAAAAATACATAATGTATAGTTTTGACACACGTCAGATACAAAAATACATGTATAGTTTTGACACACGTCAGATACAAAAATACATGTACGCTTAACGGCGAAACTGTACTGTGTCGCGTGCATTGACAACATGCTGTGTCAGGACAGCTAACCACATGCTGGGACAGTCCTTGCCTACAGGTGAGGATTCTTTCTTACATATCATAGTGCATTAAATACGTGTGGTTGTGCATTAAATACGTGTTACGTTCAAATACAGTTATGAAGACACTCTATCGTCTCATCTGTTGGTTACCCGTAACAAATTGACATTTAAGCTCATACATTAATCAAGCACGTGGTCCCCGAGTTTCACCATAAACTCAGTTGCATATATCTATGGTTAGATACATAAGAAACGTTTGGTCCGAGACATTAAAACCGATACACACTGTGTTGTAAAACAAATCTGTTTCCAACACGTTTTTCTTCCTTTGTAAGCAGCGGAATCCCTGAACTTCTACACAGCAGTCGTAACTCAGAATTGACAACTGTAGTTTCTGGTTAATCGACCACATAATTGTCTTGGCTATAAATGGGTTCTTTACATTATGGGACGGTGTGGGTAGCTTGGTGGTTAAAGCGTTTGCTCGTCACGCCAAAGACCCATTCCCCACATGGGTACAATGAGTGAAGCCCTTTCTTGTGTCCCAAGCCGTGATATTACTGAAATATTGCTAAAAGTGGCGTAAAACAAAACTCAATCACTCATTCTTTACTTTATGCCCGAGTAACTGCATATTTTTTTAATAACGATCGCTGGGTCGTAAGTATTTGAAACACATGATGTCGAAACCCAATTGCGATGTCTACCATGGATAGACAAACAAAAAAACCTTTCGAGAGGCCTTATTCTGATCTGATATATTGTTAAGTGTCTCATTGGATGAAGGACTTAGAGTCGGCGGTGGTCGCGACGTGTTACCATTGTACTTTTAAGGGGTTTATCATACTTCACGGTTTATCATCTTTCAGGTTCCTAAGATTCCATAGCTCAACATGAAGTTTTCCACTACCAGACATCAATGTTATGAATGTGAAGACATTGGGGGGATTCTCGGGGACTTCGTGAACCAATCTCTTCTCGAACCTCCCCACCTTAGTCGCGCGGAGTACGTTGAACTGACGTTGAAGCAGAAGATGCGACTGCTGCAGCAACCATCAACCTCCACACCACAACATGGCCGACTGTGGAATACCGAGGACAGACTCCAGACTCTGAATGCAGCTACAGACAACATGGCGAACATACCGGATGCTGATCTCGCCACCATCGCCCGGGCAGGATTTTACCACTCAGGTAGTGTGTGAGATCTATCATTAATTAGACAGTACGTATTAATACGTACTACTTTTGTTATGAAAATGTCATTGCGTTATATCCAAAATATGGAGTCATTGTAATACAGTTTCGATTCGGGTCTGGCTCAAGTAAGCAGCCGTCTTATCCAACTATATTCATCCAATGGGAAAACTACTGATTGGATATATAAACGAGAGAGAGAGAGAGAGAGAGAGAGAGAGGAGAGAGAGAGGGGGAGGGAGGGAGGGAGAGAGAGTGTGTGTGCGTGTGTGTGTGTGTGAGGGGAGAGAGAGAGAGAGAGACATGAAAGGTAACAATGTATGGATGTCAAGTCCTTTATTGTGAAGAACACGACATTTCAGAGTATATTCTTACTCATCCATCAGATGATTGAATGAGTAACAGCATACTCCAAAGGCTCGTGTTCTTCATAATAAATAAGTCCACCATAAACTTTCACCTTTTAAAGCGTACATTACAGGGGCGGATCCAGGATTTCGGAGGTCGGGGTGCACATTTAAATCTAGATCCGCCCCTGCATTGACTCCTGGAAGACACGCCTTTACTGGTTTTCTATTCGTAGGCACTGATAACACCTTAACGTGTTTCTTCTGTGGCTGCAACGCCCACAATTGGCGTGTTGACGACGATCCTTGGAGGCGACATGCGGAGCTGCAGATGACGTGCCCGGTGCTGCGCAGGAACGTCTACACACAGATCAAGGACGGGGTAAATGACTATGATATACGCCAAGTCTATCTTGTATTAATAAACAGAATAGGTAGGGGTATTTAGTTTAGATGTTTCGAACATAATTGTAAAGTCATCAGTAAATTTAGATGTAGACTCGGTACCTTCGGTCTAATCTCTTTTTTTCAATCTTTTCTGCACTTTATTTTCCCTTTAATGCGTTGGTATCTCTTATCGAATGATTCTCAATGGGCCACGTCACAGCTTGACAAGTAGAAAATCCAAACAAAAACGTGTTATTTAAGTGACACAGTTCTGATTTGGCGTTTCCACTGACCAAGCTAGTGTTCTAGATATCCACAAAAATTTAAATCAGCTGTGTGTATGGAAATTTGACTTCAGTGAACTGGATCATGACAAGTTTAGAATCTTTGTCCAGAACCCTAATTGGGTAAGTTGTTTCTGTGATCAGTAATAATAATCATTAAAAATTCTTCTGGTACGTCCTCATCATGTGAACTTATCTTGCAGAACATCTCCTTCAGGCCTAGGAGACGCCTTTTCTCAGAGAGTTGCGCCAGTCCTCCACCGTCGAGCTATACCTCAACATTTCAGTAATCTACAGCTGGTACAGATTTCCCCAGGAATCGCTGGTCTCCCTTGGGCTCCTTTTCAATGTGAATGGGTTTATTTGTTACTATCAAAATTATACTCATGGAAAAGAATAAGGGAACATATGAAGGTAAACAAGTGTTCCTGTACTCTTTTCCAGGTTTCTCCATAAGATATGTATTGCACTGTGAGTGAAATTCTAAAAATAAATAAAGGAACACTTGTACTTTCATGTGTTCCCTTATTCGTTTCTATGAGTATATATCTTCAGAAACAAGCGTTCTAAGCGTCTAAACCAACAAATGCGAATTGCAGTCTGTATTATTAAAAGTGTCTCAAAACCTTATC